ATTTTATCAACATTATTTTTTTAAATAATTGAATTCTTTTATACAAATTTTATATTAAAACAGTAGATATTGAAAATCATTGAATTGAGAACATTTTTTTGAAAATAATTAAAAATTTGCAAAGAATTTTATTAAAATTTTTGAAAATAATTGAAATTTGGAGAAGAATTTTATTATTTTTAAAGATAATTGAATTTTTTTTAAATTTTTAAACATTATTGAATTTTTGCGAAAAATTTTATTACTTTTGAAAATAATTGAATTTCTGCAATCATTTGTAACTTCTCCAAAATTCATTTTCTTCCAGTTACTTAAATAAAAATCCCTGACTTTTCCCTGACCAATTTTACTTTTCCTGACTTTTCCCTGAATTCCCTGATTATAAATGTCAGAGCATGTGTTTTGTCAAAAAAATTTTTTTAATTTTTTCTTCAAATTTGGCGATTGCTAAAATCTTTGGGTAATTTATTAAAATTTTCTAATGTATATCATTTAACGTAGAATATTATAAGCTTTGTAATGGTATATTTGTTAATTTTCTGACATTTATTAAGAAATTTACATTTATAGTAATTAAAATTTTCATGTAATTTTAATCACATAATGGAGGATCTGCTATAATTCTCTTTAGATAATCTAAATTATCGTGAAATAAATATTTTGACACTCCGATAGTCATTAAATAAATAAATATTTATTTAATGTAAAAGGTAAAAGGTGCGGGAGAAAAATTGCAAAAGAATCGAGAGTGTAAAAGATCCGAGAGTCGAGTGTAGTATCAAATCGTAAAAATAGTAAATAATAGATTTTACTAGAAGCCTGCCTGATCAATTCTACTTTCCCTGATTTTCCTTATCTGTGGCAACCCTGTACCTAATTCAAATTAGTAAACATTCTTTATTAACTTAAATTCAGAAATTCAGCTCATATCAGTAACCGCAATGGAGCAGCAAGACAACACGCGTATCAAGAGAGTACTGATTTTTTTATCAACACCCACTAATGAAGACTGGCCGAAATCGACACAGTGTATAATAGTCATACGTGACGACATGGGACAAACCCTAATCTCGAAATCAATAATGATAGGGATAAGTGGATTATGCTCTCTCAAACATTGCCCTAATCACAATCGAAGAATGTTTGATTTATGTGAACAACGTAAGCGGCTTCAGGTCGTGTCATTAGTTTTGCAAGCATCCTGCCCAATCGTGTGCTGGTGCTTAGAAACGAGTTTCCGGTTTGGCTGCGACGAGCCTCGCACACAGGGACCGTGAGCTAACCAGATCCATTAATATCCCTCAGGATAGGTTGGGAATGGGAGATATATATATATAGAGAGTGAGAGGGAGAGAGAAAATGATCTGAGTATGGGTGGTTCTCTATGGTAGTACATCATCTGCGAGAGACACAACCTTAGAACATCAGGCCGTTTCGAGGCAATATATATATATATATGCGCACATATCCCTGGAATAACCCTTAAGTCAATGCTCATGCAGTCCCTCAGATTTCAGGACAGAGTCTGATAACGATCAATAAATGACACCTATTATTCATGGGAAATTATGCTCGCGAATGAATTAATCATTTTCGCAAGTGATATCAAGTCTTTCGCGAGAAATTTACTCCCCTTAAAATATCAACTTAACACTATAAGGATCAGAGTAAATTCTTCATTAAAATTCACAAAAAGGTGAAATAATTTTCCGATAATTAAGTGCCAAGAAAATCAGCAGGGTTTATACAAATTTCTCCTTATAAAATTCCATGATCTCCAGGTGATATAAATGATAAATCTTCCATGAAACATTAAAACAAAATTCTTTTCAATTAAGTCAGGTAAATATCATGAATTTTTATATATTATATAATATTAATATTAATAATAACAATATAATAACAATATATATATTTTATATATTTTGATATTTTTATATCAATAAATTTTTTTTCAGGGAAATTAAGAAAATTGAGATTTTTTCGACTTATTTTCAAAAATTGCGACTTTTTCGACTTTTACTCCAAACATTGCAACAAAATACCACAATTTTCAGTAAAAAAAAGTGCAACTTATTTTGATTTTTATAATGCAAAAAATAACTATAAACAAATCTTTCAAAAATTGTTTTTGAATAGTTAAAATTTTGTAAAATTTAATTGATAATAATTCATTTATTTCAAGTATTTTGTTACAATTTTTAAAAATCAACTTTTGAAGAATTTTAATTGCAAATTTTGAAAATAATTGAATTATCAAAATTTTTAATGGAAAATCTTTAAAGGTAAATTTAAAAATGAAATTTTAGAAATTTTAGAATTATTTTTAACGTTTTGGAGAAAACATTAATGTTCAAAATTTTTAATTAAAATTAATCAAAAAATTCATTAGTTTTTTTGAATTGTAAAAAATTTTTTTAAGAAATACATTTATTTTCGAAAAATTACATTAATTAAATATTTTTAAAAAATAATTATTAGAATTGTTTTGTAATAAATTTTTAAGTTTCAAAATTTACTTTTTGTACCTACTTATTAAAGTTTTTGAGAAATTATTATCGTTCAAAAATTATTTTAAAATATTTTTAAAAAATTAATTGTAAGAATTTCTTTATCAATATAATTTTTTGAAAATATTATACCTTAATAACTTAAGAAAAAACAATGGAGAGTCACAATTACTATAAAAAATTGAATTTATGTATTTAAATAATTGAATTCTAGAAGAACTTTTGAAAAATTATTTAAATTAATTGATTTTCCGTAAACATTAATATTTAAAAATATTATAATTTATAATTTATAATTTTAAAGATTTTAATTTGAAACTTTTACAAAATTCAATTATTTTTAAAAATTTCAATTATTACTTTATTAGTAACTTCTTCAAAATTCAATTATTATCTAAAACTTTAACTAAAATTTATTTTTAAACAAATTTTTATTAGAAAATTCTCCAAGATTTCAATTATTTTGAATATAAATATAGTTAATTTATTGAATAATTGAATATTTCTTAAAAATTGAATTCTCGGAGAATTTTATCAAAAAATGTTTAAATAATTGAATTCTTTGGACGAATTTTAATAAAAATTTTAAGAATTATTACATTTTTCGAGAAATTCGATTAAAATTGTATTAAAATTTAAAAATAATTGAAATTCTGCAATGAGTTTTATTATTTATGAAAATAATTGAATTATTGCGAAGAATTTTATAAAAAAAAGTTTCAAACAATTTTAGAAAATAATTGAATATTCGTGTAGAACTTTGTCAAAATTGTTTTTAAATAATTAAATTCTTTTGGAAAATTTTATTAGAATAAAAGATATACAAATTATTGAATTAAAAAAAATTTCTGATAATAATTGAAATTTTGCAATGAATTTTATTGAAATTTTTAAAAATAATTTAATTTTATTACTTTTGGAAATAATTTAATTCTTGTGATGAATATTGTCATTTATGAAAATAATTGACTTCCTGTGAATGATTTTATTATTTGTAAAAATAATTAAATTACTGCGAAAAATTTAATGGCAAATTTTAAAATTGTTTATGAAAATAATTGAATTTTGCAATGAATTTTATTAAAATTCCTGAAAATAATGAATTTTTTCGAAGAATTTTGCAATTCATTTATAAAGACAATTGAAATGTTGACACAAAAATCTAATTTTGTTTTTTCTCGACTTTTTTCCTAAATTCCAGACAGAATTTTGACTTCCTCCCTGATTCCGATGAAAAAAAAATTATTACTTAGTGTTATTAATTAAACAACTAAATTGAGTTTACTGGTAAAAATGAATAAACTCAATAAAATTATTTAATTACTATAAAAATTATAATTATTTAGAAAACGATGAATACGAGCGAAAATAGCAATTTGTAGAATACAGGACAAATAAAAGAGAATGGAAGAAGACAATGGAAGTAATTTGAAAAATCTCTCTCCAAACAAAAAAAAATTAAGATTTTTACTATACTCTAAAGTTTCAAAATACTAGAAGCGTGCTCACCTAATGTTCTTTTCCGAAAAGCATCAAATTCATCAATTTAATACCGTTGTAAATTTATGCGAAAATTAATGACACAATTATTAAATTAAAATTCATAATTCCGAAATTTATTAAACTATTTTCTATAAATGTTTACTCTTGCGCAATACGAAATTAATATTATAAGCGAATGGTAATATACGTATGCACAATAATACGAAGCAAAACGATATTTATATTGTAGAAACCAAATTTCGAATCGTCAATAATAAAATTCACAATATCAATAAATTGTTTGAATACTTAGTTAATAATTCAAATATCATATTTTGAAATTTCCATTTCGTGTTTGCAATATACGTGGGAAATAAATTTCGTCCAAGTAAATATTCATGAACAAATGAATTATGAAATTTATAAACAATCACAAAATAGTCTCTAAATCTGAGTCTGTTAAAATAATAATCAATTTAGTAATATTCTCTCTATATATTTTTCTTTCAACCGAGTTAGGTCTAACAGGCCAATAAAAAATAATTTTCAGTTGATAAATAACTGAGAAAGAAATTATTCCTAAGCTATTATTATTTCCCTTTAAAAACTATTGAAGTTTTGAATAATTTAATGTAAAAATTCTAAACAAATGAGGTTTTTAAAAAATTTTAATTAAAATTTTTTCGAAAATAATTTAAAAAATTAAAATTAAAAATTTTGTCAAACTTCATTGAAACAAATTTTATATTTAAAAGAATTTAATTTTATTCCTTTTTCAAAAATTGTTTTGAAATATAATCATATTTTTGAAGAATTTTAATTCCAAAAATTATATTTTTTAAAAAATAATAAATTTTCATTAAATTTAAACAAAAAAAGTTTTTTTTAACTAACAATGGGAATTAAGTGTTTTTTGAACAGATTCAAATTTAGAGACTAAAAAAATTTGTGTGGTGGAGATAAAAGAGGGAAAATATTCTTCTCTAAATGAAAATAGTTTCAACTCACTTGATCCAAGGAACTTTGTGTAAGTGTGAAGTCAGTGGCCTGAAGATCCTCAGCGAGATTCTTCACTTTCGTGAATGTGACACTCAACGTTATATCCTGACCACGAGGTATTAGAAGACGTGCGGTCCTTGCTTGTCTCGAGCATATAATGGCTTTTGGAATGTACTTCGAAATTGCTTCCTTCAAGTCATCAAGCGACAATGAATGATTCGTTCTCAGAAACACAATGTATCCTTCTCCGAATCTGAAATACGATATTTAATTAGTAAAATCATTTTGCGAATAATTTCAAATAAATTTAGTTGAATTAAATAATTAAAATGCCTTCTTTCTTTCTTTCCTTCATTTTTTTATTTATTTATTCATTCAGTGTCAACGGAGTTGCAAAATAATAATAAACATCCTTTTGTACAAAAAAAACGAATCAAAATGTTGCTTCGCAACACTTTTTGATTCGTTTTTTGTCTCAATTTGATATCTGCAGAAAAACTGAAGAATACAGTAAAGAAAAATGTAAAAAAATACATTTAATTTAAATTAAATAATGATTATCAATATTTTAGAAATAAAAAATGTTCTAAATCGAAAAATAACAATAGGAAGATTAGAAAATCTACAGCATCCAGTTTCAACTCCTAAGTTATATTCTCTCGCGTACTATTATCCAGTTTGCCAATGATTACGTCTCTCGCAGCATGTAGAGATTGCTCGTGGTTGTAATCAGCCTAACATGCAGAGAGTATCGATAACCGATAATGGATACTTCCCCCGACTAATACCTCCTAATTTTGTGAAATCGATCGCAAGTGTTTGTAAGAACAAAGATTCCAGAAGATGAACAACTCGTGATCAATTATTATCAAACGACAAATACACATTTTTCCCGTACTCGTTTCAACAAAACAAAGAAAACTTTTTACAACTTTTTTTTCTTTCTTCCTTTTCATTTTTAGTGAAAAAAAAGTATAAATTTGTATTTTTCTCGTTAAATTTAATTCTACAAATTCTTATTTTATTCGATAATTATTAATAGAATTATTGACTAATAGAATTTAATTAATAAATAAAATACAAAAATGCAATAAATTGAATAAATTTAAAAACATAACCTAACAAAAAAGGTTTGCGCCAAATTTCACAATTACCTGTCAGATTAAACAAAAATACGTACTGTGCATGTATTTAACATTTCTATACATAATTATTTTATTCATAAACACAATACTTTGTTATAAAAAAAAGAACAAAGAAAACTAGAAAAAATATTGTCAATTGTCAAAACAATATAGCATTAGCAAGTAACAAAGATTACATACTGCACATGCGCAGATGTTTTCCATTTCTCAACAAAGATATTTCTTTTGTTAGAAATATTCCATTAAATTAATGCAAAAACTACTGAAAAACATAGATAAGTAATTCTTTGAAAAGCAGATGAAAACTTGTAAAAAAAAGTGATACATTTCACTGCAATCACGAAAATATAGTAAATTGAGTAACCTAACCTAAAAATAGTCATACGTGACTAACGTAATGATTACCTGCTCAATTCACCATTTTAAGCTGCAAATCCACCTTTTACTAGGAAAGATGTATGTAATAATTACGATTATTTAACTTCGAGGACAAAAAATACACTTTATATTCAAAGATTGTGTAAAAAATATGTGAATATTCTGACGCAGAAGCTCCGTGCGTCTACACACGGCTTGACTACTCGAGTCAATGACTTGTCCCTTGCGCACATGCGCACAACTTCAGACAAAATATTGCCGCGAAAATAAATTCAAATTTGAATTTAATAAAACAATTTACGAAAGAATAATTCTTAAATTCATTAAAATTTTAATTTTCTTTCAATATAAGAAGAAAATTCGAGGAAATTTAAAATTTGTAAAATAATTAAATTCTTTCGAGAAATTTAAATAAAATTTTATTGAAAAGAATTAAATTATAATTAAATTAACAACGAAAAAATTTTTTCAGAAGAGAAATAAAAGAAAAAATTCAAATCTAAAATAAAATATCTACAGTATTGAAATTAGTAACGAAGAAACTTTTCCTAACGAAGAAAAAAGAAACCTCCAACTCATTAGTATAATTATAGAATTATTTTTCTCTTGCAGCGAATTTCGTATTTCATTCCCGCGGTATTTACATATTTATGGGACATTCGTTTGTTTTTGGAGACAACTCAGTGTCTAAAGTTACAGCATCAGAGTATGTAGTAAAGGCATATCTCAAGTGTAATGCGTCTCAATTAGAGTAAATAGCTGTTGGGTAAGTGCCTTTCCTCTTCTCTCAATGTCTTTCCAACCCACTCTCTCCACCCCCCCCCCCCCCTGGACTACAAAGTTGGGTGGCAAGATAAAATAATATATATTACAACTACCACTCTTAAAACGATACAGACTCCTGCGGAGAAACTCAATCTTCTTTTTTTACACCACCGAAAAGAACAAAAATTATTTTATATTTCTCTCCCTCTTTTAAAAATATCCATCAAAGAATGAGAATTTGAAAAATAGACGAAAAAGGAAAAACAAGTCAGAAATTGAAATACAAACGAATTGAAAAACAAAGAAATTGGAAAACAAACGAATTGGTGAACAAACGAATTGAAAAACAAGGAAATTGGAAAACAAACGAATTGAAAAACAAAGAAATTGGAAAACAAAATCTTCGTAAAAAATTCAATTATTTTTATATAAATAATAAAATTTTAATTGATTTCTTAGAAAATTTCAATTATTTTTTAAAATCTTGGAAAAATTCTCCGAGAAAATTCAATTATTCTAAAAAATAATTTAATTTTTCATATAGGAGTTCATTTATTTAAAAAACTTTTAATAAAATTCAATTCAAGAATTCAATTATTTTCATAAATTTCATAAATAATAAAATTTTCGCTGGAATTCAATTATTTTAATTGAATTCTAGGGAAAATTAAATTATTTGCAGAAATAATAAACGTTTTCACATTTCAATTATTTAAAAAGTTTTAATAAAATTCTATTCAAGAATTCAATTATTTTCATAAATTTCATAAATAATGAAATTTTTGCTGGAATTAAATTATTTTAATTGAATTCCAAGGAAAATTAAATTATTTTTAAATATTATTTTTAAATTTTTTGAAAGAATTTAATAATATTAATAAATAGTAAATTTTTCACAGGAATTTTAAATACAATGTTAATGAAATTCTTCTCAAAAATGCACTTATTTTCAAAAATTTTCCAAAAATTTAATTATTTGTAGAAATAATAATTTTTTCACAGAGATTCAATTATTTAAAAAAGTTTTAATAAAATTCTATTCAAGAATTCAATTATTTTCAGAAATAATTAAATTGTCAATGTACTGAATATCATTGAATTTTTGTAAAGTATTTTTTAAAAAAATTGAAAATTAAATTGAAATATTAAAATATCTATATTAAAAAATTATTCATAGAAAATTAAATTCTTTTAAACAATTTTATTAGAGTTTTTGTAAATAATTGAATTTTTTTAAAGGATATTCATTAAATTTCGTATAAATAATGAATTTTTAAAAAGTAATTTTAATTGAAAATTTTGAAAATAATTGAAATTTACAAAGAATTTTATTAAAAACTTTTAAGAACAATTGAATTATGTAGAAATTTTTATTACAATTTTTTAAAATAGTTAAACCTGTTTGAGAAATTTTATTAAAATTATCTTGAATATAATTGAATTTTAAACTAGAAATTTTATTAAATTTGTATTGAAAACAATTGAAATCCTGTGATGAGCTTTACAATTTATAAAAATAATTGTTTCTTTCGAGAAATTATATTAAAATTGTATTGAAAATAATTCAATTCCTCGAAAACATTTTATTATTTATGAAAATAATTGAATTTATATTAAAATTCTTGAAAATAATCGAATTTAATTAATATTTTTAAAAATAATTGTATTCTTTCGAGAAATTTTATTAAAATTGTATTAAAAATAATCCAATTACTCTAAAGAATTTTATTATTTATGAGAATAATATTAATTTCTTGAGAAAAAGTTTTTTTTTTACTTTGCTAGTAAATGAAGAATTCCTTGAGTTGGAGAAAAGTTTTTTTTAAGAGAAAGAATCAAAAGCGGAGATTTGACGGAAAAGAGAGTCATTCCCCTCATTTGGCTGTGAGGGGTTAACTCTTATCGTTAAAGAGAAACACAATCGAAACTCACGTAAAATGTTACAAGGGCGCAAAGAGAAGTGGCTGTTGGGTCTCAAGGGAATACAAATAAGTCTGATATAAAAGCACGCAGTATATTGGAGCATTTATCCACTGCTGAGCTATCAGTCAGGGACGAAACGATCGTTTTCCAGTGAACGCTATTGCCGCAGGGTTATTAAGGGTTTTACGGTGCCGATTTTATAGGATAGCCCACCAAGTAGTTTACCGCTTTTCTCCGAAATGAGAGAGTAATACCTCCCAGTCTTGCTTCTCTCAAGAGACTCCCTTTTAAATGGATTCTTTAAAAAAAAAGAAAAATCAACACAAATCGCCGGTTCAATTTCTTTTGTACTCCAATTTTCAAACACTCATTTTCTTTTTTTTCCATCCCTTGACAATACTAAACCATTTATCAGACTCGTCGCTCAAAAAGCTCACTATTTTCTTTTAAATAATAGTCAAATCAAAATCATCAAAATTCAAAGCAACGAATCCAAAATGCCAAGTAACTTGAAATATTATTTAATCGTTCTTGTTCCGTTTATATAATTGTTGCTTTCGTGTATTTTCCCAGCGATAACACGTGCATCTAACTTGGAGGATTAAGTAAGTTGCTCTCAAACGTAGAGTTGAAGTAATTCACCTTTGAAGAAGATAGTGAAACAAACACAAATGTGAGAATAATAAAGCTACCTGTGCTTAAGATGCTGAGGACTTCCGATGCATCTGAGACCCGCCTTCGCCAAAATTCCCACTCTTGAGCAAAGTTTCTCACATTCGACAACACTGTGCGAGGTCATTATCACTGATCCCTGATTCCTCGTTACGTGTCGAACAGCATGTGAGACCAATCCCTTGGATGCTGGGTCCATTCCACTGGAAGAAGGAAAGAACATTTTTTTTCTCTCTCTCTCAAACATTTTACTTATTTTGCGCCAAAGAAGAAGGAAATTCACCTTGTGGGTTCATCCATGAGAACGAGAGACACGGGAGCCATTACACTAATAGCGGTGCAGAGTTTTCTCTTATTTCCCCCACTGAGACTGTCCACCCTCTGATGAGCGTATTTGATAAGATCGAATCTTTTCAGCATTCTCTCCACTGCCTAAATAATCAAAATTCATTACTAGTAACAGTTTTTGTACCAAACAATTTCCATCTTAACGAAATATAATAATAATAAGAATTATTATTATTATTATTATTATTATTATTATTATATATTATTAACAATTAACAATTATATTCAAAAAAAAATAATTAGACAAAATATTTTCGATATTCTTCAATATAAACTAGAGGGTCGATAATTCTTAGAGAGATTAATCAAAATGGGATAATAAATTAATCGGTTTAAATCCTTACCCTGGACACATCAGCAAGACCGCAAACTTCACCGTGAATGGTCAAACACTGATGTGGAGTTAGAAACCCATCAAGAGCATCGCTTTGAGGACAATATCCAACCTCACCATTACATAAAGGACCAGTACCAATTTCTCTGCCATTAATGAATATTTTCCCCGCTGTTGGTTTTATTTTGGTCGTTAACATTTTGAATGTTGAACTCTTGCCAGCGCCATTTATGCCCAATAATCCAAAACAAGTCCCAGCCTCAACGCCAAAACTCAAATTTTGCACAGCAATATTTTTACCGTAAAAGCTTTTATATTCTTTTCGCAATTTTACGATTTTCAAAATGTCCTGAACTAATTCCTTTTCGACTCTGATCCTCTCTCTGGCAACATCTGGATCTTCTTTCACATCCTCGTAAGAAACTTTATTCCTGCAATCAGTCATGGTTGATAGTTTACTTTATTTCACTATATACTACGAAAGGAGTGTGCTACTTAAATTTATTTGCGTTTTCCAGTTTCTCTAATTTGGAGAAAAGAAGGGGCGGGGAAAAGTCATTTTAGAAGGTATTTTAATTACTTTATTTACAAATAAAACTAATTAAACATTTAATTACTAATTAAAATTAGGAAATGGGAATTTTTTTCACAAAAGTAAATGAAAAATCTGGATATGAAGAAATTATGAATTATAAATAACGAAGTGAAAAGTATCTATTCGATAGATTCTAGTTATAGTAAAAAAAATGTATTTTGCATAAAGTAATTGAAAGTACAATGAGGAAAAATATGTTAAAAACAAAGAAAAATTATCTCTTTTCTTTTTAAGCTAAATTTACATTTTATATTTGAAGCGAACGTTGCAATTCGGAAATTCAGAAAATTTCGGAAATTTAAGAGCCGCCCATTGATATTTAATCGACTTAATCTTCGGGAAATTAACTTATTACGTCATATATATTTGACGATTAATAAAGTTATCCTGTACCGGATATTAAGTATCTCTCGAAACTCCATCTTCGATAATGATAGCTGTTAATATTGAACTGATGCTATTACAAAGCCCTTTGAAGCTCTAGGTGATACTCACAAGTGTATCAAATTATACTCTTCAATATATATGTATAAACACAAACTAAATTATCGATCAATATTGTATTTATTGATCCATTATTTCATTAATTTAATATTATACCTAGTAATTAAAAATATTTTCAACATTATTATTATTATTATGATTATTTATTTTCGACGAATTTCCTATTATTAAAATTAAATAGCAATTTTTAGTTTCAATTCTTTAAATAATACAATAATAGTTTTAAAAATAATTTTTCAACTACTTTCAACAAAATTCAATTACGATTTTTTAAAAACCTCAATTTTCAGAATTTCTAAATAAAACTGTTCAAATTCCATTAATTTTTGTTTAATAAATATTTGAATACTAATTGTTATTTTTTTCCACTAAGAATTAAAATTTCAAAATACTTTTCAATGTAAAACTTTTTGAAATTTATTTATTTCTAAAAGTTAAAATAGCAATAATTCTTCTAATTCTTTAAATATTTTTTAAAATTTTAACTGAATTTATTTTTCAAATCAATTTTTATGAAAAAGGTTCTTCGGGAATTTAATTATTTTAATTGTTTGATTAATTATTATTTGATCAATTATATTATTTATTTTATCAATAAATTAAAAATTTTTATCTTTGTTTTTTTGACAAATTTACCCTCCTTAATTTTTAATTACCTGGTGTTTAAATATTAAATCAATCTAATTAATCGAATATTTAGATATTTGAAAACGTAAATAATTTAATACTTAAATAATTAAATAATTAAATAGTTAAATACTTAAATGTCTGAACACTTAAATAATTAAATACTTAAATAGTTAAATATTTAAATAATTTAATAAAAAACAAAGAAACATAAAAATAATTTTATCACTCGGTCGTCTTAATAATTAATTAATTAATTAATTAATTATTGAAAAATTCCAAGGTAATTTAATTTTTTTATTCAAATTGAAGTAATTTTCAGTTATTAATTTTAATTAAAATTAATTAAAATTTCCTTGTGTTTCTGTATATATAAATAATGAATATATCAATGAAATTTGATGGAATTAATTACCTCCTCCATGAAATGTCAGGCAGTACTCGGCACTCGATGGCAAGATTTGCCAAATATAGAATAGTACCAACGACGAAGAGGCAGACATAATGTAAGCCAATTAAATTCCAACCTAGGGGAGATTTGTACGTATCCATGTTGAATCTTCCTAGTAGTTCAGCAGTGATGTCGTTCTTCGTCATTTGCACAAGAGCATCCCCGAGTGCATATTGGGGTAATAAAAGCAGTACGTGATGTAGAAAATTACGAACGTCTGCTGCCGTTTGACTTTTGCCGAGAATGTCGATTACAAGGATCGTCGTTAGTGCCGCTACACCCAAAAATGTATTGACACAAAAGAGCACCATATTTGATAAACTCGAATCATCAAAGGCCTTTTCAACGAGATGAGTGAATGGCACCACCGCCCATCTGCAAAATAGAAAAAAAAATAATTCCAATAACCATTGCTTAGCTGCAAAATAAAATAAATTATTAACATACAAGAAAAAAATAATACAATTAATAAAAAAAAATAAGTAACATAAAAAAAACAAATTAATGTGAAATTAAAAAATAATATTTCAAATAAGCTTTAGGAAAATAAACTAAATGTATAAAAATAAAAAGGACAATTGAAAATTATAAACAATAATTATTTCAAAATTAAAGTAGAAATTCAAATTTTAAGATTAAATTAAATTAAACTTCTTTATTGCTTGTTTTAATAATGAATGAATTGACTTTTTATGCGAAAAAAATACTTACGCGAACATAGACAGCAGTAAAGTGACGCCCATTAAATTATCCCTAGCAACGTAGGCAGGAAGACCGAAAATCTCGAAAACGACAAGTGCCAAAGTGATTGCAGTTTGGAAAACCTAAATTCAAATTAATTTATTATTATTATTATTATTATTAATATTACTTTCCATATTTCTATTAAATTAAAAAAAATTAAATAAGATTTAAATAAGATTTATCGAAAGAATGAAATTATTTAAAAAACTTTAATAAAATTCTTCGCAAGGATTCAATTGTATACATAAATACTACAATTCTTCGCAGAAATTCAATTACTATATTTGATACAATTTTAATTCAATTTCTAGAAAGAATTCAATTATCTTCAAAACTTTTAATAACATTTCTTATGAGAATTCAATTATATCCAAAACAATTTTAATAAAATTCCCTGCAAGAATTTAATTATTTTCGAAAAAATCTCAATACAATTATTCGAAGCAATATAATTATATATTTCAAAGAAATTTAATTTAGTTCCAAGAAAGAAATTTAATTATTTTCAAAATAATTTTAATAAAATTCATAAAATTCTTCGAAACAATTCAATTATTTTTATAAATTGTAAAATTCTTGCCAAGATTTCAATTATTTTTGTAAATAATAAAATTCTTCTGAGAAATTCAGTTATTTTACAATTATAATAAAATTCCTCAAAAGAATTTAATTATTTTCAAATATTTACATAAAATTCATTTATTTCCTAAAATTTTAATAAATTCTTCGGAACAATTCAATTATTTTTATAAATAGTAAAATTTTTCGCAAGAATTAAATTATTATAATAAATGATAAAATTAGTCGCAGGAATTCAATTATTCAAGTCAATTCTTATCAACAATTCAATTATTAATATACATAATTCAATTCTTTGCAGGAATTTCAATTATTTTCAATATAAATTCAATTACATTCCTCGAAAGATTTTCAATTATTTTCAAAAAATTTAATAAAATTCTACACAGGAATTAAATTATTTTATATTCAAGATTATAAAAGTTACAAAAATTATTATTTTTTGAACAAAATTGTTATCTTTTAAAATTAAAAAAATCATTCATTAACACAAAATTATTTAGAATAAAATAATAATTTTTAAATTTTCCCAGTCTAATATTCTGTCAATTCGAGTAATTAATAATATTTACTGCAATAATTATTTGACTTTTTAGAAAGATATTTTAATTTCGATCTTTTTTTTGCAGTTATCATTTAGTTTAGAATTTTTTAACTGAAATTCCCCGAATTACCGACAAGTCCCAGATTAGAGCCGTCGTCCAATAAGTCACAGGATGCACTCCGGCAAGATATAAGATACACTTCTCCTCCGACAATCTCTCTCTAACCAATTCCTTTGCTCCTTGCGCTCCCACAAGACTAAATGCAACCAAAAGCACTATGGCGATTCCAACATCAGCCACGTGTTGCAACCTGGACAAAGGAATCTCATTCGAATTACGTCTCTTCTAAAATTTATTTCCATGTAAAGAAGAAGAAAATAAAGAAAACAAAGGAAATTGAAAAAAATTAAAATAAATGAAATAAAAAAATATCCAAAATATTTAATATTCTAACAAAATTCTAATTAACGTTTGCTAATTTAAAAATTAATTTAAATAATTAATTTATAATAATAATAATTGATCGTAGAAATGTTCCTCCAATTTGCATAAATCACTGCCTATGTCAGTAAAATCTAAAATCATTTATCTGTGATAATTATTAATAATAAAAACAGTTTTAATAATTAAAATCATTAATAATTTAATATAATAAAATAACATAATCTAATAATAATAATTTTAAAAAATTATTAATATTAAATACATTGGGACATTCCAAATTATTATTCAAATAATTATAATAATCCATTTGTTATAAAAATCCAATTGTTATCATAATCACTATAATCAAATTTTCCAATTTTTCGAAATTCATAATATAAAAAATTGAATTTGTTTCCTAAATAAAATGTATTGAATAAAAATTCTCTTCAATGGAAATTAAGGTTTCATCGAAATTTTGTTAAATAATAATTCACAACACTGTGGATAATCCGCCATTTAGTGATTTGAATAATTAATAATTTTTTAATAGTAAAGGCGCAAATATTTTATGTTTTTATTGAAACAAAACACGATTAAATATTTTCCTTTCAGATAGAATCAATTTAAACATGATTTATTGGGAAAAAAAACTGTCAACATCTGTTCGTTCCAATTGTTAATGAATTTCTGGTAAATAACCAATGTCTCATGAATAATATCGAAATTGAATTATTTGTAATGTAGGTAAATTCGCTCATAATGGACGATTTAATTATTTCTCACTTTGTCATAATGAGGCGATAATGTTTCAAAAACAGATCATTTCGTGGGACTTAGCGAGATAAAATGAGAAAACAATTATTCACCAGTGGAAATTGGGAAATGGATACATTTTTTTGTTAAATTCGGTTTTGTTTTTGAATTTAAAATACAAATTAACTATTTTGTAATAAATTGATGAAATATTGTAGATAAAATTTCGAATTTTTTTTCCGACTAAATAAAAAAAAAAGGATTTCAATTATAAAAATAATGTTAATTTGTTTGTCAATAAAAAATGACAAATTTTTTTTTATTATATATACGAAACGTGAAAACAGGAAAGCAAAACTCGATACTTTGTGATTTACGAGAAAAAGTTAAAGAACAAAAAAAACTAAATACGCCCCTCATTTTTCACAGACAAATGGTTTGAAATTTCACTGGCAGACGCAGTGATTCATGCAAATTATGGAAACATTTCTACGATCAATTCTATCTTTAGATTCGTGGTAAGAAATTTAATGGATTGCTAAGGAAAATGTGATTCGTTTTCCGAACATATAATAGCATCAACGTTTAATTGAATTTATTTCATTTTGAATAATTGCATTTTGGAAAGAGAGTATTTAATTTATTTTTCTTTTCAAAATTAATGTAAATTTTCTCCAAATTTAGGTAAATCGAATTGAAAGGATTTTTGAATACTTACAATGTAGTTCGATTTAATTGATCGCTGGACAACTTCAAAGGATGATTAATAGTAATCAAATATCCATCAACTCCTGAAGCTCGCATGATCGCTTCGTTCAGGGCATTAAGGTAAGCTGGCAAGGCATGATGTCCTTTATTATTAAACCAAACAACAAAGAGCGGATCATCTTTCCAATGCGATAATGACCATCCACCATATCTAAAAATAAACATTTCAAAATATCAACTTCAATTTCCAATTTTTGCACTTCTGTGAAAATTAAAATTAAGGTTTTAAAATTCTTTTTGCACTTTTTGCACACAAATTTTTTTAATTGTATCTTTTTAATTATTTTATTCTATTTATTTTTTTTTCATTTTTCATTCTACTTCTAAACCCAATTCTAATTGAAAATTAAAATTTAAGATAAAAAAAGTCACAAATACGAAAAATGTTTTTGATTTTAAAAGTAATCTACCAATTTTTAATAAAATTTCCCAACTATATGAAAAAAGCAGGAACTTAATTTTCCTGGTGTTAAGAATTATTTGAACTGAAATCTATGGTTTAAATTTCAAGAGCGAATAAAAAAAAAGAGTGAGGAAGAGAGAAGTGGATGTTGAACGAGAGTGCAAATGATTCCTTTTCAATTTGTAGATCAATGTTTGCCAGTCACCTCTTCTCTATGTACTCCTGATGAGTTGAAACTATCCAGTCAAGAGTCGGACGTCCAGGTGGGGTTTGTAACAGACCCTCGACAGCTTGGGACACTCCACGACAAACTTGTTGACCCTCGAGACAATCGCACGTGCCAGTGTCCTGAAAATTCAATTCAATTCAGTTGTAAAATCCAAAACAATTATTGTTATTAATCCCTTTCTCTTATCACAAAAGAGAAACTTTCTATTTCCCCCTGGAATTTTCAGTCCTACAATTTCTCGTCTATATTGCAGTAAAACAAGAAACATGTGTGAAATTGTGACATTTTGCTATTAAAACTAAAAAGAATTCTTTCCACTTCGAAGAAATTAATGTGTAGAAAATGTAACATTTTGCAAACAAAAATTCTTTTCACTATAAAATTATAAACAAACAAACTTGTTCTTTAAATAATCAAAATTAATTTGAAACTATAGCATAACTTAATGCGCGTGAAATTTTCCACCCAAATATTAGTTACAAAAACGTTTTTTTTAAACAATTTTAAATAAAAAAGCCCTAACTTTACATAAGGACAAAGTATCTTGATTATTATTATATAATTTTTCAAAACTTTTTTTCAGTCTTTGCAAAAAAACTTAGTTTTTAGAATTTAAGAAATAGGAAATAAAATAGTCGTACATTCGGAAGAGTTTGCCAAGCTCCAGCTGAATCACCTCCAAATCGATCTTGTAGCTGCATTGATACGTGCTGAAGGAAGGGATCATAGTCGTTGTCAATACTGTGAACACGAAGCAAAGATATAAAATTAATTCTATCTAAATTTACTAAAAAGAAGTTGCCGAAAATTAAAATTGAAGAGTAAAAACATAAAATAAAAAAGTGTTTGAAAAAGAATTTGAAAAAGAGTTTGAAAAAGAGTTTGAAAAAGAATTCTCTTTGAAATGAAAGAGAATTTGAAAAATGATTTGAAAATTAATTGGAAAAATAATGTTTACCTATAAAAATGAGTCGGGTGTGCATTGTAGAGTTTGGGTTTTAGAATTAATGGTGGTTCATCCTGGGATGGTGGTCTGATTAATGAGAATCCCATAGCTACGGCAACGAAAACCGTGGGCAAAATTAAAGCCGCCAATGGTGATCTCCAGTCTCTTGTGAAATGCCATATTCTCTTTTTCAGCAAAGCCTTGCTTTGTCGATACGCCGATGGTTTTGGTTTTGGTTCAAGGCCAATTAAATCCACGTCGTCATCATTCATTGGATACAATTCTGAAATTACAAAAAATAGTCTTAACTTGATTTTTCAAATTAAAACTTAAATTTTTTAAAAATTATGTAATTACAATTTTTCATATAATTCCCGACAGTTAATTTTCTTTCATTAAAAAATAAACTATTAAAATTTGTAACAAACAAATTTAGAATTAAAATTTAAAACTTTAATAACATTTTTTGTAACAATTTCATTATTCTCATAAATAATAATATTTTCTAAAGCAATTAAATTATTTTCCATACAATTTTAATAAAATTTCTCGAAAGAATACAATTATTTTTAAAAATATTATTTAAATTCAATTATTTTCAAAATTTTTAATAGAATTCCTTCAAAACGTTCAATTATTTTTGTAAATAATAAAATTCTTCGCAAGAATTAAAATATTAACATAAATAATAAAAATCTTCAAAGAAATTCAATTATTTTCATAAATATTAAAATGTTTCGTAGGAATTCAATTATTTTCAATAGAATTTTAATAAAATTTCTCGAAAGAATACAATTATTTTTAAAAATATTATTTAAATTCAATTATATTCAACAATTCTGATGAAATTCTTCGAGACAAATTCAATTATTTTTATAAATTGTAAAATTCTTGCCAAGGATTCAATTATTTTTGTAAATAATAAAATTCTTCTGTGAAATTCAATTATTTTCAATACAATTATAATATAATTTCTCGAAAGAATACAATTATTTTTGAAAATATTATTTAAATTCAATTATTTTCAAGATTTTTAATAAAAATTCAATTATTTTCAAAAATTCAGAAAAAATTCTTCGAACCAATTGAATTATTTTTATGAATTGTAAAATCCTCCGCAAGAAATTAATTATTTTCATAAATAATAAAATATTTTCGAGGAATTCAATTATTTTCAATACAATTTTAATAAAATTTCTCTAACAGGTTCTTTTTTAAACAATTCAATTGTTCTCAAAAGTTTTTAATAAAATTCTTTGTAAATTTCAATTATTTTCAAAATTTTCAATTAAAGTTATTTAAATAAATTTCATTATTTTTACAAAATTTAATAAAATTTTTTTAAAATAATGTAATTATTTACAAAAACTTTAATAAAATTGTATAAAAAATTTAATTTGCTATGAATTACTTTTAAAATTTTCAGTAAAAAAATATTTTACTTCATTATTTACAAGAAAATTAAAATAAATTCTTCAAAACAATTCAATTATTTTAAAGAATTTGAATGAAAATCTTGCCAAGAATTTAATTATTTTCAATACAATTTTAATTATATTTTCTCGAAAGAATTCAATTATTGAAAAAAATGTTGATAAACATACAACGATTATTAATATAGAGATAATATAGATTAATGAATTTGTTAATATTTACTGAAACATAAAATGTAATAATTTACCAATTGACGGCGCGGAGGCAATACTGTCTTGACTATTTCTCAACATTGATGATCCATTCTCCGCCTCGGAGCAAAGATCCAAAAAGAATTTTTCCAACGTGTCACATTCCAACGAAAAATGTGTAAATCCAATTAAATCCTTATTATCTTCGATAATTTTAAGAGCCGCCGAAATACTGAAAATAATTGAAATAATATACTAAAGATTTACAAAAAAAAAATGTTAACTATAAAATTAATTTTTAACAAAAGAAATTAGTTTCAAATATACTTTTTTGAAAAAAAAAACAAAACTCACTCATTACTAACGCCATTTAATCCAAAGAATGGTAAAACAACAAGTATCTCAGTTCTCGATTCCTCGCGAATAAACGCATTAGTCACAACACTCTTGACTAGAGAGGAAACATTTTCGTAAAATTTTTTATTAATGGATTTTGATTCGTCAGTGACGGGGAATGATATATGAATTTTATAGCCCTGGTTGAGGGTCATCTTTAAGGTCAACGGCGATCCGGCACGAAGGATTTTCCCTTTGTGCATTATGACAACAGTGTCACTTAACATGTCAGCCTCGTCGAGATGATGTGTGGATAGAAGGACAGTCCTTCCAACGCGATGTTGATCTATTAATCTCCAAATCCTACGTCTCGCTGCTGGATCAACTCCCGCTCCCGGTTCATCAAGAATCACGAGCTTTGGCGAGCCAAGAAATGCAAGAGCAACACACAATCGTCTCTTTGTCCCGCCGGAAAGGCGATAAATTGGATCGTGCTCCTGACGACCCAATTCCAATGATGCCATCATTCTGCAACATTTTTTTTGTTTCACATTAGGAGAAAGTTTTTATAATTGTTTTTTGAGAACTTATTTTTAATTCGTAAGATTAGAAAATTTTAATTACTAACTTTTCAATCAGGGTTGCCACAAAAAATTAATTTTGTTTTTCCCTGATTTCGAGACAAAATTCTGACTTTTTCCCTAAACCAAAGAAAAAATTCTGATTCACTCTAAAATTTATTAGATACTAAAAAAAATGTTCTAATACTAATACTTGCGAATTTCTTTAATTTTATTTTATTTTTGTAATAATTTTGTAAAATTTTATTTAAATTTCTGTAATATCTTTAAACTTGTAAAATTAAGTTTGTAAATGAAATTTGTAAAAATAAATTTATAAATTTTTGCATAATTAAAATTATAAATTAAATTAAAAAAATGTTTGTAAAATTAAATTTGTAAATTAAATTTGTAATAATTGATTACAATAGAATCATTGTAATGATTACAAAATGATTTTTCTCCTAAAAATTTACAACCACTTTTTTTAATTATTTACTTACGAGTCGACATTTCTAGTCATTTCCAAATTATCAGAAGGTTTTTTCAATTTAGCGTAGAAAGTCATGTGTTCTCGTGGAGTTAAAGTTGGAATGAGAACATTGTCTTGAGGACAAACTCCTATGTCAGGTTTAGTGCCTTCTTTTCCGTTTAAACGAATTTCGCCAGCGGTCGGAGCAATCATTCCAGTCAACATTTTTCTACAAAGTAAAAAACAACATCTTTACGTTTCATCTCATTTCATTTTAATTCATTGTAAATATTCTCTCATCAAAAAGAAAACTAAAAAAATTTAATAAAATTAAATAAAAAATATTAATATTTTAATTAAGAATTAAAAAGTCGATATAAAATATATAAAATTTTGAAAAAAAGAATTTTTTTAATAAAAAGAAGAATAGAAAAAAAACGCACATTATTGTAGTTTTTCCAGCTCCATTTCTTCCCAAAAGACTTGTCACTTCGCCTTCGCAAAGCTTCAGAGTAAAATCATCTACAGCGACTCGGGAGCCTTGCTCGATTTGATATACTTTGCGAACTCCTTCGAAACTCACGCCAACTTGTGCCTCATTCACTGTCAAACTGCTCGAGTCAGTTTCCTCATCTAAATTTCAAGAAAAATTTAATTAAGAGGTCATTTGATTTCATAACTTCTCTAATCCCACACGTCAGAAAGTTATTTTACAAGGAAAATTTTCTAAAATACATATATACTATATTTAAAGTAAACTTACACAGTATATAGCTTTAAAAGTTAGTTTCCTTGCTTTTCTCTTTTTTTTAACAAAAAAGAAAACCAATTTCCCGATTACAAAAAAATGATAATGAAAGTCTTTCATTTAAATGTTATTAAAATATAAAGCAAAAAGCACAATGAATTCAATTAACTACTTAAAATTAATGATTACGAAAAGTATGATGCCATTTTTCTACAATAATATTAATAAATAATTATAATAACTAATAATTAATACTTAATCATTAATAACTAATAATTAATAATTAATCATCAATAACTAATAATTAATAACTAAAAATTAATAATTAATTGTTAATAATAAAAAATATAAAGGAGTATGTAATTAAAAATTAAATGAAACAAAATGATAAATTGATCAAATTAGCGAATAAATTTTGGAAATTTTGAATTTCAGGGAAGTTATAAAATGAGAGGATTGTACTCTTATCAAGCCTAATAGCATGCAATGTGCTAGCGTGAGGATGAGACCTCAATACCTTGATAAGTGTCTGAAGGGTGTAGAACATCATTAGTGAAATAAAGGTTGTTGATGAAAGCTAGATAGCTAGGTAGACCATAGAGGGTACGGTTGTTACCCCACCATAAGCTGCGAGATCGTAATCCATGAAAACCCTTGCCTGTAAGTAGTTAACTTTGGACAAACAGTACTTACTTCTTTTTCAAACGATCTCACCATTTTCTATTATAATTTCATTATTATTTTTTTTGTTTAGCAGAAAAACGTAAGGGACAAAACACAGAATTATATCAAATCAACTGGACAATGTTCATAATATTAAATGACTCAACAATATTAATATTTATATCAACAAAAAATGGTATGTACGAGTATTAAAAAATTAATTTAAATATTACAAAACAGAAGAAGATAATTATTTTTATAAATTATAAATTTAGAATAATTATTGTTTTGAATAATTTACAAATTTATCATTCTTTTCTAAATTATAAATTGATAATTATTTCTCCAAATTATAGATTTATAATTATTTCTCCAAATTATAGATTTATAATTATTTCTCCAAATTATAAAATTATAATTCCTTTTCGAAACTATTAATTCATAATTCTTTTTCTAAATTACAAATATTGATCTAAATTATAAATTTATAAAAATAAATTAAAGTATTAATCTAAACAATGGAAGCTATTAATATTGAATGATTAACGGTATTAATACAGAAAAAAATAAAAAGCAATTATGTTTTAAATAAAAACAAAAATATTTAAAAAATTAAAAACATCCACCAATTTTATTATTTTACGATTTTATAATAATGTTACGTCATTGTGCCAAAAGCACGTTCAAAGCCAAAAGGCAAGAACTATGTTTAATCATCCACCAATAAAAGACAATATAGACAATGATCGATAATGAATTTCCATTATAATTTCCGCACAATCAGAATTTATTTTCAAAATTATTTAAAGAAAATTTAATATTTTATATTCAAGTTATTTAGAATTTATTCAAGTTAATATTTTACCCAATCTGACAAAGAGAAAAATTAAACTGAATGTAAACTGAAAATAATGTCTGATTGTAATGAAAAATCATGAAAAAAAACAAAGACAATGAAACATTTTTTTTTTGTAAATTAGAAATGAATGAAAATTTGAAATATTGGTAAACAATATTGATGATTCGATGAGATTTTTTTTTAAATGATAATTTTATGAGAATGGGAAATTTATTTCGTTACCTGAATTTGTGTATCTAGCAATAAGGTAGCCAATTAGAGAGTAAATGCAACCATCGACGAAAATCATAATAAGCACCAAACCTAGAGACATTGGATCACCGGGAGTCGATTCTTCCCACATTGAATTCCATTGTAAACCTACTCCTTGAACTTCTTTTCGTACAGCAAAAAGACAACCGTAGGAGAAACTCGTTGACATACTCAAACACTGGAAAAATTATTCAAATTGTATTTTATTTTCCATTATTCAAATATAAAAAAAGATAATAATTAATTTTATAAAATAAAATATATAATGGGAAATAAAATTAAAACGAGTTTTTATTCAAAAGAAACAACAACAATTATTTTCCAATTTTTTGATATCCGGAAATTTTTTTTTTAAACATAAATGTTAAATTAAAAATTAATTATTAAAATTCAAATTTGTAAAAATTAAAAGTAGTAAATAATTTGTTATTCTTACGATAAGTAATTTATAACCAAGGCCCATCGCAGCTTCCATGGCAATTACGACAATATAAGGCATGTACGTCAGCAAAAACATGGTCACTGCTGTAACAGCAGCCAAACTTGCCGAACTGAACATTATTGAAATCATATAACTGAAAACAAAAATATTTCCCCAATAATAAAAATAGAAAAATTGTTCTATTAAAAAAGAAAAATTATTTTTTTTAGAAAACAAAAGAAAATTGAACTTACCAGAAAGCGACAATTGAGAAAATATAATCAAAGAATAAAGTCAAAAGCAATAAAGGATCAGATTTCGGAAGAATTTTTCCCGCTAAAAGTATTAAGGCAATACAACACATTATTATCGATAATTCAATAAAAGATGTTATCCACCATGCTGCAGTATTTCTCCAAGGTTTCAGACCCATCACACTCATCACCTGAAAAATATAACGAACTTTTAAATAAAAATTAACACAATTAATAAAATAATTTTTAAACAAATTTCGTTTAATTTTCTTTTTTTAATAAATTAAATGAAATTTAAATGAAATTTGAAACAAAAAAAGAGTTATGCTTTTAATAATTCAAAAACTCGAGAATTAAAAATAATTAAAAATTAAATATATATATATATATATATATATATATATATATATATATATATATATATATATATATATATATATAGTTATATATATATATATATTAGCAAATTATCTGCATTCATTTGTTTGTTTTGAAAATTAAATTTTGTGGGTTAAGTATTGGCATTTTTTAAATATTTTTTAATGGCAAACTTTTTAATGTGGAAAATACTTTACTTATTAAATTGTCTCGACTCTTTGGTAAAAAATCAAAAATTATCGAAAATTCGAAAAAATTCAAAAATCTGTTTTTCTTAAAATTGAACATTTTTTTCTCTTTTTTATGGAATTTAGCTTCATTATTTTTGTGCTTTTGGAAAATACTTTACTTATTTAATAGTCTCGACTCTTTGGTAAAAAATCTAAAATTATCAAAAATTCGAAAAAATTCAAAAATCCGTTTTTCTTAAAATTCAACATTTTTTCCTCTCTTTTATAGGATTTAGCTTCATTATTTTTGTGCTTTTGGAAAATACTTTACTTATTTAATAGTCTCGACTCTTTGGTAAAAAATCTAAAATTATCAAAAATTCGAAAAAATTCAAAAATCCGTTTTTCTTAAAATTGAACATTTTTTTCTCTTTTTTATGGAATTTAGCTTCATTATTTTTGTGCTTTTGGAAAATACTTTACTTATTTAATAGTCTCGACTCTTTGGTAAAAAATCTAAAATTATCAAAAATTCGAAAAAATTCAAAAATCCGTTTTTCTTAAAATTCAACATTTTTTCCTCTCTTTTATAGGATTTAGCTTCATTATTTTTGTGCTTTTGGAAAATACTTTACTTATTTAATAGTCTCGACTCTTTGGTAAAAAATCAAAAATTATCGAAAATTCGAAAAAATTCAAAAATCTGTTTTTCTTAAAATTGAACATTTTTTTCTCTTTTTTATGGAATTTAGCTTCATTATTTTTGTGCTTTTGGAAAATACTTTACTTATTTAATAGTCTTGACTCTTTGGTAAAAAATCTAAAATTATCAAAAATTCGAAAAAATTCAAAAATCCGATTTTCTTAAAATTCAACATTTTTTCCTCTCTTTTATGGGATTTAGCTTCATTATTTTTGTGCTTTTGGAAATTACTTTACTTATTAAATTGTCTCGACTCTTTGGTAAAAAATCTAAAATTATCAAAAATTCGAAAAAATTCAAAAATCCGATTTTCTTAAAATTCAACATTTTTTCTTCTCTTTTATGGGATTAAGCTTCATTATTTTTGTGCTTTTGGAAAATACTTTACTTATTAAATTGTCTCGACTCTTTGGTAAAAAATCTAAAATTATCAAAAATTCAAAAAAATTCAAAAATCCGTTTTTCTTAAAATTCAACATTTTTTTCTCTTTTTTATGGAATTTAGCTTCATTTTTTTGTGCTTTTGGAAAATACTTTACTTATTTAATAGTCTTGACACTTTGGTAAAAAATCTAAAATTATCAAAAATTCAAAAAAATTCAAAAATCCGTTTTTCTTAAAATTCAACATTTTTTTCTCTTTTTTATGGAATTTAGCTTCATTTTTTTGTGCTTTTGGAAAATACTTTACTTATTTAATAGTCTTGACACTTTGGTAAAAAATCTAAAATTATCAAAAATTCGAAAAAATTCAAAAATCCGTTTTTCTTAAAATTGAACATTTTTTTCTCTTTTTTATGGAATTTAGCTTCATTATTTTTGTGCTTTTGGAAAATACTTTACTTATTTAATAGTCTCGACTCTTTGGTAAAAAATCTAAAATTATCAAAAATTCGAAAAAATTCAAAAATCCGTTTTTCTTAAAATTCAACATTTTTTCCTCTCTTTTATAGGATTTAGCTTCATTATTTTTGTGCTTTTGGAAAATACTTTACTTATTTAATAGTCTCGACTCTTTGGTAAAAAATCTAAAATTATCAAAAATTCGAAAAAATTCAAAAATCCGTTTTTCTTAAAATTGAACATTTTTTTCTCTTTTTTATGGAATTTAGCTTCATTATTTTTGTGCTTTTGGAAAATACTTTACTTATTTAATAGTCTCGACTCTTTGGTAAAAAATCTAAAATTATCAAAAATTCGAAAAAATTCAAAAATCCGTTTTTCTTAAAATTCAACATTTTTTCCTCTCTTTTATAGGATTTAGCTTCATTATTTTTGTGCTTTTGGAAAATACTTTACTTATTTAATAGTCTCGACTCTTTGGTAAAAAATCTAAAATTATCAAAAATTCGAAAAAATTCAAAAATCCGTTTTTCTGAAAATTGAACATTTTTTTCTCTTTTTTATGGAATTTAGCTTCATTATTTTTGTGCTTTTGGAAAATACTTTACTTATTTAATAGTCTTGACTCTTTGGTAAAAAATCTAAAATTATCAAAAATTCGAAAAAATTCAAAAATCCGATTTTCTTAAAATTCAACATTTTTTCCTCTCTTTTATGGGATTTAGCTTCATTATTTTTGTGCTTTTGGAAAATACTTTACTTATTAAATTGTCTCGAATCTTTGGTAAAAAATCTAAAATTATCAAAAATTCGAAAAAATTCAAAAATCCGATTTTCTTAAAATTCAACATTTTTTCCTCTCTTTTATAGGATTTAGCTTCATTATTTTTGTGCTTTTGGAAAATACTTTACTTATTTAATAGTCTCGACTCTTTGGTAAAAAATCTAAAATTATCAAAAATTCGAAAAAATTCAAAAATCCGTTTTTCTGAAAATTGAACATTTTTTTCTCTTTTTTATGGAATTTAGCTTCATTATTTTTGTGCTTTTGGAAAATACTTTACTTATTTAATAGTCTTGACTCTTTGGTAAAAAATCTAAAATTATCAAAAATTCGAAAAAATTCAAAAATCCGATTTTCTTAAAATTCAACATTTTTTCCTCTCTTTTATGGGATTTAGCTTCATTATTTTTGTGCTTTTGGAAATTACTTTACTTATTAAATTGTCTCGACTCTTTGGTAAAAAATCTAAAATTATCAAAAATTCGAAAAAATTCAAAAATCCGAAAAATTGAATTTCTTAAAATTCAAAATTTTTTCTTCTCTTTTATGCCATTTAGCTTTATTATTATTTGAATTTTTATTCAAGAGAAAAAATGGAAAACTTAAAAAAATTTAGAAACTTTTAAAAATTCCAGGCCTTTTCCATGATTTCCCTGATTTCCAGAAGCCTTTTAAAAATTCCATACCATTTCCATGATTTCCAGATTCTGTAGGAACCCTGCTTTTGTCTGACTTTCTTCTAAATTATCGAATTCAGTGATTTCTGGGGTGAATTTGGTTAAGTTGTAAAATGATTAATTTCTATTTGAATTCGTTTTTTTTGAATGTAGAAAATCTGATGTTAATTTAATTCTTTTTTCGTTATGCACGGCAAAAAATATTTAGCTGGATGAACTATAGATTTCACTTTAGTAGCGAAATTTTTCAGTGCTTCAATTAATACTTTCGTTATTCTAGAGAAACTTATCGCTATTTCAAGTAAAACTTTTTTCAGTGTGTAATAATTATTATTTCTTTAAAAAGTATTTAATTTAAAATGGCTTTATAAAATAAGCAATGCAAAAGATGACCCAGATACTAATTGTAATTGTTCTAGCCATAGTTTAAGTCTAGTAATGTAAATTCTTTTTAAATTGAGACCATTGAGTGAAATTATTTGAATGTTAGTTAGTTAAATCTCTTTGTTAGGTTATAATAATTATTTCTTTAAAATTTTTTAAATTGTTTAAAAGAAGCAGCCCCATACAACATTCCCGCGCGCTTGCGCGCGGATAGTTTGGCTAGTAATAAATAAAATTCAAATGATTAGAGTAAAATTAAAAATATTAATTCATAAATAAATTAATTAATAAAAATTAAAATAATTTAAAATACCATCGAATTTTGAGATTCTCTTTCCCAAACAATGTGCCGAATAGAAGCTCCAATACACATCATCAAAGCAAAAAAGAAGCAAACTATAACTCCTTGAGATTCATAAAGTGTAGATTGAAATCTGGAATAATAAAAAAAACGATTTGTTAATTTTATTCTCTATTATTTTTTTACCTTAAAGTATAAGGTAAAATAAATTTTTACTCGGTAATTATTATTAACAATTTACTAACGGAGCAAATTTCCAACAAGGATAAGGCATCTGTCGTGTGAGAGTCATCCAATCTTGATTTGTGCGCGATTTGACTCTAATAATTGCACGATCTATTGAATCTTGCAATTGAATAAATCCCCTCATATATCGCATGTTCTCCAAAAAATCGGCTTCTGGTCCAGGAAGCCAAAATTGAGTTTTCAATCTCGTCGTTGTTTGAACATAATCAACGTCCATTCTTATTTTATAAGTGACATTGTGCGGTAATTCATATTCCAATGATCTCTTCTGACGATGATCGGCAAGAAAGACAACGCCCGCTAAAAATTCATGTGTTTCCATTAATTCATCAGCGGCCTTTTCCAATTCCTCCTCTGTCGCGAATCCATAATATCGATCCAATAGTACGCAATCCATCAGGTCGTTCAACATCTCAATCATATTTATTAATCTGTACAAAATTTATTATTTCAGTAGTCAATACAAAATTTTTACTATTTTTACTATTTTTACTATTTTTACTACTTTTACTATTCTTAATATTTACAATTATTTTCAGTATTTAAAATAATTTCAATATATATTTAATAAAAATGTATTGAAAAAAAATGCTAAGAAAAAATAAAAATCGAAAGTATAGAAGTAAAATTATCAAAGAGCTTACCTCTCAGAATTCTTCAACTCCCAAGCGATTTCCGTCAAATCAATGTTCGACAAATCCATATTAACATTCGATTCACTCGATCCACTCATGGATTTTACGGCAACTTTCATCACGTCCGATGACATTATATTTTCCAAATCCTTTAAATTATCGCCCATCTCAGCGAGATGTTTAAGAGCAACGAGAGTCATTTGAAAACTATTCATGAGGCTGGAAAATTTTGCAAATTCAACGAAACTTTGATTTGATATTTTCATCACTTCTTGAATTAAAGTTGTATTCGGCGTAAAGAGAATACGCCCCCGCAACAATGGTTTCACGTAGGACCAAATTATCTTTCCTCCGGGCATACTCAAAACATTTTTATAAGTTTCTCTGCAAAATTCAGCTGTTGACAGACGATTATTAAATATATAGAGAAAGTTCTCATGTAATTTAAATTTTATTTTTATTATTTTATTATAATTTATTATAATTTATTTATTTATTTATTATAATTATATTTTTATTTATAAAAAGTTATTTTTTGAAACAATAAATTTAAATTAAATTGAATTTTTTGTAGTCTTTTGCTTTTAATCTTCCAAGTTCTAAATAAATATTTATAAATGACTTACTGGGTAAAGTTCTGAGTTCTCTTTCGTCTGCGGCTTTTATATTGTCTTCCAGAGACGCAATCACCTTGTAAAAATCACCACCTTCTTGCACCAGTGGTTTACTGCACAACATTTTGCTCGCTTCTCCGAGAAATTGACCTCCTGGAAAAAATGTATAAAAAATTTTACTTATTTCTCTAAAATTAAATAAAAAAGAAATTAAGTAAAATTAAAATTAAAAAAAAATTGAAAGGAAAACAAAATCTAATTTTAAACAAATAAGAAAGCGATTCTTTAATCATAGGAAAAATGTTAATTAAATTAGATAAATTCATTGAAGTTGTTAAATTAAAAAATTTATATATTTTTTTTAATTACTTAATTACTAGAAAAAAAAAAAATTATAAAACAGTATTGAAAAAAATATAACTTACTCGACATTGATTCAGAAGAATTTTTATTAGTACTTTCCCTCGCTGATGAAAGACTGGATGTAAGTTTTTCTTTAAAATATGGCACAAGTTCAGCGACGATTCCAAGATTGTCCAAAATGGCTTTTCCATCAGATTCCGTTAAATTTGCATTTAACAAAATATTTTTCACATTCGCACTCATTAACTGCAAAAAATAAGCAACATTTTAATAAAAAGTCAATCTAAACTAAACAAAAAATCTAAAATAACAATTAACTGTTTTCGCTAAAATCGAATAATTCTATAAAATAAAATATAAACATTTTGTGCAATAAAATCTAGCAATTCTATTAAATAAGTAAAACTTCATTTTTAATAATTTTTTAATTCCCTTATAAAGAAGTATTTAAAAAAATTAAATAAAAATAAATTTCAAAGAAATATAGAAATAATTATTACAAAATGATAAAAAATACAAAAGCAATTAGTAAAAAAATAAGTAAATAAGATTTAATAATTAATAAGACAATTAAATACGTACGTTATCGAAAATATACTGAAAATTTATATTTGAAATAAGAGTGATCGTCATATTTTGCATTTGTTCACTGTCCATTTCGCACAAAACGGAACTAACATCTTCGGCGGAAAGATGCGTGTGCTCAAAACTCAACATCTCGCTCAATTTCGTAGGCGAGCAAATTGTATCCATCAAACTCATGGCTTTCTGTTGTTTTAAAAATACAGAAATCATATCGACTTTAGCCTCACTCATAATATTCACAGCTTCACTTGGAATTCCGACATTTTCAACTAAATATTTGCTAAGCACGTCCCAATTTTTAAACAAATCGTTAGCGCCATCTGAAAGTTGCGTTTATAAATTTACAATACAATTAAAAATGAAATTATTTTTTTATTAAATTAAATATTTAATTATCATTAAAGTAAATTATTTAATTACTCTAAATTATAATTAAACTATTAAATTAATTATTACAAAATTAATTTAATAGTTAAATAATTTACTCAATTATTGCTCTAAGTAATTATTTTAGTAATTATTAAATTATAAAAAAATAAATAAATTATTATTAAAGTAATTATTAAATTTCTCTAATATAATAAAAAGATTTACCTACATTTCATATTCAGGAGTCCCAAATTTTTGAAAATTTCCATCGACTCAAAAGTGAACACCATAGCTCGAAGGTCTCTTGTAACTTCAGGATCCTCGATAAATGGTTCGAAGTCATCAAGAATTTCGTTTATTCTAATCCAGGAAATAAAATGCCGAAAAAATTAATATCCAATCGGTAAAAAATTAATCAAATATTTTAATACATTTGAATAGTTTATTTTGAGTTTAAGTTTAAGTTTAAATTTAAATTTAAATTTAAATTTAAATTTAAATTTACTTTTAAATTGAATAGTTAAAATAGTTTAATAATTGAAGTTAAATAAGTAAATAATTTTAATAAAAAAAATATATATTCACCCTTCAAAAAGTTTGTCTATTGTCTTTTCATTGACAATATTAACAACACCGTCAACAAGATCAGGAACACCGAGAGCATTTGAAACATTTTCAAAATCAATTTTACTAGCGACATCAAATAAATTGCCTCCCTCTTCCATGACCGCAGACACGTGTTTTAAAATATTTTTTATCCACACAAGATCCGTGGCAGCTTCCTTTCGCCAAAGTGAAATTTTCCGCTCAATCAATTCAAAATTGAGACTCTTAAAAAGTAATTCGGCAATCTCATTCGCTGGGATAAACTTTGATGTTTTTGAATTAAGAAGAATGAGTTTCTTCGCTTCCTTGCCACTGAGAATTTCATAGAGAACCGTTGAATTTTGACAGTGCCTCGTGGGATAGCATAAAGTACCTTCCACATCGCCAGACAATAAATTTACATTGATTTCTGCATTTGGAAGTAAATGATTTATTTTCTCCGCGTTTGAATTTTCAATAATTTCAGAAAGTGGTTTCCAAATTGGTAAATATTTCTCGGCAATGGCGGTTAAATTTTTTATCTTCGAATACATTATTAAATTGTTAAATATTTGAACATTTTTTTCTAGAGTGTCGAGAATTCCGTTCATTGCCATCACGTATCTGGAAAAATTTGTATCTCAATTTTAAAAAATTGATTTCTTTTTCCTGTTTTTTATTAGTTAATATTTTGCAATTTTTATATATATTTCTTTGTAGTCGTATTTTTTCGGAATTTTAAATTAATTAATCTTTACTAAATAATTAATTAATCTATTTATTTATATTACTCACAATCCAGGTCTTGAAAATGAAGGTCCGCCGACTAATTTATAAAAACATTCTTTCACCTCATTACTGAATGTTACATTATGATAATCAACTAAAATATCCGCTATGTAATGCAGAGAATTTTCCAAAGCACCCATAAAATTTTTCAATGTTTTTTTGTTATTCAAATATTTGTAATCCTTAATCTGCAAATAAATTCCAAACAATTGAGAAATAAATTTTTTACATTTTGTTTAACATCACTCACCATATTAACTGTTTTGTTCCAATAAAAATCTCGCACGAGTGTATCTTGAATTTCCGTCATTTTCATTCGACGCATTTTACAAATTAATTTCGAATATTCCGAGTGTTTTATTAACTGAGTATTTACAATTTCTATCATGAGCGTGTGGCACCAGGTACAATTTCTAAAAAAAAATAATAAAATACAATTAAATAGACAGAAAAGTAGATTAGTAAATTAAAATTAAATATTTCCCTTTAGAGAAAAAGAAAGGTGGATCTAAATACTTACTCTTCGTGAGGCGTGGAATTTAAAATATTATACAAAACGCCGACAGATTTTTTCATTGATGAATGTGCCAATTTTCTCAAATCCTAAATGAAAATTAAATTAAAGTGATAAGATAAATTAAATAAATTAAATTAAAATTAAAATTAAATTCAAAAGTAGAGAAATAAAATACGAATTCTATAAAATACCGTATTTCTGTATTTTGTAAGGAACTGTTTTAAAGTTTCTTCTTTAAAGGAACTCCACCAAATAGGAACTTCAACTTCCTGAAAACCTTCTGATGCAATTTGTATCAAAGTTGCTTGAAGTTTGTACATTTTTTCCACAAGATAAGTTTCATTGTAAATTATCAAATTCTCCAGTCCTGAATTTATTTTCATCTCGTACAAGTGTGCTTTCTGAAAAATTCAACAAAAGAAATTGAATCTCAAAATTTACCGAAATTCATCAAGTTCTTCTACTTCTGAATCTTTTTTTTTACATTCTCATCACAAATCATAAAGAATTTTTCAAAGAATTAATTAAATTAAAAAAATTATTATTTTTTTTTTACTTCTTGTAAATACAGTACCTCGGCATAAAAATCCAAAGGCAAAAAATCCTCAGTCTTAAGTTTCACTGCGCCATTCACAAATTTTTGACAAACATCCGTGATGCTGGTGAGAATTTTTTTCTTCTTAATAAATTTCGGTGGTATCAAGTATTTATCGATATCGCAAAGTTTCACTTTCCCGGCGAAAAGTAATTCAGCAAAATCATTCAGTCTCTCGGAGTTGATAAAAGTGTCAACGACAGTTATCACAAGATTTGGTAAATCCTCAACGATCGTCAATAAGGGTTGGATTTTTGAGTCCTTGTAAATTATTTGAAGTTTCTGCCAAATGTCACCGCCGGATAAAAGTTCCATTATTGATACAAGAACTTGAGGAACCCTTTAAACGAGAAAAAGTTTTAAAAAAAGGAAAATTTCAATTTCAATTTAAATTCTTTCAAATATAAAATTTATTTCAATGAAATTTGACAAAACTTCTAATTGTCCAAAATTGTGAAAATTGTCTATTTACAAATTAATTGACAAACGTTTGACATGAAAATTAGAACTGTAAAATAATTTGGAATCAAAAAGCCCTAACTTCACGTGAGGAGAGAATATTTCGATTATTATTATTACATAACAATATATAATATCAAAAAAGTAATACCTGTACATTTGTCCCATTAATGAATCGTTTGGAAAATATTCTCTGGCAAATTTATTCACCCAAGAGAGTTCAGTTCGATTAATTGTTCTCCAAGTTATTCCGTCAATTGGAATATTCCTCCAAGTGGTGGCATTAAAAATATTTGATTTCAAAATTACCTTTGGATTCTGAGATGATAATTTCATGATTTCTTTCAATAAAAGTGAGACTGATTTCGAAAGAGGTGTCACTCTTTTCAATACGTCTGTGTGGCCATTAGCTACCAACTGTAAATTCAAATTCTAATTAGAATTCTATACAAATAATATAGAATAAAAAGAAATTACTTGCGAATACGTTTATAATATGTATACTTACAAATAATTCCTCGCTGGTTAAAGTTTTCAGTAGTTGATCAAAATCAAAAGAGCAAATACTACTTAAAAAGTGCGTTGCATTGGCTTGCATCCACATTCCAGTTTTGGGATGAGTAGTGCACCAATTCTTTTTAAAATGTTTAATAGAATACGGTTGCATAGTTTCCGGATCAATTTCACTTATGACGGCAAAAAATGCAATTGCTTCTTGTGGATAATTTTCCAAAAGTTTCACAAACTGATGAACATCGCCCTTTTCAAATAAATCCCAAGTATGAAGTTCATTGTTCTTCAACTGCACTTCACTCAAAGTTTTTGCCATTTTGCTGATAACTTCAGAAATACCTTCCACTGCCAAACGATAATTTCTACCTTCTGGATTGTCCTGCGCAAAAATTTAAAAAATAGTTTCTTTCCTTCTTTCTTTATTATTTTATAATCTTTATTAAAAATAAAAAAATTCTCTCACCCGAAGTATTATTCCACCAACTTCCGGAATGTCATCATTAAGTTCACGACTCAATGTCCTTGCAATATTATCAAAATATTCTTCATTAAACGGAAAAACAATTTTCATACCATTTTTAGTTTGATTTTGAATTCTTTTTCCCAAATCGGTTAAATCAATTATCAAACTTAAAAAATATGATTGATAGTCAGCGAAATTTTTTTCCCAAACTGTCGTCTGTTTCATGTAAAGATCAGTGAATGCATTAAAATTATCGGCGTCAAGATCGCAAGTGAAATTTTTCAAAATTCTATATTCAACAACACTGAGATCAACGAGGGAATTTTCGAACCAGGAAAATATTTCCGCACACGAAACACGTCCCTTTTTCATGGCAATAATTGCTTGACTATCAATTGTTGGATCAGACATTCCATTAATAAATGTTGCTAAAATATGTGGTAGATGATCGTAAGCTATTGCAATGGCACTTTTATTCTTGAATCCAAGCAATGTTAGAAGATTCATATTCCTTTGATCTGTAAAATTAAATTTAAAATTAAAATTCAATTTTATATTGTAATAATATAAAAGATTAAATTAAATAATATAAAATAGTAATATTAATTAAACTTTTTAAAGATAACAATTGTTTTTACTTCATAGAATTTAGATTCTAATTTTACCTCCGCTGAATGCATCAGAGAAAACAGTGAAGACATCGTGTAAAACGTTAGTAAAAAATTTTCCAAGTGCAAGAAAATAATTAAGATCTCTTGGAGTTCCCTCTGAATCCCAAATATTTTTCGCTGACACTTGACTGTGTAAAATATCAACTCCTTTATCAATTTTATGATCAATGAAGTCCACAATTTTTCTGAAATAATAATTATTATTTAATAATAATATATTAAGAATAATAATAAAAATAACAAAAACGATAATAATAATTAATAATAAGCCTCTTATCGACTTTCAGGCTTAAAAACTAGCATTAGTCGATTAAAAATACAAAAACTCGAAAAAGTTGTTTATTTTACACCAGAAAAATTTAATTTTCTATTTCTCTAACCTTTCAGTGATTTTTAAATTTTATTAATCAAAACCTAATTTATTTTGTTATACAAATATTTAAATACTTGTTAGGATTTAATTTTTCACAAGAAATAAAATTGTTAAAATTTCAAATCCAAACATACTGAAATAATTTCTAGAAATTTCAACTGTAATTCATTCAAAATTTAATTATTTTCTAGAATTTTTAACTAAATCTTTTCACTAAATCAATTTATTTTTAATAATTTAATTAATTTCCCAAAAGTTTTTTTTAATATCAAAAATACTAAAAATAACTGATTTTTAAAAATTTATTATAAAAAATATTCATAAAATTAGTTTTTAACATATCTTTTTCAATAATTTCATAAAGATAAGAGATTCTTTAATGGCATACAGTTAAAAAGTTTCCAAATAATTTAAATCTTTTTGAAAACATTAAAAAATAATCAAGTTTTAAAAGAATATTCTCCAAAATTTTAATAATTTTAAAAAAACAGATTTTAAAAAAGTTTTAATTTTTTTCCTTGAAATAATTGAATTTCAAAAAATTATGAAAAGAAATTCAAAGAATTAATTTTTTAAACATATTGAAATGTAATTTTTCAACAATAATTGTATTTTTTGAAAGAAAAATTACAACTGTTCTCCTTCCAAATTTTTGTAAAAGTAAAATATTCTTAAAATTAGTTTATTTAAAATATTTAAAAATATTTTTTGAAAAATAATACATTTTTCGTTGATAAATAATTGAAAATTATTTACAAAATGATTGAAATTAAGTAAACTTTTTTGAAAATAATTAAATTTTTTAAAAGAATAATATTTTTTCAAAAAATATTAAAAAATCAAATTTTTGAAGAATATTGGTGAAAAAATATTAAGATTTTTCTAAATTATTAATAATAACTTAAAAAAAGTAGTTTTTTAAAAAATTTTAATTACTTTTTTTTGAAGGTAATTAAGAAAATATGATTAAAAAATTCCAAGAATTAATTTTGAAAGTAAATTAATGTAATTTTTCGATAATAATTAAATTTCTTAAAATAATATAAAGATATTTTGAAAAGTTAATCAATTCTTTTGAAAAATTTTAATTAAAAATATTCAACATGAACGTTTGTTACAGAATTTTTTTAATAATAAATCTAAAAAAATTAGATTTTTTTAAAAACTTTAATGTAATCATTTTTTTCAAATATATTCATCTTTCAGAAATTTGTAATTAAAAATATTGAATTTTTTTATTTAAAGTTTAAAGTTAATTGAATTTTAAAAAATTATAATAAGGGCATTTCAACTTTTATGACGTCACATAACATTGTTTAATATCCTTATAATGAAATTTACGAAACTATTCACTAAAATGTAGAAATAATTTTCTGAAAAGCATAAAAACTCATTAGCACACAAAGTAATTATTGAAACGAAAGTAGGGGCATAATGTTCCAAAATTTTACAGACCGATTCTCGAGAATATATCCTTTTCGTAGAGAGTGTTCAGAGTGTTAAGTTCGTTCGAGAGAAAAATTGTGAAAATTTGAAATCGTGCCTGACTATTTGAATTTCACATTCAAGAAATCATGAAATTCCTAAAAATTTTAACTCTTCCATTACTACAAATAACATTAATTTCTGGAATTACTGAAAAAACGACAATCAACTATCCTGAAATTTTTCGAGACGACATAATTGATGACTATCATGGAATTAAAGTTGCCGATCCGTTTCGTTGGCTTGAAAATCTCGATTCGCAAGATACAAAAAATTTCATCTCTGCTCAAAATTCAATTACTGATACCTATTTGAATTCATCAGTATCTTTCAAAGAAAATATCTATCGTCGTCTACAGGAACTTGATTTTGATTATTTACCATATCATTTCTGTCCCGAAAGGCATGGGAACAAATATTATTCTTTCAAAATAGAGGGTCCAGAAAGACAAGGATTTTTATATGTCCATGACACATTAGATGGGGAACAAAAATTATTACTTGATCCTAATACTTTGTCAACATCAAAGAGAAATGTCAGTATTGGTTCAAGAATATTCAGTGATGATGGAACGATGCTAGCTTACATATTACGTGAAAATAGCTCAAATTGGAACGAAATTAATTTCTTAAATTTAGAAACAGGTAACTAAAAACAACTAAACTAAACAAAAATTTAATTCTGTTATTTTCTAACTTTTCCCTGATTTCCAGATAGAATTTTGACTCATTCCTTGATTTTTAATTAAAAAAAAAATTCAAGCAGAGTTCAATTATAAATGCGAGTCTTCGACTCGGAGTGATCGCTTTCTTCATGTTTTATAATAATTAAAACTTGCTACTTTGTTACTGTAACTTCTTCAAAAATTATTTTCATCATTACGATTATTCATTTCTAGAATTTTAAACTAAAATTCTTCATTAAGTCAATTTTTTAAAATAATTTTTGAAAAAGTTTTTTGAGAATTTTCAAATTTTTTTTTCAATTTAATTTAATGAAATTTTGATTATTCTGACAATCCTCAATTAAAAATGTATTAGAAATTAAAAACTTTAAATAATTTTAAAAAATTTCATTAAACTTTTAGAAAAAAATTAATTCTACAGAATTCTTAATTAAAAGCATGAAAAGTTAAAATTTCCAGAGATTTTAATTTGAAACCTTGTGAAAATTCAATTATTTCTAAAAATCCACGCTATGCCTTCAAAATTAAATTATAATCTAAAATTTTAACTGAAACTCATTTTAAAATTAATATTTATTAGAAAATTCTACAAAAATTCAATTATTTAAATACAAAAATAAATATTTTATTAAATAATTAAATGTTTCTTAAACTTGAATTTTCATATAAAGAATTTTATCAACAAAATTTTTAAATAATTTAATTCTCTTGACAAATTTTAATAAAATTTTTAAGAATTTGTTGAGAAATTTGATGAAAATTATATAAAAAATAATTAAAATTTTGCCAAGAATTTTATTATAATTTTTGAAAATAATTGAATTTCGGAAAGGAATTTTATTTTTTATGTAGATAATTGAAATTTTGACGAGAATTTTTGTAAATTTTTGAACATAATTGGATTTTTGCGAAGAATTAGAATACTTTTGAAAATAACTGAATTCCTGAAACGAATTTTATTAAAATATTTTTTTAAATAATTGAATTCTTTTGTGAAATTTTATTGAAACAGTAGACATTGAAAATAATTGAATTTTGACAAATTTTTTAAAATTAATTAATTTTCTACGTAGAATTTTATGAAAATTATTTTGAAAAAAATTTTATTGTTACAAAGAATTTCATTATTTATGAAAAAAAAATTCAATTTTTTGAAGAAATTTAATTAAAAATATATTGAAATTAGTACTTAAATTGTAATAAATAAATTGTAGCACAAGTTTTTTAAATAATTGAATTTCTTTGCTGAATTTTAATAAAATTTTTAAGAATAATTACATTTTTTGAGGAATTCCATTAAAATTGTATTAAAAATTAAAAATAATTGAAAAACTTTTGAAAATAATTAAATTTTTTCAAGGAAAATTCTCTGAAAATTTCTACAATTAAAATTGAATTCTAAAGAATTTTATCATAATTTTTGAAAATAAAGTAAATTCTTTCGAAAAATAATCTTCAAATTATTAAAAATAATTTAATACCTCTGAAGAATGTTACTATTTATGAAAGTAATATAATTGTTCGAAGAAAATTTAAATTCTTTCGAATAATTAAGTTAAAATTGTACTGAAAATAATTGAATTCTCTTAAACAATTGTATTAAAATTTGTGAATTAATTGAATTCTTTCGAAAAAAAACTTATTGAAATTTTTAAAAATAATTAAATTTTATCAAGAAATGTTATTGAAAATAATTTAATTTCTCCGAAAAATTTTATTATTTATGAAAATAATTTAATTCTTCCCAAAAAATTTATTTACAATTTTTGAAAATAATTAAATTTTTCAAAAGATTATTATTGGTGTTTGGTGTTAAATTTAGAGTACGTTTCACTTACAGGAGAAAAATATGCCGATACTTTGAAGAAAGTAATATACACTGTAGGTTGGACCCATGATAAATTGGGAATATTTTACACAACTGTCCCTCATAATAAATCAGTGGAAACATTTGATCATGATTCTCTCGAGAATATGAAAATTTACTATCATAAATTTGGCACACAACAAACTGAAGATATTCTTGTTGTTGAATTTCCAGAACAACCACATTGGAAATTGTAAGTAGCAAATAATTTGATAAAATAATTAAAATATCAAAATGAGAATTATTAATCAAGTTTATATTAAATTTTGTAGGCACGCCAGAATTTCCGACTGTGGCCAATGGTTGTTAGTTTTAATAAATGATACTGGTAAAAATTTAGTCTATTTTACTGAATTGAATGAGAAAATTAGTGGACATTTTAATTTGACACAAATTGTTAACAAACTGGAGGCATTCTATAAGGTAATTATTAATTTTGAAATTAATTTTTTACAAATTAGTAATTTAGTAATTAATTTTTCATGTTTTTTTTCAGTACATTGGAAATGATGGTTCAAAGGCCCTTTTCTTGACAGACAAGAATGCTCCAAACAAAAAAATAATAGCAGTCGATTTATTGAATTACAAAGAGGAAAATTGGACAATTTTACTGCCTGAGAAAGCAGAGAAACTTATTAATGCTGTGACAATTGTGGATAATGATAAATTTATCGTTCAGTATTATAATGATGTGAGGTGTATTTTACAACTACGCAAATTGAATTCCGGAAAGTTACTGCAAAAAGTAAATCTTGGCATTGGAAAATTTTTCGGAAGAGTTCAGGGAAATAGAAAATATCCAGAATACATGTTCAGTTTCTCCTCCTATGTAATTCCAGCTATAATGTATAAACTAAACGTAAATAATTTCCACAACCTTGAAATTTATCGTCAAACAGAAGTACCAAATTTTAACAAATTCCTTTATAAAGTAGTTCGAATCTTCTGTCCCAGTAAGGACAACAGAACAGAAATTCCCATGACAATTTTCATGAGAAAAGGAGCAAAACTCGATGGTTCAATGCCAGCTCTTATTTACCCAACTGATAAATATGGTGTTTGCATGTTTAGCAATAAAAATATTATTTTTGCTCAGCACTTAAATGGAATTGTGGCGACAGTAGAAATTCGAGAATATGAAAATTATCCTAGAAAATTGTATCCAAATGATTTAAGCAATTATCAAAGTAGTATCGATGATTTTCAAGAAGCTGTGGAATATCTCATTAAAACTGGATATACGTCGAATGAGAAATTGATAATTAAAGGAAACGAAGATAAAGGTCTTTTAGTGGGCGCTTGTCTCAATCAAAGACCAGATCTATTTGGTGCCGCTATAATCGTCGATGGATTACTGGACATGCTTCGTTTTCATCTATTCACAGCTGATAGTCATTTAATTTCAGATTATGGTACTTCAGACGATCCAAAGAATTTTCATCATCTTGTTGAATATTCACCTCTACATAATGTCAAAGCGCCCATAAACTATAAACAATATCCGGCAATACTTGTTTTAGTAGATTACGATTATATAGTACCTTTTCATTCCTTAAAATTCATCGCAACCTTACAACACGAAATTGGACGCCTAAAACAACAAACTAATACCTTAATGGCAAAAATTGATTTTGATTCTAAGGATATCGATATTTCGACTGCAATATTCTCATTTGTTGTTGAATCATTAAAATTGAAATTTTACTTCTAGGACAAAAAATTTAATTTTAATCCGAATTGAACGCCTTCTTGTAAAATTTCATCATATTTCTTGTAATTACCATATTTTTTTTTTTTTTGACCAACTTTATAAGAAAAAATAAAAATTTCTAATCACAGAAAAAAACTTCACCTGCTTTGATCTTCAGTCTCGGGAAGACTTTCGATAACCATTTTCTTCACTTCGGGCAAAAAGTTTTTTATGTAAACGGAAACACTCGGCGCATCTACAAGTTCCACGTCTTCTGCTGAGTTCATCAGGGAATCCATTTTTTTCACCAATCGACGAAAATTTAAATAACCTTGGGTCCAATTAAAAGACGGCATTTGAACACTACTGTCACGCTGAAACTAATAAATTAACTTAATTATAACTACTTCATAATAATTTTATATTACTTTGAGAAAAGAAAAAATTCACAGCTTACGATTTTCTGAACTTTTATTAATATTGGTTGCTCGTCCCATTCGTTGATCAAAGGAGTTGGATCGCAGGATATTTTTTCAATTTCTCTCACTAACTCTCGACTTCCTGTTCTTAGTTCAAGCGCCTCTCCAATACTCTCATTATTAAAGCACGGCCAATTTGGTTCACGAGATTTGTATTCGTCAATCGCCGACAACTATTATAAAAAAATTAATATTTAATCAAAACGTACAAATTTATTCTACCTATTATTTAAAAAAATTTGAATCGAAATTGTAATAATTAATAATTGAAATTATAATAAACTAGCAAATATTACGGGAAGTTGCGCAAAATGTGATATTTAATTTATTATTATATTATACAAATTTCAATTTTTTAATTTTCAAATAAAGACTTTAATTTTTGAGTGATTTCAGATTCGAAATTCCAAAAATATTTACTTATTAACTGATTTATTATCATTAATTATTATTTTATTTTGTAAAATACCAATTAATAAAATTCTTAGAAATAATTCAATTATTTTCATAAATAATAAAATTCTTTGCAAGAATTTAATTACTTTTATAAATCCTATATTACTTCCATTACTTCGTAGGAAATCAATTGTTTTTAATACAATTTCAATAAAATTTCTCGAAAGAGTTCAATTATTTAAAAACTTTTAATAAAATTTTTTAAAAGAATTCAGTTATTTTCAGCATTATTTATATTAAATTCCTTCAAGAAATTTAATTATTTTCAAAAGTTTTTAATAAACTTCTTTGAAAAAATTCAATTCCTTTCATAAATTTTAATAATCATCTTACCATAAGAATTGAATTAATAAAAAAATTCTTCCCTGGAATTCAATGATTTTCAATACAATTTTAATTACATTTCTAAAAAATAATTCAATTATATTAACAAATTAAAAAAAATTGCTTAAAAGAATTAAATTATTTAAAAAAATTTTGACAGAATTCTTCAAAAGAATTCACTTAATTTCAGTACAATTTTAATTAAACTCCCTGAAAAAATTTAATTGTTTTCAAATTTTTCTAATAAAATTTTTCGAAACAACTTAATTCTTTTATAAAAGTTTAATAAAATTCTTCGCAAGAATTCAAATATTTTTATAACTAATAAAATTCTTCGAAAAATTCAATGAATTCAAAAATTTTGATATAATTCTTTATAAGAATTTAATTATTTTTCATACAATTTCAACTTCATTTTTCGAAAAAACTTTAATTTTCATTGAAACAGATTATTATTTTTAAAAATTTTTAATAAAATTCTTGACAAGAATTCAATTACTTCCAATACAATTTTAATAAAATTTCTTTACAGAATTGAATTTGTTTGAATAATTTTAATAACATTTTTCAAAAGAATTCAATTATTTTCAAAAATTTTGATGAAATTTTTTAGAAGAATTATTGAGTTAATTTTGGTACAATTTTAATTGTAGGAATTTTCAAAGAATTTTCCTTATAGAGAATAATATGATTTCTAAAGTTTTCATGCGAAATTATTTCTGCGAAACTTATTTTATAAATAATTAAATAATAAATCAGAATCTAATAAATCTGTATTAGTAAAAAATTTGAACTTATTACAAAAAAATTTGTATGAAATTTCTGGAAATCAATTTTTTAATTTTACTGCAATAATAAAAATTAGTTTTTCTATAATAATTTATAAGTAGCAATTTTGTATTTTAGAATGTTAAATGAAATTCAAAAATAAGTTATGATTTTTATTCGAAAACCATTTTTTAAAATTAATTTTTGTTATTTTTTAATCTTAAAAGCATTAAATTAGAATTAACATTAATTTTAAAATTTTAAATATTCAAAAAGAAAAATTACCAACAAAAGTAGGAACCAGAAAAGCAAATGAATAAATTGTATTAAATTTCAATAAATTGTAATAAATCACAATAAATTTTAATAAATTGCAATAAATTGTAATAAATTGTAGTAAATCACAATAAATTTTAATAAATTGCAATAAATTTCAATAACTTGTAAGAAATTACAATAAATTGTAATCAATTATAACAAATTTAAATAAATGAGAATAAATATTATAATAAACTTACAAAATGAACAGGAATTCTGGAAGTCATATCCACCAAATCAAGAGTCACTGGTGCAAGATTTCTCAATAGTTTACTTAATAAACTTTCCGTCTGTGGCATTAGATTAAAAATATCTTTTAATTCGATAGAATTATTTTGTCTCTGAATTTGATCGACGACATTTTCAATATTGTCAGCAAGTAAAGATGAAGTCCAAGCGACTGCGTATAAATCCGACCAATTGTCTATTGCTTTTGCATCAAAAAGCGGAAACTCCATCACGGTGAATAATTTACATAAAACTCCTACGCTGCAAAAATAATAAATTTTCATCAAATTAGAGTATTTTTGATAATTCCAAAAGAAATAAAAAAAGAGGAATTCTACAAAAACAATTATCAGTTCAAATTGAAATCAGTTTTTTTATAAATAATAGAAAATTTAATTAAAAATAAATAAAAATTTGTTTTATTTTTACATAAAAAAAAATCAGATATTGTAAAACTTGTATCAAGTGTATAACGGAGAAATAAATCTAAATCTATAAAAAAAAATTAGTTTTTGGTAAAAAAAAAAAAAATTTTTAGATTGAAGAATAAATTATAATTTAAATAGTTGGAAAATACGAACCTTGCTTCCCATGCATCTCTCGCTGTTACGCGATCAGTCCAGGCTTCTTTAAATTTCTCCGCTGCATCATTCAAAACTTTGATATTCCCTTGATCTTCTTGATGCACAAGTGAATCAATATAATGATAAATTTCCACAATTTTTTCATTAAACAGTGTCCAATTGAAATTTTGATTTTGAAATGATAGAATTGCATCGCTTTCCACATCTGTCAGATTCAAACTGAGAGCTGATTCCACTGTTCTTATAGGGCGACAAATGATGTTCATCAAAAATGTGCCATTTGTTCCCGATGGGAAATTGAGAAAATTCTCAGGATTCTTTTCCGAGCATACGGTTTCTGTCATATTTGAATATTCCAGTAGTTTCAATACCTAAAACAAATGTTTTCATATTCAGACAGAATTAATTTCATTAAAAAAATTGGTGATTAGAATTTTTCAAATTAATATTATATAAAACCTCGAACGTAAACTATAAACGTTTTAATGTAATAAAAATAGAATTACTAATATAATGGAGTTAGTAGTAAAAATTATATTTATAAAAATTGAATAATTATTGAATACACAAAAATTAATTAAAATACATTAGGAGAAAAAAATCGAATTAATAAATAAGAAGTCGAACCTTCGGTCTGTCAGCGACAGTCAAATAAAATGACTCGATTAACTCAGACTTGTGAAGACGAACATCGGCGATCCATTCGGTGGGATGAGTCTCAAGATCTCTCAGAACGGAACTTGCAATAAGATCCATTTTAATTAAGTTCGGTAAAACCGTAATAATTGTGAGGCTTTTTGATCCAAGTTCTTTTGCCTCGCTGAGATGAAGACTCAATCTGTTGACGAAAATAAAAAAAAACTGTACAATCTCTGTTTGAAATTAATTTACCCAAATTAATTAAATTTATAAAACAAAAATAAATTTGAATTCATTATTTAATGTTATTTATCTTTTATAATTTAATTAGATTCAAATTAATAATAAAATTCAATTAAGTTAATAATTAGAATCTAATTTAGTAATTAAAATAAGCTCACATGTCTAGACGTGCTTGCAATTGAGTTTCCTCAAACACTGTTTTCCATTCGTTTGGAATTGAAATTGAAGATAAATTTACAGTTTCCAATCTTCTTGATTCGGGATCTTGTAGATAAGTGATAAATGAACGAACACTTCCCACCATTGCTGTTAAATTCGATTTTTCAAATACCATCGGTTTTCTAAGAGCCATAAGTTTGAATGTATTCAAAGTATTGTCAACCTGAAAATTAGAATTAGAAATATTAAATTATTAAATTGGTAGGTAAATGAAAATTAAAATTTATTGAAAATATCATTTTTTCGACATCTCGTTTTCTCCCCTTTTTTTCTACTTACAATTCGACTGAAAGTTTGTAACTCCATGGCATTATAAACATCAGACAGAAATTTTTTTCCCTCCTCGTTGCAAACTGTATTATTTAATTTTGATAATCGATCCTTGTTCTCCAAGTCAAAAAATAATTCTCGGAAAAAAGTATCATCACAAAAAATGTCTTCAGCAGTTTTCGACGATAATTCTTCGAGGAATTTCTGTGAAAGAAATTTTATTATCATTCTTTCTTTTTCGTAAAAATTAAATTAAAAATTAAATTAAAAAAAATTTTTTAAAATTAAAAATTCTTTTTTAAATCAATTGTTCAAAGAATACAATAATATTTTTAAAAATAATTGTTCAAAGAGTGAGAAACAAAAATTCTTTAAAATATAAAATTGGACTGAACTTTTTTTTCTGATTTTCATTTAACTAACCTCAACGAAATCCAGTCGTGAAAAGGAATTTATAATCGTCCTATAAACATCAGGTTCTTGAGTCGTTAGTATTTTTTCCACAAGAGGTTGATGATTGACTACAATATTCTTCAACTTTATCAATAATTCCTCGTGAATAATGGCAACATGATGTGTCATTTGAACCACATTATCAAACATTGATACTAAATAAGAAAGATTGTACAGTATTTTTTTCGAAAAAAAGTTTTTCAATCCATCCAAAATTTCTGCTGCACTGAAAAGAGATATTTTTCAGAAAAATCGAAACAAAAAAAATATAATCAACGAAATAAATACAAAAAGTAAAAAGTTTTCTTTCTCTGAAAGAAAGAGAGAGAGAGGTAAATAATAAAATGAAACTGACACCGTTTATGATCAATAATTGAAAGAAAAATGATATTTTCCATGCAGAAAATAAAATTTCTAGTTTAAAAATATTTCCAACATTTCTTTAAGAATATTTCTAATATTTCCAATTTTTTTTTTAAACAAATAATCCAGAAATATTGTAAAAAAAAATTCTCACAGGAAAAAATTTATCATTTGTATAGAAGAATTATTTTTTTGTTTGTTAGAACAAACAAAAAAATGATTCTTCTATACAAATGATAAATTTTTTCCCAAAATCGTTGATCATAAACGTATGGAAAAAATAAAAATTGTAACTCACAGCTGCAATTGATCTTCATGTTTCACGATCAATTTTTTCGTGAGTTTAATGCCATCCACTAAAATAAGATAAGAAATATCCAAAACTTTGGTAACATTTGCCTCGTATTGATGATAATAAATTGACACAGCGTCTTCCAAATTTCCCCCAATATTTTTCATCATACTGGAAATAGTTTCATTACTCGCGTCCATTTTACCAACAATATTCTTCACCAAAACAAGAAGATCGTTTAGTTTCAAAAATGCACTTCGAGCAGTTTTCCAATCGCTCTCTTTCTTGAATATTGGATCCAACATTGTTATTGTCTTATTGATACTGAAAGCAATTGTAAATTCCAAAATTAAAAGTATATAATTAAAAAATAAAGTATATTAATTATAAATAAATAAAATTAAAAAAAAATGTTGCTATGTAAAAATAAATTACACTTACAAGAAAATATCAATTTCCTTGAATGTAGTATTTTTAAATAATGGAATAATCTTTGGCACCCAATCGCGCAGTCTTAAATAATTGGGAACGTATTTATCAATAATTCCCAAATTGAGAACAGTCTCAATTGTTTTTTTGATGTCTTTGATAAAGTCGTAGTCTTGGAATTTAGCCATAACGCGACTGACCATTTCCAAAAGTGACGTGAAATCCAAATGTTTCGTTAATTGTTCAAAAATACCGGGAATCTTTGCTGGATCTATTTCGCAAAGTACTTTTGATATCGTGACTAGATCCATTTCCTTTGGCACAATTAGAAATTTCTTTAAATTATCCGGTACGCAGACAGTGTCTTCGATGTTTGTTGAACCAAGACCCTCGATCAACTGTATAAAAAAAAAGAAAATCAGAAATATTATTTCTAAAATAAATAGGCATAGAATTTACATTTTGGAAAATTAATATTTCCCTTTTTTTATTTATTTATAAATAAAAAAGGGAAATAAATATTTCTTTTTATTTATTCATAGAAATAAATTCTTCCTTTATTTTTTTTTTGTTATGATAATAAAATTTAATACTTTACCGTATAATACGATACTCACGTAGATCAATTTTATTGAAGAATTAAAGAGTCCATCGAGCAAGTAATCCGTTGCTTGTGGCATTTGAGTTTTCAATGATCTTTTAATTGCTTCGTGATTGTTAAATAAATCGCCGAGAAAAATCCCCCTGTCTAAATATAATTAAATTAAAAATTAGTTTTAAATTCGTTATTTTCTAAATTTTATTTTGCAAATCTAGTTGAATTTAATTGAAATTTAAATTTAAAAAATAAATAAAAATAAAGAAAATTTACTTACCAAACAATTTTTTAATTTCCGGCTTGGTGAGAATTTGAGCCATTGAAGTAAAAAGTTGAACGCCTTTTGGTAAATAAGAAATCGCTGACAGAATCGTATCATTTCTCAAAACTGTTTGTAATTCCGTAATCAATGGACTCAACCTGAAATACACACATTTTTCTCAATTAGTATTAATTTTCAAAGTTTTATAGTTGCCGACTCGATAAAAAATTTCAATAATCTACAATTTCATGCAATTTACAATTTTTTTCTACTTTATAATTTTTTTATTTATTCTAATCTCAATCATTTGTTAAAAAAAATTTTTTCTGCTTTTTTTGGTGCTGTTTGGAATAAAAAAAGTTTGCATATTACAATAAATAAATAAATAAATAAATAAAAATAATGAAATAAATAAATTTTCCAATAATGATTTTTGGGATTAAAGAAATAAATAAATAATTAAGTAAACAAATAAATAAGTAAATAAATTAGTAAATAAATAAACTAAAGAGTAAATAAATAAATAAATAAATAAATAAATAAATAAATAAATGATTAAGTAAACAAATAAATAAGTAAATAAATTAGTAAATAAATAAACTAAAGAGTAAATAAATAAATAAATAAATAAATAAATAAATAAATAAATAAATAAATAAATAAATAAATAAATAAATAAATAAATAAATAAATAAATAAATAAATAAATAAATAAATAAATAAATAAATTAATTAATTAATTAATAAATAAGCAAATAAGTTAATAAATAAAAATAAATAGAAAAAAATTAGTAAAAAGATTTTCAATCGATAAATTTGAAGAAAAAAAATTACTGTAGAGGAAATTAAAAATTATCCGCGATTAAGAAAGTTAAAAGGACGATTACGATTTTTCTTTTCTTTTTTTTGCGAAAACGAATTAAAATAATTTCCTGTAATTATGCAAAAATCACGTATTTATAATGGTGTTAAAGAGTCCTCATTGTACAGTTATAGACTTACATGGCATTTTTATAAGATGGTACTTCCTCGCTTTCCGACAGTGGTTCACAGGGATTTCCCACACCACAAACGAAGCTTTGAACAAATGGCAAGATTCCATCTTGAGGCATGAATCTTGCCTGGAATTGACATGTGGGAAAATATTCTGGATCGATATTATCTCTCACCGTATAAAGAATCATAAATACAAATATTGGCCATAGAAACACCAGGCTCATAATACCCTGAAAAAAAATAATCGTTAGAATTTTTATTAATTTTTTTCTATTTTTTCTATTTTTTAATTAGGTATTCTATTTTTCATTTTTTCTATTTTTTTTTATTTCCATTTTTTATTTTATTTAATAAATAATTTAAATAAATAAATTAATAAATTTAATTAAATAATTAATGGTTAGGATTTTTAATTTTTCTATTTTCCCTTTTTCTCTATTTTTTCCTCAATTTTTATATTTTCTATTTTGATTTCTATTTTTTATTTTATTTAATAAATTATTTCCTTAAAAAATAATAAATAAATCAATAAAATTAATAAATTTATTAATAGTTAGAATTTTTTATTTTTTATTAGTTTTTCTATTTTTCCTTTTTTCTATTTTGATTTTTATTTTCCATTCCAATTTTTCATTTTATTTCTATTTATTTTAATAAATTATATTGAAAGTGAAACTCACCGGTTGACGTTTTCTGACAACATAATTTTTCCAAAGGAGGAGACCAAGCTGGTCGCCCCCCATCTTCCTGCTTCAAGAACCTGAAAAATACCAAAAAATTATTAATAAAAATTCTAAACAATATGTTGATAAATTTTTACAATTATTTTTAAAACGAACAAGTCAATTTACACAGGAAAAAAAATTAATTTTAAACTATTAAAATACATTTTTATTCAATGTTTAAAATAAACAATTTTTTAATGATAATTTGAAATTTTTATTCAATGTTTAAATAAACAATTTTTTAATGATAATTTGAAATTTTTATTCAATGTTTAAATAAACAATTTTCAAATTATCATTAAAAAATTACACTTCGAATAATTAGTTCCATAATATGTTACAAATAAATATAAATATAAAGTAAACATATTAATATAAATGTAAATATAAATATAAGAAAAAATAATTTAAATATTAACATAAATTACAAAAATGTTTAATAAATAAATAGATATTATAATAAATATTATAATCAAGTATATCAAATTTAATAATAACAATTTCAAACGGAAACAAATGTATAAGCGTAGATATCTAAAGTTAGAATTTAATCACAAATTTTATTTCCTGTTAAAAAATAATTATTCTGTCTTCTTTTTTTTTAGTAAAATAAAAATAAATTTTGAGCAATAAGTACTAACTTTTTCTCCATTTATACATTATAAACAGAAAGTTATTAAAATTATTTATTTATAATAAAAAAAATCATTCATTATTATATTAAATAAAAAAATATATATTTCTCAAAAAAATCTGTTTTTTCATTAATTTACTTATTTGTAATTATAATTAATATTAAATAAATATTCAAATTTAAATCAACGGAACTTAATATCTACACCTTCCATTTTTACTTTATCAGCAAAAAGAAGTGCAAACTGTAATAAAACTTCAGCACATGTGCAGACGAGAGGTTATTAAACTTTATTTTTTAATTTTCTACAATTAATTAGTGTTTTTTAATGAATAAAATAATTATTATGAGCAAATACAACAAATAATAATTTTTTTCGTTATATTTTGTTTAAAAAAATATTTTTTCCCTTATTCACTCTTTATTAACAATGTGGAAAAAATTCTATTCTTATTTTCACAAGAAATAACCGAAAAAAAAAGATATCTCAATATTTTTTACTAAAAGTACCTATGAAATTGGCAAAATTTCAATAAAATTTGAATTTTATTCTCTTGAGGAAAACGTGAGTACTTTTTTAAAAATATTCAAGACAATGAAAGTTCAATGAAAATAACAATGAATCTTGATAAAACCTTAACTTGTCACATCATTGTTTATTTATTTATAAAAAAACATAAAATAACAATTTATTTAAGTACAATTCCCTATTATTACCAAAAAAAATGGTTAATTCTATCCACGTGGGTTTTTTTTCAATTAAAAAAACTTTCATATAAAAACCTAAACTTTCCTGCCTGTAATTTATTATAATTTATAAATGCAGATAAAACTTGAATTCACAATAAAAAAAAAAAAAAAATTGTGTCAACAATTTTGTCAAAATTTAATTAAACGTATTGCTTAAAAAATAATAATGTTTCTCATTACAGCAATTAATTAAAAATAAATAAATTTATTTTTCAATGAAATTTTGCAATAATTTGCGCGGATTCTAAAAGGCGAAGAAGTTCATGGTTCAAGGCCATCGACCTGAACGTCATCAGTTGAATGCAGCCTTAGCCTTCCGTAGGAAATAAGGAAAATCTCGGAAATAGTGGTCGAACTAGTTTTTCATCAAGGAAGAGATCAAACTCTTTAGGATGAGCGAAATATTTCGAACAATTTTTTATTATTTTATTTTTGTTATTATTATTGTTATAAATAATAATAATAATAAAAATAGTAGTATGAACATCAATAATTATATAAAAAAATAACAATAATATTTATAATAATAATAGCAATAATAATAATAATAATAATAATAATAATAATAATAATAATAATACCTAATAATAATAATAATAATAATAATAATAATACCTAATAATAATAATAACAGCAACAATAAGCTTAAATAACAATAAATAATAAAGATTACTAATTTTTTTGTGTTAAAAACGTTTTTTGTCAGAAATATTTTATAATAATTTTTACAATTATTATTTTATAATTATTTCGGATTATTTGGTAATTAAATTAAATTAAAAAATTAAAAATTTTTAAGTGTTACAAATGAAACTCAAAATTACGAGTACTCAATGCCTGTCATGTTATTATTCTGAATAAATAAGTAAAATAATTTAATTAAATGAAATAAATAACTATTATTATTTAATTATTTTAAAAAATCGAAAGAAATAAATTTTCACACAAAAGGAAGAAATAGACAAAAAATAACAATCTAAATATAAATTTAATAAAGAACATCAATTAAAATCAACGCGATTCAACAATTATAAATTTTTATAAACAAATAACAGTTTTAAAAAATGTGTAAAAAAAAAGATCAATTAAAATCAACGTCATTCAATTATCAACTTAACAAAAAAAATAATTAAAAATGACAAATAAAATGAATATAAAAAGAAGACCAATTAAAATTAATTATTAATTTAAAAAAAGGGTAAAAAAATATAATAGAAACTCAATTAGAAAAAAATTAATCACATATTTTGTATATGTACATATGTAATTTTTGATTTTAATAATAATTTTCATTTTCTACAAATGAAATCAAATTCTAATGAATGATAAGAGCAGACAATGATTAGAATATAGAAATTAAAATAATAATAATAATAATTATTATTATTTTTTTTTTTGAAATTATTATTAGATTATACAAAATATATTTGCAAAAGAAAATTAAAAATAACAATTCAAATGCATTTAAAAAGAAGATCAATTAAAATGAACAGAAATTATATAGTTTTTAATTTGACAGCAAAAACCAAATGGCAAAAAGTAGAATAGAAAATGAAATTAAAAATTAAAATTAACTACTCAAAAAAAAAAAAACATTTAAGGGCATTTGAACCATGATGACGTCACAGATTTAAAACTAATGCTTTGCACAAACTGTGACGTCATCAAGGTTCAAATCCCCTTAATCACATATTTTGTATTAGGTACCATGTCATTTTTTATTTTAATAATCAATTTCATTTTCTAAAAAAAATGCAATCAAGTTCTAATGAAGTGATAAAAAAAGCAAAGAATGATTAGAATATAAAAATTAAAATTATTATTAGCTATTATTAGATTATAAAAAACAAATTTTGATTAAATGAAAACTATATTAAAAAAAAAATTAAAATAAATTTAAAAGAAGATTAAATTTAAATCAACAGAAATTAATGATTAATTTACCAAAAAAATCCAAAGCGTCAAAAAAATAGAATAGAAAATTAAATTAGAAATTAATAATAAAGTATTTTAAAAAATGTATTTAAAAAATGTATTTAAAAAATGTATTTAAAAAATGTATTTAAAAAAATTTATTAAAAAAAATTTATTTAAAAAAAAATTTATATAAATACATATTTTATTTGTAATGTAATTTTTCATTTTTAATCATTTTCACTTCCTAGCAATGAAATCAAATTTCTAATGAAGTGATAAAAGCAAACAAACGATTAGAATACAAAAATTATGATGTAATTTCAAAAACGAAAGTTTTCATTAGCATTTGTTGCTAATTAGAAGAAATAATTCATTTGGTATGCCCGACAGAATTTTGCAAGATAAATTTGCAACTGATAAATGTGTCACTGACCGAGAGTACTTTCAACTTGAGAATTACTAATTTAATTAGAAAACAAGAGAAACAATGTCACTATTATCAAAGGGATCATTATTTGATTCATTATATCGGATATACTTAATTATTCGAATTTTAGAAAAAATGTTCAATTATTAAAGAATTTGAAAAAAAATCAGTTAATACAGTAAATACCCTGTTGTAGTAGTAATAATAATTATATGTCGCACGTTTCAATTTCCTCAATGCACTAATGTTCGATAATTAAGTTTTATTACAGAGGATTTTTATTTTATTGTCTCTTTTTTTGTTCAAATAATTTTCTCTCAATGAACTTTGATTTTTAATTCTTTATATGCTACATCAATAATTCGACATAAATATTAATATAAAAAACGTTTCTTTTTCATTTTTATTTGAATTTTTCTTATATTCATCATTTTGATAAATTGTTTCCTGATTGTCTTTAAAAGTTCAATATTGTTAAAATGATTTTCATTGAGTAATTAGCTAAGAAAAAAAAAATCTTGAATTCATTAGTATGGCAACTTATGTAAACATTTTTCGATATTACTATGAATTAAAATTAAAATTCTGTATGGCATTCATAAGATTCAAAATTTTTGTAAAGTCAGATAATAAGTTTTTTCAGAGAGAATAAAAAACGTTTAATTACATTTTTATTAGTGGTAATTTATTCTAATTCCTTTTTAATATGTGTGCTCTGAATTGTTAATAAAATATTTTTACATTTTTAAATTTGTCGTATTTCTTAGTTCCATCAAAAAAAAAATTATAAAAAGTGCATTTTAATATTAAAGTACATTTATAATCATTTTTTATTGACTGCAAATCGAAATTTTAATATGAAATGAAGTTACTCAAATTATTAAAAATAATAATTAATATTATAATTATAATTAAATTAATTATTACCTATAAATATAATAATTTATAATATATGTGTAATTAATTATATTTATTAATTAATAGTTTTCGTAATTATTTTAGTACTAAAGAATTAATAAATAATTTATTAATTATAATTATCTATTAGTAACTAATTTTCAATAAAAGACAGTTAATGAAAAAAATATATTAATTAATAAATAAATAAATATAATTATAATAATAGCTTTTATCACATTAATAAAATTAAAGAATGAAAGAAATTAATTAACAATACAATTAAAGAAATAATTAAATTAATCCAACTAAAAAAATTTGTAGAATAGAAATATTGCACATCAGTTGAGTGACTTCGCCAACGCAATTAATGTAACACGCAATAAAAAGGAATTTTGTTCACGCGAAGAAATAATTATTCTTCCAAGAATATAAGATCAAGTTCACGAATTTAATATACAAAGCATATCAATATAATTTTTTTAAAGAAAATTTTAATCAAATTTCGTTTGTATTTTGTAACTGAAAAAAGAAAAGTTAAAAATAATTAAAATTATTTCTTTTTGAAAAATTAGGACTAAATAATTTTTTCGACGCTAACTTCAGAGACTTTAATTGACAATTAAAAGAAAATTATTAAAAAGAAAATTAAGTAAAAAGAATGACGAGCGGAAATTTGTAATGTTAATTTGTAAACATTATATTTTTCTCAATTAAATGAAGAAAATAAATACTAGACAAAAATGTCACGTTTGCAATGAGAATTTTTTTTGGTACTAAAGTTCATTATTGAAAAAAAGGAACTTCATTTATAACGTCGTATATTTAAATCTTAACGTAATCAAGCTACTATTGTTATAAACAATGATGTAAGAGTATTTAATTCATTGCAGCACGAAATTTGCATTGATTGATAATAATCAATTTAGTTCAGAGTAGAACGTCAGTCGATTATTAATAAGAACAGTAAACTTTAGTTCGTTCAACTATTAAATTATTATACTCTCTAAATTAAAAATTTATACTCTCTAAATTTAAATTAGTTAAAAATAACTAATTTAACAGTAAAAAGTCAATCTTTGTGTAATTATATTTTACATTCAAATAGTAATATTTTACCAATAATTAAATAGTTAATAATAACTAATAAAATATGAAGATATAATAAATCATATAACAGGAATGATAATAATAATAATAATAAAAAAAAATAATAATAATTAAAATAATAAAATAATAATAAAAAAAATAATAATAATAATTAAAATACTAAAAAAATAATAATAAAAATAATAGTAATAATTAAATACGATTAACAATAAAAAATTAATAATGAATTTTAATAAAAAGATCAAAAAAATATTTAATAGAGTATTTAATTTGTAATATAGTTTTATTTTAACAGTTGTTTGATTTTCATTAATTACTTCAATTAGGTATATAAATATTTACATTTTTTATTCGCAAAAAAAAGTGAAACTGCAATAACCAGTTAAGATAAAAAAAATGTTAATTATATCTAGGTTTATATAGAATGAAAAAAAAGAACATAAAAACACAGCTTTTGTTGAAAATTGGACCTACGCTATTATATCGTAAGGCAATTATTATTACCTATACAATGTTACACTTTATGAATGGCATGTGAGTAAAGAAATATTCAGTGGACCATAAAAATCCAATACACTCTTGTACACTACCACTTTTAACAAAGGCAATTATAAAAAAGAAAAAATTATTTTTTTTACAACTGTTATTTGGTATTTTTTTTTCTTCCTTTCAATTCTTATAAAACTGTTATATGGGTTTATTTTGAGGAAGTATTGCTTTCTTGTTATTATTAATACTCTTCAAATTTGAATTAGTAAAATGTAAAATTTTTTTTATTAATTTGAATTAATGACCGACTTTTTACTTTTGTTTTAGTAAATTTTATTAAATTAATAGTCATTTCTACTAATTTATTACTAACATTTACTAATTCGAAAAGAAAAAGTCAGATACTAATTTAATTTAGTAAACAATTTCACAAATTTAAATTTAGAGAGTTTAGTAATTATTATTATTAATAAAAAAATAATTATAAATAATAGATGGAAAAAAAGCTTTACCTGAAACAGGCAAAAATTTCATATTAGCTAAATTTTTAGTCGATTCAGTTAAAACTTTCGCATTAGTAAAAAATGTACTAAAAAGATTAGTAATTAAATTTTCTATATGCGTTTATAATATTTTTATTTACTTTATATTTTTTTATTATACTTTTATTGTTTATTTTAATTACTTTTTATTTCTAACTTATAATCATTAGACACAATTGTGGCAAGATAGGATAAAAAACTACATAGTTATAACTTTTAACATTTAACTATAACTCTAAATTACAAAAAAAGTTATTATCCTTATATTTTTATTGTATAAAAACTATTGTTTATTTATAATAATAATAATATATTATTTTTAATGTAGTATTAATATAATACTATTATTACTATTACTACTATACTACTACTATTATTATTTTTACTATTATCATTATATTATTATTTTTACTACTATCATTATATTATTTATTTTACTATTTTTACTATAAATATTGTATATTAAAATTAAAAAAAATATGAATAAAATAAGATACTTGTTGCAATTTATGTCGTTTATACCGAAAGTAAAAAATAATTACCAAGTAAATAAAAAAGGAACTAACTCATAAAACGAAAACAATTAAAAAATAAATACTACATGTGTATGATTATAAAGAGCAAAAATGCAATTTTTCTGCAAAAGAGATGAACAACATACATCAGAAAATAATAATTTAAAAGATAATAAAAAGTAAGAGAAAAATAAAAAAAAATGTGTATATTTAATATTTACCGGCTCCAGAAGGCTGAAAAAGGGTTTCATCCGTACAAAATAGCCTTGGAGGGAATAGTAGCAAAACTTAAAAAAGAAGAGAATCTGCCCGCTGAAATTCTTTTGTTGCACGACTTTTCCTCTCTCTCTCTCTCTCACTCTCTCTGAATTTTCAAAGACACTCTTTCACTCTATCCTTCTATATTATTTCACTTTCTTTTTTCAATCTCAAAATACTATCTGTGTTTCTTTCTACATACAGAAACACAATATAATATTCCTCACTCACTTTTTTAAAAAAATATTATTCGCGTGCCTCTGCGGCGAACGGCGGCTCGAGTTCGACTGTCGACCTTACGAACCGCAAGGGAGTACACGACCACGTGGTTTGTTTCACTCACTGCAAATCACCACCGATACAAACACTCACAAACACACGTTTATGCATAAAACTTGCAATTTTTCATGTATTCGTATTCTTCATTCCAGAACACTTGTCCGATTGCATTTGGGATTTGAAGGAATAAAAAAAGTCAAAGAAGATGAAGAATAAGAAGGACGTATTTGTTGAGAAGAAATATATATATATGTATGTGAGAGTGTAGATACGGCACTGGTCCAGAGATGCAGAAATCACGGCTGTTTTACTGTAAACAACCGCGGCAACCGGTTAATAATCAAAAAATCAACGATTGACTCTCGAGGTCGACGACAATCGATCCCATCATTTACAAACTACCTGCTTTTACTTTGGTTTTTAATGTGGGAAAAAGGGAAGGAATAACGAAATTCCAATCTTTTTTCACTAAGATTCACTGATATTATGCGTTGTTTGTTGTACTAGTAGTTATACCAGTAGTTATACTAGTGGTTGTATTAATATTTCTGTATTTTTACTATTTGTTTACTATTTACTATTTAGTAGAGAACTTGTTATACTATTTACGGTTACAGGGTTGCCTTAGGTCAGGGAATTCAGGAAAAAGTCAGGGATTTTTAGTAAAAGTAAATTCAAGGAAAAATCAGGGAAAATAAAATCGGTCAGGGAAATCAGGGAAAAGTCAGAGATTTTTAGTAAAAGTACTGGAAAAAATTGAATTTTTAAAATTCATGAGAAAACTCTGAATTTTGATGTTTTTTTTGTTTGCCTCGTAAACTATAAAATAACCACGAATTTTTAATACAAAACCTTCAATTTTTTCTATAACTTAAAATAATTTCTGTTCAAATAACTTAATTTTTCAAGAACTATCATAAAATTATTACTTATCAATTATTTAATAAATCATTTTTACAATTTTCATAAATACTAGATTGATAGAAGAATTTTAGTTAAAAGTACTTGAAAAAAATTGAATTTTGAAAAGCGGTTACAAATGATTCCAGAAATTCAATTATTTTCAATAGTTATAAAAATTCTTCGCAGAATTTCAATTATATGTTCAAAGTTTTTTTTAAAATTCTCATCAAAATTTCAATTATCTTTATAAATAATAAAATACTTCTCCAAAATTCAATTATTTTTAAAAATTTTAATAAAATTCTTGGCAAAATTTCACAGGAATTCAATTATTTAAAATACAAAATTTCATAAAATTTTTAGAAAAATATTAATTATTTAAAAAGATTTTTATAAAATTCATCGTAAGAATTCAATTATTTAAAAAAAAATTTAACAAAGTTCTTTTCAAAAATTCAATTATTTTTATAAATAATAAAATTCTTCACCGAAATTCAATTATTTTTATAAACTTGAATAAAATTCGTTGCAAGAATTTAATTATTTATATAAATAATAAAATTCTTCACCGAAATTCAATTATTTTTATAAAATTGAATAAAATTCGTTGAAAGAATTAAATTATTTTCAAAAGTAATAAAATTCTTCGCAAAAATTCAATTATTTTTAAAAAATTTAATAAAATTCTTATCAAAATTTCAATTATCTTTAAAAATAGTAAAATACTTCTTCGAAATTCAATTATTTTTAAAAATTTTAATAAAATTCTTGGCAAAATTTCACAGAAATTCAATTATTTAAAATACAAAATTTCATAAAATTTTTAGAAAAATATTAATTATTTAAAAAGATTTTTATAAAATTCATCGTAAGAATTCAATTATTTAAAAAAAAATTTAACAAAGTTCTTTTCAAAAATTCAATTATTTTTATAAATAATAAAATTCTTCACCGAAATTCAATTATTTTTATAAACTTGAATAAAATTCGATGCAAGAATTTAATTATTTGTATAAAATAAATAATTTAATTCTTCACGGAAATTCAATTATTTTTATAAAATTGAATAAAACTCGTTGGAAGAATTAAATTATTTTCAAAAGTAATAAAATTCTTTTTCGAAATTCAATTATTTTAGAAAAATTTGTCGATAAAATTCTTTATGAGAATTCAATTTTAACAATCATATAATTTATTCAATAAATTATTTATTTTTTAATTTAAATAATTGAATTCTTCTAGAATTTTCTAATAAAAATTGATTTAAAAATGAATTACGGAATAATTGATTTATTATTTATGAAAATAATTGAATTCTTGCAACGAATTTTATTAAATTTTTTTTTAAATAATTGAATTTTTTTGAAAAATTTTACTACTTGTAAAAATAATTGAATTCTTGTGAAGGATTGTATTAGGATTTTTGTAAATAATTAACTTTTTTTTGAAAAATTTTATGGTAATTTAAATTATTGCGAAACATGAAGAAGGCGATCACTTCGAGTCGAAGACTCGGAGTGATCGCCTTTTTCATGTTTTGTAATAATATTCTTATAAGTTGTTGAATTAAAAAAAGGTTTGAATTTTAATGTTTTGAAGAATTTTAATTCCTACGGAAAAATAATAATGATTAAATATTTATTTAAAAAAGAAGTTATTGATGTTTTTGAATAATTTTACTTTTGAAGAAATTTGTAAATAAACGTTATAGAACATTTGTTTGAGTATCTAATAATTTTTAGAGTGAATCAGAATATTCTTTAGGGTCAGGGAAAAAGTGAAAATTTTGTATGGAAATCAGGGAAAATAACCCCTTTAGAATATTTTCAAAAATATACTTAGAACTCTAAAAATATTTTCAGATGTAACTCTTGAACTACTTCAAAAACTCAAAGAATTCAAATGTTTTAGAGATTTAAACAGTGTTCATAAAACTTCCAAAACTTCAAAAACTGTATAGGTAAATGTATTAAGCAGTGACATTTTCGTCCCTAAAACTTCTTTTTTCTAGAAATAAAAGCATTATAATTATCTCAAGCATACATACATATATGCAACAAGAGAAGAAGAGATGAGATGATGAAAGATTATATCAAAGAATACGTAATTTATTGTTTTCATAAGTAACCCACACGTTACATATCATTATGCACTCGAGCATTATTTATGCTTTAAAATCGCTTTATACCGCATGAGTCTGCATAAAAATACACACAAAACTCATTAAACTTTTGAGCTCGCTTTTGAGAAATATTTTTTACCTAAAAGAAAAATCTACAATCGAGATAATAATAGCCAATCTTATTTTGTGCGAACGATCATTTTAGCAATAAATTATCACCTTTATTTATTAATGTTCCTCTATAATATATCATTTAGAAATTGTTCCTTCCACAAGATATTCATATTAGCTCAGCAGTTCTAAAGTTCAATCAGTAAAAAGTCTTCTACTTTTGAAGTTCATCTTAGATTCTCATCTCAATTCCATCCTAATTATTAAATTCCAACTAAATTCGTAAATTTATTTCGTAAAGTTTTGCTATATTGAGGCAATGTTATCAATGTTGCTCAATTGCAAGTTCAGATGCTGTTGGGGTTATAATCTGATGCTAAAGAAAAAATTTACCATGCTGAACAGATCCGATTTAGGAAAAGAATCCAGCCTCAAGCAATCGGTCTATTTTTACTACAGTATCATAGTATTTAATTCAGACAACAAATTTTTTTCCTGGTACCATTTTTATCAGTGTATTGCAACATAAAACTTTGATTATCGCACCCACATGGTTCAACTTCAGAATAAATAAGTAGTTTTTGTAGATTCAGCGCAAGTGGTATGATTCTCTGAATACTACCTACACGGAAAAAAATGGTTTGATTCCGATAACCAAACTGTTGACTACTGCTGACTACATAAAAGTTGTCACTGAAAGTCATCTATTGTTGACTAGTTTAATTCTTTAATTTTATTAAAAGATAGTAGAAAATAGTATAAAATAAGTAACAATAAAGGAACGTACTAAAAAATGTTCTTAATTTTTCAAATGATATAGAAGAGTACCTGTATAATTGGACACGGTAAACCAGCATCGCGTCCTTCTTTATTAATATGATCGTCGTATAATCACTTCCGTCGAATTCGTATTGCGAAACGTTATCGTTGGCATTGTACAACTCACAATTCGTTATCAAGGAATAGAAAATATTTTATATCGATTTGAGAAAAGCCTGTTAAGTTGTTGTTGTTGTTATTCATTCCAAGAGCCGATTGAACTCCAACAATTGTTTGGAACTACAAAATTAAATTTACCAACTAAGTATTACTAAAAAACACCATCGACACTTTTGAACTGAACTAATGTTTGTAACACTGCGTCAGTTATAATATCAAAAAATTTATTCTACATTAATTCAAAGAAATTCGATGAAGATTTTTATGTCCCTAAAGTTAGCGTCAAAAAGTCATCATCAAAATGTCGTTAATTTCACTTCTTTCATTCACCTAAACAGTTAAAAAAAACACACAGAGCACTAAAAACTTTGTAAGAATTCTTTGCATCTTTTCGGTTCTGCAAAAAAAGAATCCTATCGATGCGAACTTCAGGGACTTCAACTTTTTGTGAATAAGATTAATAAAAATTGAAGAAGATCTAAAAAATAGAAAAGGATTCGAGACCTAACTCATAAATTCTTCAAGTCAAACAAACAGTATTGTACTGTTAAACGATTAATGCTAAACATACAAAAGTCAAATAAACAGATTTCTTCTGAAACCCAACAAAATCTCTCTTTTTTTTCTCGTATCTATACAAGACATTTTTTTCAGAACTGCTACTTAATATATACCTTATGCCTTAAAAAAAGCATTCGTGAATCTAAAAATACCACGAGTACCACACTTATATAAAAGAAGGAGAAAAAAACCATAAACTCGTCAGACAAGTGGGCATAGAGTCAAGCCACAATTGTTATTATTCTTGGAAAACGTATTATCGTTTTTGTTCACCATAAACGATTATTATTTCTATTAAATAGTTTTAGTATGAAAGACTCTCTCAAAATGTATAGCTATGGCTGTTGTAATATTAAATTTCAGCTTTAAAAAAAAAGAATGAAGGTAAAAGACCATAAACACTAAAGTGTTAACCGGCATATTAACGCTTTTTTCGAATTCACGCAATATATTTATCTGCACGTTATGGAGAAAATGAAATTATATACATCTATTCATATATATAGAGATGTAAAAAAAAAGGAAATATTGAGTATTGCATTACGTGTATTGAAGGCAGAAAGCAAGAGTAAAATGATATGCAATCGTTCACGAGGCAAGTATGTATCCACACTGACAACACAATATTAAAAAAAAAAAGTGTAAAAACTGAAGACAACATCATTTAAAATTTTAATCACGCTTTAGTGTAAAATAATTTATGGAGTGTAAAAATTTTCTTCAAGAAAAAAAAAGAATTAAAGATCTTATTTTTTCGGTAAACAGTCGCTACCGAAAAATAAATAGGTAATTCATTCGGAAATTGCCTTTTAGTGGAAAAGAATTTTAATATACATGTAATAAAACATATTATTATTAATTAATAATAATGTAATACACATATTAATAATAAAAAAAAAATAAAAAAATAAAGATAACAATAACAATGAAAATAATAATGGGAGCCAGGACCCGTATATATGTTAAAATAAAAATACTAATAAATATAATGATAATAATAATTAAATTTAATAAAAAACAAACAAAAATAATATTTAAATTAAATTAACCAAAAGAACAATTTAAAAAAATATGAAAATACATTTAAAAAATGTATTTGATTCAAATAACCGATTACTTGTGTATTATCAAATAAATATTTAGTTGAAACAAATAATTTTTATTTTTAATCAATTAAATTGCATTTGAAATAATAATTTCAGTGAAGCAAATTTAATTTAATTGATTTACATAAAATTTATTTGGATTTAAGTAAATATTTATTTAATAATAGAAAAGTAATTGATTTTAATAAAATAACATTTTTTTTCAGTGTTGAGCTATTAAATGTTTGTGTATAAAAATTAACAAAAAGTAATTAATAATTAGATCAAAATTATAAAGTATAAAATCTGAAAGTTCTTAAAAATAAAATAAAATAATAATGTAATTAATAAAATTGACAAATAAATAAATAAAAATAGTAATTATTTATATTATACAATCAGAAACAAATTTTGCACATTTTAGTTGAATTAATCAACCATAAGAATCAAATAAACAGCAAATTTTTAAAATTCAATGGAAAAATTTTAATTAAATAATATTTTCTAATTAATTAGTAAATTTACGATTTAAATAAAAATTCAAATTAGATTTAAATCTAAAATTACACTTTTCTAGAACAATAAAAACTGCGATGTAACAATAGAAATTTTTATTTATAAATATTGTAACATTCAGAAAAATGGTAAAATTCGACGTTTACAAAAAAAAAAAATTAATAATATTAAAAATGTAGGTTTAAAGTTTTTAATTTAGAGATAAATTTTCCGTTTTTTTTACATGTTGAAAATTCTCTTCGATTAAAAAAGCATGAAAAAACTGACAAATGATTCGTCAATAACATGCATTATAAAAAGTCAGGTTCAATGTCAAACTATTACGACAAGGATTACCAGCAAAAAAACGTAATAAACAATTTAAACAGTTATTTTGCAATTACATATTACACTGCACTGAACCCAGAGGCAAATTAAGGATTAAAAATCCAAAAAGAAAATGCTGAGTCAATTTTTTCACAAAATGGTAGACAGGAAAAATATTTCATACATAATTTTTTTTTAAATCTCGTCTAAACAGTTTTTTTTTCTTCTTCCTCTTCTCTTTCGATATATCATCATTTCAATTTCAATTTCACCATAAATTCAAATTTGAAATCAAATAAATTCAAATTTGAACTGATATTAACAATATTTCGTATTTTATACAACAAATAATATTTCAATCATTTTTTTAGCGACGAAATACCTACAAAATTTAATAATATTCGACAATATTCCACAAATACAAATTGAAAAAAAAAATTGTTTAACTTCCTGTTTCTTTGCTAAAATTAATTTTCCTTTAGTTACAATTTTACAAATATTATGCGATTGTTTATTAAAATAGAAATAATCACTTATAAATATATTTCACACACTTATCTTTCAGAAATCACTTTAATAATCGATATTAAATATACAGTATTAATAAACCAATTAAAATTAATTATATTAATTAATAAAAAGTGATTTCAAAAATCATGACAATTCCAATGAATCGAAATTATAAATAAAAAACATAAAACTTCGATTTTAATGTAAAAAAGAAATCCAAATTCATTGATAAAAATTGTAAATATTTTTTTGGATTCAATTGCACTAAATTAAAAATGTTCTACAAAAACTTCTTCTTTTTTTTTAATGAAAAAAAAAGGAATTTTCGAGAAAAGTGTTTTCAAAAAAAAAGGTAAAAAGCAAACCTAGGGTAAAATATGGAAATTTTTACACTAGAGGTAAAAATTTCCAAGATTGTAAATTACTTAATAAAAAAAAAAATATTATGCCTTGTACAAAATGTACAAAAATTTCAGTCTCATCTTTAAAAATTCTTTCTCCTATAATTATTTTCTTTTCTCCTCCCAATTTTCTCTTCTTCAATTAATTTTCAAATACGAACGAATTCGTTTTGATTCGTATTTACCCTTTGACATGGTGATATGGTAAAAATCGTAAATTGTTGGAAAATAACCATTATAATTACTCGTACAATCGACAGCATAATGTATCATTTGCTTGAGAATAAGCATTGGCGATTCATTATTTATTTCCTTGATTTTTATTGATGTTCGATCAATGGAAATATATAAAATAATACCATTTTCACGACGTCTCGTTGCATTTATTGCAGTTTGTATTAGTCCATTACTTATCAATGAACAACCACTGAGAGTGAGTATTTTTAAATTATTCGCGTTACGAATAATTCCAGTTAATGATTCGTCGGTAATATTCGAACAATTTCTACAATCCATTACTTCTAATTGCGATATTATGCCAAAATATTTACCACTTATATTACTTATTCCTCCTAATGCTAAATAAGTTAAATTTGGTAATGTTTTTAAACGTCTCGTTCCCTCGTCCGTTACACTTTGACAACCTGTTCAAAAAAAGAGAAAAAATTCATTAATTAATTGATTTTTTAATGAATTTTTTGAAAAATATTTAAAAATAATTAAGTTTTTAAAAAATTTTCAATTACAAATATGAAAATTCATGATTTTTGGAAAATTCTAATGATAAGTCAACAAAGGAAATGTTTTCAGTTTTAATTTACTTTTTTTTTTAAGCAAATTGATTTTCAAAAAATTGAGATAAAAATTCTAAGAATTAGTTTTTGGAAAATACTTTTTTGTGAAGAGAATTAAATTTCCAAAAATGATGGTAAAAAATTCTAGGAAATAGGTTTTTTAAAATATATTATAATTTTTTGAAGCAAATTTGAATTAATTTTTATTTTCAATTAAATATTAAATTCCAAAAAGAAAACTTACCACTGAAGTTGAGGAAAGTAAGTTTTTTACAATACGCTGATAAATTGTAGAGAAATTCATCATTCACATTGTCGTTCAATTCGATATTTAATTTCTCAATATTTTTCAATTGATAAACTGACAATGACCACAAAAGATTATTTGACGAAAACGACATCGTGATTCCCAAATTTTTAATTGGAGAATCAGCGGAGAAATTTAATCGGTCACCGGCTGTTAAACCGCTCGAGCAAAATGTATGCAACTTTGTGGATTTTTGCAAAACCTAAAAACAAGAATAAAAAAATATAGTTATTGTCAAAAAATTATAATTAAAAATTAAAAAATTAAAAAACAATATTCCATTCCATTCTAAGAATCACAAAAAAAATTGTATCAGGCACTGCAACAAATAGTAAAATAATTTTTTAAAAACCGTTAAATATCAAAAAAAGAAAAATTAAATACTCACATCTAACAATGGATTGAGTTCAATATGACCGCAATTTTCCATAATTATTTCCTCGAGTGATTCAAGTGGTAAATGCTCGATAAAATCATCGCCAATAATACTGTCAATGAAGAATAATTTTAAATTCTTCATCAATGATAGTAAATAGAATAGCATTTCATCGGTGAGAATCATTGATTGATGTGCATAGCCAAATTTCATTAATTGTGGCGCATAATATTTTATGCATTTTATTAATTCATTCATTTTATCATTGTCCGTATTAAATGGATATGTTAAAAATAGTGTATCAATTTTATTGCAACTTTCCAAAACATCGCATAGAAATTTTACACTTATTTCCTGTTGTATTCCAATTGGAAATTGACGACTTAAATCAATCGATGTTATGTAACGTGACAATCGCATTAAAATTTTTCTCGTTGTATTGTAATCACGAAATAAACCACACGGTAAATTCCATGATTTGTGATTTAATGAGAGTTTTCTAAATTGATAATGACACCATGCTTTCTCACACAATTCTTTCCATCTCTTGCAAACTGTAATAATTCAAAATATTGTAATAAAAATATTATAACAAAAATACAATAATAATATTTTTTAATTCGATAAAATTTTTATTTCACTGTAAAATAAAAAGTTAATTTCAAGTTTTCCATAAACATTTTTTGACTATTTTTATTTGAATAAATAAATAATATTTGTCAATAAAAAAATGCTTATTATTAGCGTAATTTTTCAATTTTTAGACTTTAGGTTTTATAAAGTCATTAAACAAGTTTTCAGACAGAAAATAGTTACAGTAAATATTAAATTAGAATAAAAAATAATCACTAAATAAATAGAAAAATAAATAACAAAATTTGATCTTTAAAAATTGAATAAAAGTGAATAAAAAATACTAAACATTGTTAATAAAAATGAAATAATCTTTTGCTTTCTTAATTATTAGAATTTAGGTTCTTTGGACAATTATCAAAATCGTTAATAAAAATTAACTAATTTTATCATTTTCCAAATTTTTAGACTTTAGGTTTTTTTTAAATAGAGAATAATTAAAAGAATAAAAATTGATTAATTAAATAAAAAAATACATTACAGAATAAAAAAGTAATTAAAAAATTGAGTAAAAAATAAACAATAGTTAACAAAAATAAAATAATAGTTCCTAACAAAGCAAAACTAATTTACTCACTTTCTTAATTTTTAGACTTAAACTATAGGTTTTTTTTTAGACAAATAGAAAATAATTAAAAGAATAAAAATTAATTAACTAAATAAAAAAGTAATTAAAAAATTGAGTAAAAAATAAATAACAATAGTTAGGAAAAATAAAATAATAGTTCGTAATAAAGCAAAAATAATTTTCTCACTTTCTCAATTTTTAGACTTTAGGCTCTTTGAACAAATACACAAAAATAATTAAAATAAAAAAAATCATTAAATAAATAAAAAAGTAAATAAAATCCAAAAAAATTGAAAAATTGAAACAAGCTGAGTATAAATATTGTAATTAAATAATTAGACAAAATAATAGAATTTAAAAATACAAAAAGTTTTCAAATCCACAAAATCAATAAACAAATAAATAAAATTCGGATTTTAATACGATTGTAAACTTAGATTAATTTTTTAAACATTTACCTTCCTCTGCATTGAGTTTATCATCAACTGTCAAATATTCAAAAATATGAATAAGACAGTAATCATTTAATATTTTAATATTTTTTGAATCCACAGCTGTCACCTCATCACAATGGGACTCCATTTCCTAAAATTAAAAATACAATATTATTGCATTAAACAATCAACAAATGTAAAAGAAATTTTTTTAAACTTTTCTTTTTTTAGAAAATATTTTCACATTGAAAGTGAACACTAACACTGAAAGTTATACTCGATGTTTGTCATAACCTTTTTTTAATTACTCCCCCATAGAGTGAAGTCAGCCTGAGAATAATGCAGCCAGACCTTTTATTCCTTTGTCAAGGAAATAAAAAGGTAAAAGTCACAAGTTTCAGGTAAAATTTTGAAATAAATATATATTTTTTCCTGAGAAAGTCATCCACTACAAAAACTTTTTGCTTGTATCAATTGAAGGGAAATTGTAAAATTTGAACTGAAATAGAAAAAATATTTCTGAATTAAAATAAATGAAAAATAGATGAATTACAATTATTTCTATTTTCTTTGAATACTTACCGTATTATTTACATTTTGTAATAGATAATTATTTTTACAAACTATTTACACACTCACAACACTCTTGACGCGACACCGTCCATGATCGCAATGATGATCATGGTTGGGAAACGTGTGTGAAATTTTGAAAATGAAAATTATAGCAATAAAATTTTTTTTTCTATTATATTTTCTATCAAGTTTAATAAAATACCAAAGTGGTTCTAGAGTTAAAATAATAAATAATTCATCGTGTAAAATCGTTTGAAATATTTTTTAAAAAAAACTTTAATTTAAAAAAATATTTATCGAAAACGAAAATTTTTGTTTAAATTTTAAAAGGGGGAACTGCCCAATCCTGACTCGTCAGGAGCGGGGATTAAATTTAAATCACCCGATTCATAAACACCGGGGAAATTTTGTAATAATTTTTGGAGAAATTAATTATTTTCTATTTGTTAATAAATTTTTGGTTGGTGAAAATAAGAAAAGAAAAAATTTTGTTGAATTTTGAGGGAAAAATTGAGAAATGGTACAATTTTTCGGGCAAAAGGGATGTCAAGTGAATTCTTATAATTACGCTCCTGCACCAGTGAAGTAACGAAGATTTTGTGGGCCCTGTGTCTTTTTAATTAATAGAAAAATTTGAAACAAATAATTTATTTAAAAATACTGTATAAATATTTAATTATACTGTATAAATAATTAAATAATATATTATAATATAATATAATATATTATTATATATTATATATTATAATATATTATTGTTTAAATATTTAAACATAGCTAAGTATTTTAATAATATAAATAAATATTATATTTATTGTTTATATATACATAAACATTTAAGTGTAATTATTGAAATAATTTTTTTAAATACATAAATATTTTATTTATAATTATAACTTTAAATATTTTTTTCAAAACTAAATGTTTATACATTTTCCTTAAATACAAAAATTTAAATATTTTCTTTAATTATAAATATTTAAACGTTTTCTTTAAATGTAAAAATATTTTGTCAAAAAGACAAATATTTAGTAATAATTTTTCCTTGTGAATGAAGAACAAAAAATAATTTGTAAATTTGAAATTAAACAGAATTAAATAGGATGAGGCAGGAAATTTTTCATGAAATTGTGTAGTTCTTCGTTTCCAGGTTTATTTTTTTCAGCATAACCCGGTAAATTCTGCTCACAATTTTTCAACCAACTTCGAATATTTGGATATTTATCCAAAGGTCTTAAAGCCTGAAAATTGGAAAAAAAAATTAAATTCAAATACACTCAAACCTGAATGACTGGGAAACCTCTTTAAGTGGAAACAAGTTCTTACTCGTAACTAAGTTTGACTGCATATTAATTTTTATTATTAATTTAATTTATCTAATTATTCAATTTAAATTTGTTATTTATTAGAAATTTATATATTTTCAAAAATAATAAGTAAGACAAAAATAATAAATAAATAAATAATAGAAAAATAAATCATAAATATTTAAATTCAGCCAATATTGGCAAGTTTGCTGACCATAAGACTGGAAAGAGTTGAAACACAACTGATATCAGCCAAAGTGTAAAAATTCCCAACGAGCCATTTTTTTCCTTCCAAACATTTTTCAAGAATTTCGAATGTGTTGTTTAAAATTTCAATTTTTTCCTCAGGAATATCGTACTTTCCAATTATAAACCACGGTCTCTGAAATTAGCGAAAATTAATTTTACATTGTCAGTAAATCAGAAAAATATTTTTTTCTTACAATACTAACTTTATTTACGAAAATTTATTTTACTTACTCTATACAGTAAAAGCAAAATTTGATTAAAAGAAAAAGTTTTACCGAAATAGTTCCCAATGTAACAAACAAATATTCATTATCAAACTGAAGAAATTGATTAATTTTTGCTCGAGTCCAAAGATCCTTTGGATATAGCGAATCATTTTTGGCATATTTTTCCACTAAATATTGCATAATTGCGTGACTAAAAATTAATGACAAAATTTAATAATATTTATTTATTATAATAAAATTATTATTAAAATTTATTAAATATTAAAATACCTGTCCCAAAGTATAAATCCATTATCATCTAAAGTGGGAATAGTATGCTGTGGATTCATCTGAATTTTTTTTTTGGGAAAAAAATATTTGAAAAATAATCAAATTTTTGATAATAAAATATAGTAAAAAAATGTTTTAAAAAAGACCTTAACAAAATCTGGTTTCATATTTTCCTCAGTATGAAGATTAATTTCACGAATTTCTAAATCAAGTCCAATTGCTGTTGCTGTTAATAAAACGGCTCTACAAGGAGGACTTATGTCCGTAGCGTATAAAATAGGTCGCGGCATTTTTCTGGGAAAAAAAATTAATTTTGTAATTAATTTATTCAAAAAAAGTAACAATTGATAAGCAAGGATGTAAAATTACAAAAAAACATACATTTATTTATTTAATTTCTGAATATATTTTTTATGCTATAGAATTTAGCTTGTTACGTAAATTTTAAAGTAATCGAAAATTCACAAATTAAAATTTCAAATTAAAACGAATTCAAAGTAAATTATTCGACTCGAAAATTTCCAAAGTAAAAATAAAGTCACTATGATTTTTTATTATTAGATTCTTTTTTTAATCAAAAATTTTTGTATCGATAAAAGAATTTTCATTTCTACTAATTTTTAGTAATTTTCCACTAAAACCTTAGTAAAAATTTCTACTAATTGTTAGTTATTAAAACTTAATAAAAACTCAATTAAAACTTTAATAAAACTTTTTACTAATTGTTAGCATTTTTCCTCTAAAACTGTAGTAAAAATCTTTAATAATTTTTTAATTTTTGGAATCGTCTATTAAAATATTATTAAAACTTTCTGCTAATTAGTATAATTTTCCACTCAAACTTTAGTAGAAAAATTTCTATAAACTAAAGAAATTTAGTTTATAGAAAAAAGTGTAGAATATTTATATTAAAAATAAAAACTTACGATTTTTAATTACGACAATGTATAAAAAGTATTTGTTCTTTCTCTAGCTGTTCACTTAAAAACGAACATAATCGCACAAGTTAGAAAAATTAGTACACGATATAATAATTATTAATGTTAATAAGACTGATAATATTACAAAAAATAAAGAATCATTTTAAAAAATTTAAATTCACATTACAAACATTTGATATTAGTTCAGCAAAAATTTCTTTAGCAAATTTTTTTTTTATCAAGACAATTAATTTTGTTTGAACGGAAACATTTTGTATTAGTTAATTCAATAAAAAATTTACTGAAATTAAATTTTTAAAAAAAGTAAATAATTGTTTTTAAATAAAAAATAAATCTAAATAAAAAAATTGAATACAGTCGAACCTGTCGGAGTACAACTCTATTTTAAAAATTTTTCTGTCCAACTACACTGAAAAAAAATTTACTTGATTCAAATAATGGATTAATTGAATATTATCAATAAAATAAATTAAAAATTTCGTTTTGTTGTAACAAATAAGTCATTATATAAGAATAAATACATTTCAACAATACAAGAAAATCCACTTTTTATTATTTCAATGAAATTTTTTATTTTGCAAAATATATTACTTAAAAACAATATTCCCAACGCTTAAGCGTCGACACAAAATTTAGAGACATCACAAGAAATAAAAATTGTGATTAAAAAATTAACGAGAATCAAAATCGAAATTAGAGAGGATGAGGCAAAAGATTAATGAAAAATTTATGCAATTGCTGATTTCCAGGATCATTTTTCTCAGCATAACCCGGAAGATTATCTTGACACAATTTCAACCAAGCTTGAATATTTGGATATTTGTCCAAAGGTCTCAAAGCCTATAAAAAAAAAACAAAAATTTCAATATGAAAAAAAAATTTGTTTGTTTTAATTTAAAGAAGAAAATTTTTATTTTATTTATTTTATTAATTTTAATAACACAAAAAAAGTATTAGAAATGAAACATTTTTTTTTATACCATAAGACTGGAAAGAGTTGAAACACAACTGATATCAGCCAAAGTATAAGAATTGCCGACCAACCATTTTTTCCCTTCAAGGCACTTTTCGAAAATTTCATACGTATTGTTTAGAATATCAATTTTTTCATCCGTAACATTGTATTTGCCAGATAAAAACATTGGTCTCTAGGAAAAGAATTTTATTACTAAATTACAAAAATACTGTATAAATTAAAAAATTTTTTTTAAAATTTGAATAATTAATAGCAGTTTTATTATTAAAGAATTATTAATAATTTATTTAATTAAATAATTATGCAACTCATTTTGTTTATATTTTTTATAATAAAAATACATAAAGTGGATATAGACTCTCAATTTAAACTTTTCATGATTAATTCTTTATTATGTTTAAAATAATTAGAAACTTAAATAAATTAAAATTAAAATAAATAAAAAAAATTTAATTAAGGTAAAAATAACATAAACCATTATAGTTTATGTTATTTTTACCTTAATTAAATTTTTTTTATTTATTTTAATTTGCTTCTATTTTGTACTTTTTCTCGGAGCGCATGACATTTATTTAATTTATTATAATAAAACTTATTTATTTATAATTTAATTTTCTTATTAATTATTAATTATTAATTATTAAATATAAATTTTCCTTTCATATTATCAAAAATTTCTTACCGCAACGGCTCTCAATGTACCAAACAGATATCCAGTATCAAAATGAAGAAATTGATCAATTTTTGTCTGAGTCTGAAGATCCTTTGGATACAAAGAATCATTTTTGCCATACTTTAGAACTAAATATTTCATAATTGCATGACTGAAAATAAGAAAATATATTTTTCATTAAATTAAAAATGTCTAATAGATTTTATAAAATATAAATTAATAATATAAAATTTTCACTTATTTAAATTAATTTCCATAAATTATATAATTCGATAATACATCCTACCTGTCGCAAAGTATAAATCCATTATCATCCAAAGTAGGAATAGTGTGTTGTGGATTCATCTAAATTTGTTTGAAGAAAAAAAATGAATTCTATTATAAAAAAAAAATATATCTTTATTTTATAATTGAGTAAATTTTTTCCTTTTTTTTTTTTGTTGACAAACCTTAACAAATTCTGGTTTCATATTGTCTTGACTTTGAAGATTAGTTTCACGAGTTTCTAATTCAAGTCCAATAGCTTTTGCTGCTAATAAAACACCTCTACACGGAGGACTTATGTCCGCAGTATATAAAATAGGTCTTGACATTTTTCTAAAAAAAAAAAATTATAAATTATATTGTTAAATTAATTTTTCTTAAATAATATTATATTAAATCACTTTATTAAACTATATTATCACTTTATTAGATTAAATTTTACTAAATTTGTAATTAATTTAATAATATTTGTCTCTAATACTAAAAACTGTAAGAAGAGATTTTAATGAATAAATTAAATTGAGTCTTATTAACAAAAAAATTCTTTCAAATAAACGAGCCATTCATAATGAGATAAAAGCATTTTGTATATTTCATTCAGTTCTTATCTACTTTCAGATACCATTAACTTCTTTCAAAAATTTATTTTTCAAATTCGCTTCAATTAGATTTATTTAATTATGAATCTGAAAACTTAAAACACAATTTGAATTTGTGTATTTTAGAAAAAAAATTAAATTAATATTTTATTCTTTCTTTTATATTTTTGCAAATGCAACATATGTACAATTTCAAAAAATATTAATATTTAATATAATTTAATATTTCAAAAAATCATTCATAAAATTAAACATTTTTCAAAGAAACAAATTTTCAATTATTAATCCTTTTTTTCTTTTCTTCCAGTTTGGATATAAATTAATCCTTTTCCAAAGAAAAAATAGTTGTTTTAGTATAATTATTCTAAAAAATTTGCGATACAAATAAATTAATAATAGATTTTTTGAATTTTTGTCGTAAATTTAAAATTAAAATGAATGAAAAGTTTTTTTTTAAATGAAAAGTATAAATAAATGGAAAGCTGTAAAATTCTTTTCGCGTAGGTATACAAACATTAGAAAAATGATCTCAAGTTACATGCACAACAATAACCGGTTTTTAATTAGAAAGACATATTTTACCCTTTTTTGATTTATTATTTTTTTATATTTCATTTATTATTTACTCTAATTATAAGTATACTTTCTGGACTTTTATAATTATAAAATATACAGAGCCGTCAAATTTCAATTAAAAAAAAATTTTTCCAAAAAACTATTCTATGGATTAAAAATTATTTAAACACAACTATTTTAATTTTTAAACTCGTTTTTAAAAGAATCAAACAATTGAAATACTTTCCAAAAAAAGGATTTGTGTGTAAAATAATAAAATATAACAAATATATAATAAGTACAATAATTATCTCTCTAGTTTCTAAAAAAAACTACTATTTCACATTTAGAGTACAAATTGAATTGAAAAATAAATATATAAATAAAACTCAAAAATAAAATAGAATAACAATAAATAATACTAAAATAAAAATACAAACAATAGAAATAAATAAATAAAAAATAAATTTACGAAAATAAAAGAACTTACAAAATTAGCAACGGTATGAGAGAGAAAAAATTGCGCACTCGCTTCTGTTGCAGTTCACTTTAAAATGAATATAATCATCTGTGGATTGCTGAGATTAGTGTATATGGCATAATGCACGATACTGTAGAATCATTCAATCATTACTTTCATTTTAAAGGAACGTAACATTAAACACAAGAACCTGAATGAAATATTTTTTTTATACAATATAAACAAAATATTTTTCTAAAAATTTATTTTGGTGTAAAAAAAATTTTAATTACGAATAATTAACTCAATCATTTCGTTACCTTTGGTAAAAAGTAATTTTTTTCAGCTGCAGGTAAAAAATTTTATTTTTGTTTATGTAGATATAATAATTATACAACCAAAAACCACAGAACCAGTTTCAACAAGTGATATTTTTTAAATACATCTAATAATGTATATTCTCTTCAAATTGTAATATGTCTGTCGAACTGACTGAGACACTTTTATAAAAATGAATTGTTAATGTGTCATTAATTAGTGATGAGTTTATGTTAATTCTGTACCACATACTGTAAAAAGGCCTAACGAGTCAGAGAATAAAAATAAAATTCTGAAAATAAAAAATCACTGTCGAATTATTTTTTTAAAGTCAAAAATCACTGTCGAATTTTTTTTCAAAAGTCAAAAATTCGCCTGATGCAATTAAAACTAAAAATCATAAAATAAATCGTATTCTCATTATGTAAATTTAATATATCTCATGTTTAAACAAGATAGGTAATATCAATATTTACCATTAATATTAAGTAACAATTACCTTGAAATAATTATTAAATAACAATAGAAAAAAATTATAACTATTCAAACTGAAAACATGTAAAATAATATTTTTTCCATATAATAGGAATTTTTCTTTATTATAGCGTAAAACAATAAATATTGCCTGAGTGATTAAAACAATGTAATAAATAATAATTTCTGCTTTTAATATTATTTTTATTTCATAATTGTAAATTTTTGAATTTTGCGAATATTTATAACTTCAAAAAAAATAAAAACTCCGAAGTTTTTATAAAAAAAAAAATGCGTAAAAAATTGTTTTCTTTTTCCTTAAATAGGTTCTGGAATTTTGCTCTTAATAAATCCATGAACTGCTTTTACTCCTGGTGAATTATTCTCAGCATATCCCGGAATTGTCTCTTCACATCTTTTCACCCATGCTTTTATATTCGGATAATTGTCGAATGGTCTCATTGCCTAAAAATTCAAATTAATTAAAAATTAAAAAATTAATTAAAATTAAAGTTCAAATTAATTTTTAATAAAAATTGATTAAATTTTATTTATTAATTAAAAAAAAATGGAATAGGAATATATAATAAAAAATAAAAAATAATATCAAGTGGCATAGTTCAGTGGCTTCAGTACTCGACTGGAAAAAATGAGGGGGGCCGTGGTTCGCTTCCTATCAAATGTGAAATTTTTCAGTTTAAATTTCTTTCAATTTCAAATAAAAAATAATAAATAATAAACTAATGTAACAGATAATAATTAAATATCGAAAAAAATTCACCTCCAATGTAGTAACGGTTGTAACAACACTAATATCAGCCAAAGTGTAAGAATCGCCCACCAACCAATTGCGACCTTCTAAAAGTTTTTCCAAAGAGTCGTAAGCATCATTTAGTTTCGCAACTTTTTCAGCTTGAACTTTTGGTTCTCCTGCGAAAATTCCGTACTGAAAATATTTTTAATATATCAATTTCAATCAATGTTTCAATGAATAATTAATAATAATTTATATTTAATACTACACAGTGTATAACTTACAAAAATACTTCTCATAGTAGAAAATAAATATCCATTGTCAAATTGCAAGAATTGATTAACTTTTGCTCTCAATTGCAGATCTTTCGGATAAACCGCATCATTATTACCATATTTATCAGCCAAGTAGCACATAATTGCGTGACTAAAAGAAATAGAACAGAAAAAAAATTAGAAAATTAAATTAAACATTTTTCTATTTCTTTTCCTATATTTTTTTACCTGTCCCAAAGATAAAAGCCATTGTCATCTAGAGTTGGAATTGTGTGTAATGGATTAATCTGAAAAAATTTTTATAATAGTTTTTAATTAATATTAAAATTAAATTAAAATAAAATTAGAGTTTAATTAAAATTAAAATAACATTAGAATTTAATTAAAATTAAAATAACATTAGAACTTAATTAAAATAAAATTAGAATTAGAATTTAATTAAATTTAATAATTAAATTAAAAAAAAAATAGTTTGGAATCGTAATAATAAAATTGAATTCTACTCAGAATTTATTTAATTAAAAATACAGGAAACTAGGTATTTAAGAAAAGATGATGACCTTCAAAAATTCAGGAGTAAGTTGTTCACCATTAAAAAGGTTTATTTGACGAAAATCTAAGACAACTCCGAGGGCAGCAGCTGTCAGTAAAACTCCTCGACACGGAGGACTAGCATCCGTCGTGTACAAAACTGGAGTCGTCATTTCGTTTCTATAAAAAAACCCCAAAAAAATTAATCAAAAATATTAAAAAATTAGATAACTTCCGTAATTCATTAAAAATTAAAAGAAGAAACTGATTTTAAAGAATTAAAATTTGGGAAAAAATAAATTTAAAGAAAATTAAAAAGAATCTAAAATAAGTTCATTATTGTTTAAAATTTTTTTCATCATTAAATAATTCAGGATTCCTACGGACCCGAGAAAACCTTGAAAAGCTGAAAAAGACCCAGGAATTTTTATAAGTTTCTGGAAAAACTGAAAAATATCTTGTTAATCAATTGACTTGATTCAATTGATTCATTGATTGTAAGTATTTGAATTAATAATTATAAATTTATATTCTCTCTGTTGTACTATTTTGAACGAAAAAAAAGAAAAACGAAGAATAAAATAATATACAAAAAAAAAATAAAAGTTAAAATTGAAACTTTTGTTTGGAAAGCTAAATTTTTCAAGAATTTTAATATTTAAAATCTTTCTTTTTAATTATATTTTCATTTTGATTGATTAATTATTAACCAAGAAAATGGCTAATTTAATTACTCAACTGAACTTGAAAAAAATTGATTCTAAATTTTAAGAGGAGGTGAATTTAAAGAAAATGTGAATTATATTTTGATTCTTATTATCATGATAATAAAAAAAGAATTATTTGTCTTTTTCTCGAATCAAATTTCGACCTGGAAAATCTGGAAAAGACCCTGAATTTTGAATCCACATTTTTTTCTGTAGGAACCCTGAAATTTTTTTTTCAATTATTTAAAATTTTGAAATAAATAATTAAAGTAATAATCAAATTTCCAAATGCAAATTTAATGACTTAATTGAAACAAAAATAGAATTCAATAGTTAAAAAAGAAGCAGAAAAAAAATAAAATAATAAAATATAAAAAATATATAAAAATATAATGATAAACAAATAGAATAGAAATAATTTATTTGTATTTTTATTTGTTCTCTACTTTTTAAGAATTTTGAACAGTACTTACCTTATAAAATATCAAGTTCAGTGAAATCTTATACAATGAAAAATTTTGGAATTGAACAGGTGAATTTATATTGCAAGTTCCTGTGTGGAAAATTTATAATTTTTAGTTAAAACGTTAAGTCATCAATTGTAACCATATTAGATTATATGATCTTCCGAGCACTAAATACATTTCTTAGTTTGTTTTTTTTCACTGATTTAACTAGACGATTGTATAATTTTTCATTTTCTTTAAACAATTCTTACATTAAACCGGCGTAAACATCAAAGAGCTACATTTAACTTTAATTAATTTGCTCAATCAAAATTATTAGCTACTATTCATTAATTAAATTTCTCATTATTAAAATAGTATTAAGCATACTTCGAAAAAATTTATTTGATATTCAATTTATTTAATTACTTTGTTATCAAATAAATTACTATTATTATCAAAAAAAAAAAATTTACTTGAATCATTTAATTTTTAGTTTGAATCAAATGAATCAATTCAAATCAAATAATAATTGAACCAATAATTTCACAACCAATAATTAAATATATTTAATGCAAATAACTCTTAATTGAATCAAATAAATTATTTTTAGAGTATACATTAAACTAAAAAAAAATTTTAATTCAGTTCTGATTTATTATTAAGTCAAAAGGCCCAAATTATGTAAAATAAATATAGTATAGTAATTATTATTTTTATTTTAAGTTAATAAAGTTAAAATTTTTAGAAATAAACAATTATTTTATCACTTAATATGTATTCGAATAATTGAATTCTCGTACAACTTTTTCATAAGAATTTATATAAAAAAAAATCTCTGTTCAAATTTTAGAAAATATTTAAAGAATTACAGCTTTCTAATTATTTTTAGAAATAATTAAATTTCAAAAGGTTTTACATTGAAATTGAAATTTTAATTCCCGGTAGACAAATAAATAACAATATAAGTATTTAAATATTTATTAAACAAAAATTAAAGTTTTGAATAATTTCATTGAAACATATTCTAAAAAATAATTGACTTTTAAAAAAATTGCAGTTGTAATTTTTAGAAATAATTAAATTTCAAAAGGTTTTGCATTGAAATTACTTGAAATTTCAATTACAATAAATAACAATAAGCCTATATTTGTTTAACAAAAATTATTTAAGTTTTGAATAAATTAATATAGAAATTCTAAAAAAATTATGTTTCTGAACTTTGTAATTAAAATTTTTAAAAATAGAAAGATAATTGAATTTCCGAAAAAAATTTTTAAAATTGAAACAATTAAAAGCTTTGTCAAGTTTCATTGACTATAATTATTAGTAGAAAATAACTAATTATTAGTAGAAAATATCTAATTGTTAGTAAAAAAAATTAACTATTAGTAAAAAAAACCTATAATTATTAGGAAATAACTAATCATTAGAAAAGAAAATAATTAGTAGTAAAAATAAACTAATTATTAGTCGAAAACAACTAATTATTAAAAAATAAATAACAGCAAAAATAGTCAAATTTGACCAATTAAATTAATTACCAAATTTTTTTTACTAATTCAAATTTTGAAATAATAGAAATAATAATAAGATTAAGTTTATATTTTTTCATTTGATATATGAATTTAAGAATATTGAAATTCAATTAGTATACCACTTTTAAATGAAATTCTATAAATTAATTGAAATGATTTCTAAACTCAAAGTCAATCATCAATGTTTGTTTATTTATTTACGATAAACTTTTGTTTTATGCAATGCAAATGTACATACATAAAATGCACTTATATGGCAGATACATTTTCTGTATAAAGGGACTTGCGCGAGCTTTACTCGTTCACACGTTAGTCGATCATTGGCAGTCTCTTGAACTAAAAGTTCTTCGTTGACAGTCCATATTTTAATTATCACGTAATCAATTCAATGGAATAATTAAAAACAAATCACTTTTTTTTCTATTAAAATTTACCAAAAATTAAATAGTAATTAGTTTGTAAATAAATTATAAACTGCAAATATTTATAAATGTAAATTAAAATTTTCAAAGCTGTGATAAAATAAATTTATGAAGAAAACAAAAAATGACTTGTAATATCAATTATAATCGAACATCAATAATATTTCGTCTTTAATCATCGTAATCGATGATATTTCATCGATATTCGTTTATCAAATAAATTAATCATACCCGGAAAAAATTTGTTATTCTTATTATAATGGCGTGTCCGATTGGAAATGGATAGTAAGTTTTTCTTTTTCTTATTATTATTTATACGAATTTTATTTTTATTTACGGAAATTAAAAGCTAAAGATTAAAATTAGTCTTTATTTCTAAAAATTAAAATCTAAAAAAATAGTTTTTATTTATAAAAAATAAACTAGATTTTAATTTTTAAAAAAATAAAAATTAATTGTTTTCCCTTTTTTTGGTGAAATTAAAAATCATCAACATTGAAAATTTGAATTGTTTTTGTTTAATTTTTTAACAAAAATAAAAAATCCGAATAGTATATTTTAAATTATTGGAATCAATATTATTTCAATTATTTTTATTACATATTTTCTAAATTAACTTAGTTTGGAATATATTTGAAATTTTTGAATAATAATTTCAGTGATGATTTTGGACAAGATGGAGAACAATTAACGGAAGGTCCAGGACTTCTTTATGGAGAATATCTCCACCTTGATAAAATTCTCTCGGCCCAAAGATTATTAAGTGCAGAATATAATAAGGAAGTGCATGACGAACATCTTTTCATTGTAACCCATCAAGGTTCATATTAACAATTATAATAAATAAATTAACAATAATACAATAATAAATAAGTTAACAATAATACAATAATAAATAAATTAACAACAATTCAATAATTACATAAATAAATTAACAATTAACAAATAATAATAAAGAATAGTATTTTTGTTTTTAATTGTATTATATATTTTACAATTAATTTAGATGAATAACTCGATAATTATGTTCTATTATGATCCTAAAGTTTTGAACGTTCAAATGAACGAAATTTTTTTATTTCTTCTTTAAATTCAATTTTTATTACAATAAAAATTAATTAATTAATATCCAAAAAATTAATTTTTAAAGTTTTTAAACGTAGAATCTGAGTTTTAAATTTTTATTCAAATCAGTAATTTATGAAAATATTTTTAATACTAAATATTTCGTTTATTAGAACGTTCAAAACTTGTGGATCATATTCTATTGTAAATTAATCAAACTATAATTAATTATATTTGAACCATGGTAATTAATTATATAAACTAATCAAAAATTAATTTACTTTATTCGTAGTTCCAACTTTTCAGTTTTGAACGAATAATCAATAATTAAGTGTGAACTAATCAATAATTAATTATTAACTAATGTTAGTGGCAATTAATTAAAAAATTCATAAATAATATTCAATAATGAATTAAGCAACGTTTATTGGAAATTAAATTAAGTAAAGCAAATTGGGAAACATTTATTATTTGTAATAATTACTTTTTTTTTATTGTAAATTTAATTGATTTTTTAATTTACTTATTAATTCTTTGTTTATTTATTGTTGTTGTAATTGTTTATTTTGTATTGCTTATAGTATTTGTTAATGTAGTTATTTATTAATTTAGTTTTTTTATTAACTTATAAATTTACTATTTTTCATTTATTCGTTAATTTACTAGTTTTTTATTTATTATTTTCTTGTTTGCTTATTTATTTACAATTTTAGTGTTTTGTTAATTATTTAGCCTTTGTTTATGTAATATTATTATTAGTTATTTATTAATTTATTTTAGTCTTTATTTATTTATTTATTATTTTTATTCGTTTAAAAATTTTACTATTTCTTTACTTATTACTTTTCTCATTAATAATTTAATTATCGTTTATTCTGAATTAAAAAATTCCAATTTTAAGAAACACTATTTTTTCTCATTCAAGCCTACGAATTATGGTTCAAGCAAATAATTTTCGAATTGGATTCAGTGAGAATGCTTTTCACATCGGAAAATGGACAGGAAAATTTACGTGAACAAGAAACAAATATGGATCAGTCCTTTGAAGGACTCGATGAATCCAGGACATTGGAAATTTTAAAGAGACTCAATCGAATTGTGCTTATTCTGAAAGTATGTCAAATTATCCTAAAGATCTATTATAATCACAATATTATTATTATTATGAAAGTAAGGGGTCAAGTTTGACGATAAAAAGTTCAAGTCAAGATTCAAGATCATTTTCATATCACTAGGAATTTAACTATTTCAATTAATTTATTCTCATATTATTTATTTTCATAATTTATCAATTTCGACTTTTCCTCAAAGCAATCTAATATAGTTTGGAGAGAAAAACAATTACTAAATAAAATTTTTAATTTATTTTCAAAAGTTTTAATGTAATTTCGTTTTTTTTTGTTTGTTTTTTAATTTGCATTTATTTTATAGTTCTTTTGAATTTATTTATTTGTAAATTTTTATATTTATTTGTTTTTAATTTCTTTCATTTGTTTTCAATTTCTTATTATTTTTGAAAATAATTTTAATAATAATTTCAATTTATTAATTTTTTAATATTTCTTTGTAGTTCGTATTTTTAATTTTTTAATATTATATATTAATTTTTTTAAATTAATTATTTTTAATGTTTATTCAAATTAATCATATTAAATTTGCTTTTTAGAAATTTATTTTCAATTTTGATTCTCTTATAATTATATTCTTTAATACTTGTTTTCAATTCTTATATTCACCTCAACTTTCATTTCTTAATAATAATTGTTTTCAATTTTTATTAACTTTTAATTTCATTTTTTTAAATTTTCTTATTTATTATTTGAATTAAAATATAATTCAATACTATTATTAAACAATAATTATTGTTCCTACTTTAATTCATACCAAATTATAATTATTTATTTTCCATGTTTATTCACAATTCGTTTCCAAAATTTTATACCAATTTTTGTTCACTTAAAATTTTATTCTTCAATATTTGTTTTTAATTTCTATTCATTTTAATTTATTTAGTCCCAGTGAAATATAATTTTGAACATAATTTTTAGTTTTTTAATAAATATAAACAAGTGAATAATTTTATAAATAAAAAATATTTCATTAATTGTTTAGATAAGTCTTAAAATTTATTTATACAATTTTAATTTGAAAAAATGTTTATAAATTACAAAAATTGAATTAATATTGTAAAAAAATATTAAAAGCAGGTAAAATTTCTCTATCAATTCTATACTAAAAATACAAATTCAAAGATCGCATCTGATTCTTATCTTATCGTTAAAAAAAAAATTGGATCAATTTTGAGAAAAAAATTTTTGATTATAGTTTAATTCATTTTTTTCAAGAAAAAAAATTAACTATTGAAAATTTTGCAACAAATCTTAATCATGAGTCAAGAACATGATATGACTATATAGTGTTGCCACTATGTAAACCATTTTATAATGCAATCGTTTTGACGCAACTCAAGAAACAAGAATCATTTTCATTTTTCCATAAACACTGTCAATACAATTATTTATCAAAAATTTTCCATTAAAAATCAACGATAAATTTTAATAGACACTGAAAACATATTCATTGATTATGCCAATAGAATTTTAAAAATTATTTACAAAACAAGAAAACTGAATTTTATTCGCATAAATAAAAAAAAAATTTTTAATTAAAAATAAATTAAATTCTAATTACCAAATTTTTGCAAAAAAAAAAAAATTCAATTTTATTTACAAGAACAAAATTAAATTTCATTTGCAAAATTTTGGCAACAAAAAATATTTAGTTTTATTCGCAAACATATTTCTATAAAAAATGAAATTTCATTCGTAGGATTTTTTGCAAAAAACTATTAAATTCTATTAGAAAAATTCTATAAAAAAAACTATTTAATTCTATTAGCAAAATTCTGGCAAATAAAGCTATTAAATTTTATTAGCAAAATTCTGGCCAAAAAAAATAATAAATTTTATTAGTTAATAAAAAAATTCTTTTTTTTTAATATTATTAGAAACTTAAAGTTTATTAGTAAAATTCTGTTATAAAAAATAATAAATTTTATTAGCAAAATTTTTGCAAAGAAACTTAAATTTTATAAGAAAAATTCGTTCAAAAAAAATTATTAAGCTTTATTAGCAAAATTCTAAACATAATTAAATTGTATCAGCAAAATTAGGGGAAAAATTATTAAATTTTATCAGGAAAAATTTTTGCAAAAAAAAAAATGAATGTTTCTGGTCAGGTTAATGGATGACACTGAAAAAAAGAGTGTTTTGTCCGCGAGGGTGAACAACCCGTAAACGTCAAGCCGATTAGTCAACTGGAGTGTTGAGGGTGTCCCCTTACTTTTGCAGGGGTTCTAATCGAATTTCTCCCGCAAAATAACAAGTAAACTAAGGAAAGAAATGATTTTCCTTTTTTTTCTCTCGATTTAAATATATATGCAACAATTGGGTCAAGGTATCGTCTGAGATTAATTGCTTTTTTCTTCTCCTACTCTCATTTCTTTGGTGTATAAAATATTTTTTAATTGGTGAGAACCCATAGTGCAAAATAGTAACACCAGCAATTGAAAGGGGACACCATTTGGCGTTATGCGATACCAATGAGTGACACTGACCAGTTCTTACATATATCTGGTTAGGTAACCATCCCATTTGAATTCTTTTATACCACAATATGTGGTTAACACAACTTGAAGTCATTTCATCTCATTTCTTATAATAAATACTACAAAAGTCTCATAATAATAATAAAGCTAACAATAATAATAATACAACCAAAAAATTAGCAATTTTAAAAATAATAGAATTTAAAAATTTTCTAATTTAAATTTTTGTTCAAAACGCTAAAAAAAATTCAATTTTGGAGAAATTACAAATAATTTCAGAAATTCAATTATTTAAAAAAAAAATTCAACTATGTTTAATAAAATTGTATGCAAACATTTAATTATTTTCATAAATAATAAAAATTTCACAGAAATTCAATTATTTTTATAAATAATAAATTTTTTTAAAGGAATTCAATTATTTTCGTAAAAAATAATTTAAAATTCTAGAAAGTAATAATTCAATTAAAATGATGAAAATAATTTTGATGAAGTTACAGTAACTATATTCTTATAATATAAAATAATGATTTTATCTTTAATTATTAGAAATTGTGCAAACATTTTTCTTCTTTTTCTAAAAAAAAAATAATAATTTTGTTAAAGAAAATTGTGATTCATAAACAAAAATAATGTAAAATAAATAAATTTTCTATTTCTTAATCACAGTTGTTTAACAATTTTCTAATTTTGTTTAGAAGTAAAAAACAAAAATCTGCACAATTTCAATTTGACAAAACATAATAATTGAATTCTGTTTGGAAATTTTATGAAAATAGTAGATATTAAAAATCATTGAATTCGCGAAAACTTTTTAAAGATAATTAAATTTTACAAAGAATTCTATTAAATAATTTGGCAATAATTGAATGTCTGTGGGAAATTTTATTAAATTTTTTTTGAAAATAATTGAATTCCTAAAAAACATTTTATTATTCATGAAGATAATTGAATTCTTGCGAACAATTTATTAGAATTTTTTAAAATAATGGAATTTCCAAGAAGAAATTTATTACTTTTAAAAATAATTGAATTATTGTTATGAATATTATTATTTATGAAAATAATTGAATCTTGAAAAGAATTTTATTAAAATACCTCAAAATAATTGAATTTTCGGGAGTAATGTTCTTAAATTTATCTTTAATAATTGAATTCTTTCGAAAAATTATTTCTGTAAATAATTGAATTCTTAGAAAAAATTTTATTAAAATTAAAAAAAATAATTGAATTATTTCAAAAAAATTTTATTAAAAACATTTTTTTAAATAATTGATTTTTTCGAGGAATTGAAATTAAGTTTTTAAGAATAATTACATTTTTTGAGCAATTCCTGTAAAATTGTATTAAAAATAATTCAAATCCTGCTATGAATTTTATTATTTATGAAAATAATTGAATAGTTGCTAGGAATTTTATTATAAATAATAAAATTTTTTTCAAGGAATTGAATTATTTTCATAAAAAATAATTTAAAATTCTAGAAAATAATAATTGAATTAAAATAATCAACAATCGCGTAATAATTTTCTCTCTAAAAAATTATCGCAGACGTCAATTGAAAATTGTTTTTTTAAATAGGCAATGGAAAAACAAATATAATTCTAAACAATAGAAAAAATTAAATTAATAAACAAGTAGATAATGGAAAAAATAGAAAATTGTGTACAGTCGAGTATTTTTTTTTTCTATGAGAAGTAGCAAAAGAAGCCATATAGATGAGTGTCTTGTACACGTGTACTTATTTGAAAATAAAAATATTTTAGCTCAATAAAAAATAATTACAATTCAAGAAAAGTGGAAATATTTTATCTCAATAAATAATAATTACAATTCAAGAGAAATAAAAATATTTCAATTAAATAAATCATTGAAATTGAAGAAAAATTAAAATATTTTCTCTCCAAAAGGAAAACAATTGGAATTTTAGAAAAATAAAATTACTTTATCTGAGTAAATAAAAATTACAATTTAATGAAGAAGAAAATATTTTGTTTCAATAAATAATCATTATAATAAAAATAACAGTAATTAAATTAATTATTAAATTAATTAATAAAAGTAAATATTGTTTGGAATATTGACAAAATTTTTTTATGGAAAAAAAAAAAATTTCTAGCTAGTGAATTGTAAAGAAAAATTGTAATAAATTAATTTGTATAAATAATTAAATAAAACAATGATTATTTTTATGACCGTTTTCTAATAAGTAAATAAATAATGTGAAAACTTGAATTAAAAATTGTTTTTTATAGATTATAATAAAAATTATATTTTCCTGAATTTAACGATTCCTTGTTCTTTTTTTATTTTATTCAAATAATTTTTTTATTATACTTTTAAATAAAAGTTTCTATAATTTAATTTTTCAGCTACTTGTGGATCAAGTGACAATTCTGGAAACAATGACCCCCCTGGATTTTATGGCATTTCGTGACTATCTTTGTCCAGCTTCTGGTTTTCAATCGCTGCAATTTCGATTATTGGAAAATAAATTGGGCGTTAAACAGGAGCATCGTGTTAAATATAATCAGTGTTACACGCGAGTGTTTGGAAAAGATCCCAAAGCAATAGAAGCTATTAAAAAATCAGAGATTGAACCAAGTCTCAGTTGTTTGGTCCAAAGGTGGCTTGCCCGAACGCCCGGTTTAGATTCAAATGATTTCGATTTTTGGGGAAAGTACAAGAGGGCCGTTGAACTCATGTTGGAGGAGCAAAAAGATGCCATCGATGTAATTTTTTCAAAATTTTTAATACTCTATTTTGCAAAATTAATATCAATATTATTAAAATTAAAAGTAATATCAATATCAATATTATTAAAATTAAAATTAATATCAATATCAATATTATTAAAATTAAAATTAATATCAATACCAATATTATTAAAATTAAAATTTGATGAAATTAAAATAAGAAAATTATACATTTTAATTTTTCAGAAACAGACAAATGAGCAACATCAAAGACACCTAATGTCAACCTTATCATCACGACAGGCAGTTTTTGACACAATTTTCAAGGAATCCTTGCACAATGCTCTTGTATCGAGAGGCGAGAGAAGGTTCACATTTTCGGCACTGCAAGGAGCAGTAATGATAACCCTCTATCGTGATGAACCAAGATTCAGTCAGCCTCATCAAATTCTTACTGCCCTAATGGATATCGATTCTCTTATCACAAAATGGAGGTGTAAGACATCACTATTTTTTTAATTAAAAAAAAAAAAAAGATCTATGTGCATTTTATACGCACTCGCACAAAATTGTAATATTTTAGTCAGGATTAATAATTTTCCAGATAATCATGTTATTATGGTTCAGAGAATGATTGGATCACAACAATTGGGAACTGGAGGATCATCTGGATATCAGTATCTGAAATCAACTCTCAGGTAGTGCTGAATTTTATTAATATTTTTTAAACAAAATAAAACAAAGACAAGACTTTCTCATTTTTGATGAGAATGTAAAAAATATTCTAAATAAAAAAAAAGATAATAATACTTAATTCATTTAGTGACATACTGTGAAGCAAATAATTTTTATTTGAGTCAAATAAATTAATTCTAATTTTCAGTGACAGATACAAAGTGTTCTTGGACTTATTCAATCTCTCAACATTTTTGATTCCACGACCACTAATTCCGCCATTAACAAAACAAATGAAAACCAAATTATCACTCGGCTGGGGTTGCTGGGTACCGGAAGATGAGCAAAGTATCTCATCGAATTCCGCAGAAGCGTCATTATGATGATTAAAATCAAATTCAAACAATAGTGCATAAGAAATAATCCAAACGATTCTTATTCAGTCTCTATAATATATAAATTTATTGTTTTTCTTTCGTCAAAAAAAAAAAAAAAACAAACAGTTTTTCTCACTCTTCTTTCTAATTTTCATTTCTCTCCTTTTAAATCACATCAATCGAAGAAACTTGATTTGCAATTCCTGAAATGAAAAAAAAAACAGAATTAATTATTTATTTATATAGGAAAACAAAATATTTGTGCAATATGAAATATAATTTTATATAAAAATTTAAATGCAAAAAAATATATATAATATATATTTATTCATATAAGAATTTATAAACACATTTCATTGTGTTCAGACATTAGCATTTAAAAATGTTAATGTTAATATATAATTTATGTAGTGTTAGTTTACATCACGTAATGTATATATATACAATAGTGTAAATTTGTAGAAATAAATTTTAAACGAAATTCCATTGAATACTGAATAAATAATCTAATACTACAATGATCTGACTATAATTACACAGGTCAACAAAAAAAGACTTACTTTTTTTTTATGAGATAGCGGAATGTTTTCCTATGTATTTTTGGACGCTGAACACGATTCCGACTTCCAAAATTGCTTATCACGTCAGGATTTTGAGAAAAGTGGGGGTAAAGACCCCAAAAACGCTTTTTTGAGGAATTTCAACATTTATTTTCTCTTTAACCTGACGTGCTAGAGACTTCCACAAGGTCTTAAATTAAAGCTTGTAATGTGCACTAAAAGACCAATATCCATAAATTAAAAAAAAATTAAAATTTTTTTCAAAAAATGGGATTGAAGACACCAAAAATTTGTGTTTTTGGATTGCTTTAATAGACTTTTTGCAATTGCTTGGATTCGCATGAAAATGGTTACTTGGGGTTTTTGGGGTCGCTGATTACGAATCCGATATTAGTTTGCAAAAATTAAAAATGGCGGATTCGTAATCAGCGACCCCAAAAACCCTGAAATAACAATTTTCAAGCGAATCCAAGCAATTCTTAATTTTTACATCTGCCATCTTGGTTTCGCCGTTTTAAATTTTTGCAAACAAATATTGGATTCGTAATCAGCGACCCCAAAAACCCTAAGTACCCATTTTCAAGCGAATCCAAGCGATTGCAAGAAGTCTATTAAAGCAATCCAAAAACACAAATTTTTGGTGTCTTCAACCCCATTTTTTGAAAAAAATGTTAATTTTTTTTTATTTTATGGATATTGGTCTTGTAGTGCACATTACAAGCTTTAATTTAAGACCTTGTGGAAGTCTCTAGCACGTCAGGTTAAAGAGAAAATAAATGTTGAAATTCCTCAAAAAAGCGTTTTTGGGGTCTTTACCCCCACTTTTCTCAAAATCCTGACGTGATGGGCAAATTTGGAAGTCGGGATCGTGTTCAGCGTCCAAAAATACATAGGAAACCATTCCGCTATCTCATAAAAAAAAAGTAAGTCTTTTTTTGTTGACCTGTGTTATTTTTCAAATTATTATCCATTTTAGTGTAAAATTAATAATTTTAGAAAAAATATTGAATATTCAGGCCTGAGATTCAATTTAGAAATAAAAATAATATAATGTGATAAAAATTTTAAACTGCAGGGTTGCCACAGGTCAGGAAAATCAGGGAAAAGTCAGGGAAAGTAAAATTGATCAGGGAAATCAGGGAAATTAAATTATTTTAAAAAAATTTAATAAAATTCTCATCAAAATTTCAATAATCTTTAAAAATAGTAAAATACTTCTTCGAAATTCAATTATTTTAAAAAATTTTAATAAAATTCTTGGCAAAATTTCACAGGAATTCAATTATTTAAAATACAAAATTTCATAAAATTTTTAGAAAAATATCAATTATTTAAAAAGATTTTTATAAAATTCATCACAAGAATTCAATTATTTAAAAAAAATTTAACAAAGTTTTTTTCAAGAATTCAATTATTTTTATAAATAATCAAATTCTTCACCGAAATTCAATTATTTTTATAAACTTGAATAAAATTCGTTGCAAGACTCCAATTATTTATATTAATAATAAAATTCTTCACAGAAATTCAGTTATATTTTTAAACTTGAATAAAATCCGTTGGAAGAAATAAATTATTTTCAAAAGTAATAAAATTCTTCGCAGAAATTCAATTATGTTTAAAAGTTAAAAAAAAATTCTTGTCAAAATTTCAAGTATCTTTATAAATATTAAAATTCCTCTTCGAAATTCAATTATTTTTGAAAATTATAATAAAATTCTTGTCGAAATTTCACCGGAATTCAATTATTTACAAAATTCTTAATAAATTTTTTCGAAATAATTCAATTATTTTCATAAGTAATAAAATTTTCACAGGAATTCAATTATTTAAAAATTAAAATACAAAATTTTATAAAATTTTTAGAAAAATATCAATTATTTAAAAAGATTTTTATAAAATTCATTGCAAGAATTCAATTATTTGAAAAAAAATTACCAAAGTTCTTTTCAAGAATTCAATTATTTTTATAAATAATAAAATTCTTCACCAAAATTCAATTATTTTTTTTCATCATCTTAATAATTTATCGACCGAGTGATAGCATCATTACTATATATATATATTTTTTAATCTTGAATAAAAATCGTTGCAAGAATTCAATTATTTATATAAATAATAAAATTCAGTTATTTTTATAAACGTGAATAAAATTCGTTGGAAGAATTAAATTATCTGAAAAGTAATAAAATTCATCGCAGAAATTTAATTATATTAAAAAAATTTTTTTAAATTCTCATCAAAATTTCAATTATCTTTATAAATAATAAAATTCTTCTTCAAAATCCAATTTTTTAAAATAATTTCAATAAAATTCTTGTCAAAATTTCACAGGAATTCAATTATATTTACAAAATTTTTAATAAATTTCTTTAAAATAATTCAATTATTTTCATCGATAATAAAATTCTTCGCAGAAAGTAAATTATGTTTAAAAGTTAAAAAAAAATTCTTGTCAAAATTTCAAGTATCTTTATAAATAATAAAATTCTTCTCCGAAATTCAAATATTTTAGAAAAATTTTAATAAAATTCTTGGGAAAATTTGAATTATTATTAAAAATTTTATTAAAATTTGTCTAAAGAATTTAATTATTTAAAAATTTGTTGATAAAATTCTTTATGAGAATTCAATTTCAACAAACATTAAATTATTCAATAAATGATCTATTTTTTAATTTAAATAATTGAATTCTTCTAGAATTTTTTAATAAAAATTGATTTAAAAATGAATTACGGAATAATTGATTTATTATTTATGAAAATAATTGAATTCTTGCAACGAATTTTATTAAATTTTTTTTTAAATAATTGAATTTTTTTGAGAAATTTTACTACTTGTAAAAATAATTGAATTCTTGCCAAGAATTTTATTTTTTTATTCTTATTATATATTATTATTATTATTATTATATATTTTTTTATTCTTTAGGGTCAGGAAAAAAATGAAAATTTTGTTTGGTAATCAGGGAAAAGTAAAGGAAAAATAAAATTAAATATTTGTGGCAACCCTGAACTGTCAAAATTTTTTAAATTCATTGATAAGTTAACAAAAATTTAAATTCGAATTTAATTTAATTTAATTTTTAATTTTTTTTCAATTTAATTTTAAATTCGAAAGTTGGGAAGAATTTAATAATTTTTTGATTTTAGAACGCGCACTTACCACACATATTATTTCCAATGGCAATATACAAATAGCCCATGTCACCGAAAAATGTACTCCAAGAATTTCTCACAATGTAATAAGGTGTTGGTGCTGAATTGTCATATCCCACGATTTGCACTGCATGATTTAAATTGCTGAAAGCACCGTCGCAGTGAAATTGAATCACACCGCCGAGATAATTTTGCCATGATAGGGCATTGACTGCTGCTGCAACTGGACCATGTGTTGCAATTGAATTCAATAGTTCCTCCTCAGCACCCACAAAACTAAAAATGAAAATCATTTTTTTTCCTTCTTTATATAACAAATAAATGAATTTAAAAAATTTAATTCATTAAATTCTAATACCTATATGTATTTTTTATATTTATTTTATTATCAAATTAAAATTTAATTTCAAGTAAACAAAGAACTAAAAAGAACAGGGGAAAAATTTTAAAAAATGCTGTACTTACTTATCGCACGTGAACTCGGAAATTTTTATTCCCTCATTTTTTGAAACGGTTCTACAAATTCAAGTAAACTATATTAATCTATTAAAATTTATTAATTTAATAATTATAGGATAATAAAATTTTTTATGTCAACAAATACGCACTTATTAAATTTACATTGTTCGGTTCTTCTTGTAAGTGGATATGACACTTCCGGAAAAATTTCCACTTTTTTCTTAATCAACCAACTGAGAAGACTGCAAATATCACCACCGTCACAACCAAAATTACCATTTTCCGCACAGTCAATCATCTAAAAAGGAAAAAAATAAATTTATAATAAATTTATATTAATAAATTATTGAAAATAGAAAAAAAAATTGTAAAAAAAATTTCAAAGCTTAAAAATACTTTTAAACAAATATGTAACTGAATTTTTGCAATCTTTTGTAACTCCTCAAAATAAGCAAATTTTTTAAAAGTGTTTTTAACTAAAATTCTTTTATAAAACATTAAAATAAAAAAAAAATTTAAATTACTAGTACAAAATACTTTGAAAAAATATTGGTAAACACTAAAAAATACTAATAAATTCTCTAAAGAACTTTCAAAAAAATGTTGATAAACACTAAAAAATAAAAAAAAAAATAAAAAATAACTTTTTTAAAATTGAAAAAAGCACCTCTTGAACACTGAAAGAATGGAGTGTTCCATTTTTCAAGGCAAACATCGTTTCAGCAACCTCAATTGTACTGAAAGCCCAGCATGCTCCACAGGAACCCTGAGCTTTTACAGGTGTTATCAAATTTTTCATTCTCCAATCGAATTTTATTGGAATTTCATTATTTAAAGCTCTTTTCAATCGTTGAGTGACTCTCGATTGTGAAATTGATTCATCCGAGCGATGCGAATGATAATGTGGACTAATTACATGTTTTGCACTTCTCACCGATATATCCGGTCGTAAATGTAATTTCATAAATTCTTCCTCACTCAAATCCGAAAATTGAGTTAAACCATAATATGCACTGTTCACTGATGTTCTCAAATCATTCATTTTATTGATGTGTCGCAACGATTTCTGCAAAAAAAATTATTTTCAAAATTATTTTCTTCTTCAAAAAAATATTTCAAAATCTGTACAAAAAAATTTTCGTTTTAAACTTTACTACAAGTTTTTCAATTTCGAAGAAAAAAAAAAAGAAAATATATGTTATCTATTTTTTTTAGCCTTTTAATGAAAATAACAAAAAATTATTTTAAAAAATTGACTAGGCATGATAAAATATTTCTTCTGAATTTATGTAACATATTCACGCACATATAAATGTATAACATACATCGACACAAGTATCAAATATCTGAAGCCCTGGAAAAGAAGGGAAAAAACAAGTTTTGTCCTTTCACCAAATTTGGTTCAATATAAAACTTTTATTTTTAATTTATTTCAGTTTGTTAAATTATTAACTTATTATTATATCAATTTTTGTATACTTAACATTTTAATAAAAATTAAAGAAAACCATATCAATATTGTAATGAAATTTAAACAAAGAATCTGTATTTATTTTCCCATTAAATTAAAAATTAGAAAAAAATTTGAATTTTCATTTCAATTTATTAAAAATATTTATTTTAACCGTTAAAATAAAATTTAATGTTTTTTTTAATTTTTTGCTTTTAATTAAGAGTTTAAGAATAAATTTTGTTAAACAGTTTTTATTCATTTTAGTCCTCAACATAAATTTTTAATCTTCAACAATTTTGAGATAATTTGGTTTATAATTTACAATTTACATCAACATTTGTATATTTAAATTTCAAAAGTTGAAAGAAAAACTATTTTGAAATTTCGATTTTTGAAATTGAAAATTTTTAATTAGAAAAAATATTGTAACAAACTCGGGTAATAATTACTTTTTGTATAATTGTTACCAAGAAAAAAAAATAAACTGAAAAACAATTTGTTTATTTCAATCAAACTTTTTCAAAAATTAAAAAAATTCTTTTCCTGAAAATTTTAATTAAAAAAATTAAAATATTCTATCAAACGGAAAATATTATTTATAATTGATAAATTGATATTTTTAGCAATAAATAAATAAAATGACAAAAAAAAACGGTTTGTTTATTTCAATCGAACTATTTCTTTGAAAAAAAAAATTATTTTCCTGGAAAATTTTAATTAAAAAAAAATATTCCAACAAACGTTGATAAAAATATCTCTCGCAATTGAAAAACGAGTTGATTAAATAAAAATTTATCAGTTAAAAACATTTAGAAATTACATTATATAGGTATATTTGGTACTCACCTGAAATCTGTAGAATCTCTTATCGTACTCATCGGGATTGTGTCTATAACTTTTATTAAAACGCACGACATATGATTTGAATAATTTTAATTCTTGATCTGAAGTATTTGGACCAATTCTAATAGGCACAGCAAAAAAGCACAAACTCACTATTAAAATTGTTAATACCACTGTTTTCCACTGCATGACTTCACGACAGCCATGCACACATGATCATCAGTCTTGTCGATGTGAACTGACTATATGTGCTTAAGAAAAAAAAAATTCGAAGCATTTCGTCGTATTGTAAATCCGTACACTGCATGACTCAATAATCTACTCTTCACACTGATAAATCAAGTGTTTATTAAAAAAAAATTTAATAATTTTTTATTACAGTAGAATAAAAAAAATATCGTTTCAATTTCGTTAAAAGGGAAACAAAATTTTTTCATTCAATAAACGACGTAGAAAAAATAATTGGTATATGAATAACTGCGCAAAATAACTAAAATCCCAGGGGATTTAAAATTTAATAAATTCAAATTAAAATAATAAAGAATTAAATTTTAAGTTTAATTCAAATTGGCAAAAATTTTAATTTCAATTAAAATTATAACGAATTAAATTTTTTTTTTAAAGTAAAAATTGTAGAAAATTTTAATTCCCACTAGAGTTACGAATTAAATTTTTTTAAAGTAAAATTTTAAAGAATTGAATTATATAATTTGTTAAATTGTAAAAAATTATGCTTTTAATTTAATTTTTATTTAAATTTATATAATATGCAGTAATTATATTTGTTTATATTAAAATAAATTAATTAAAATTGTATAATATTATTGTATAAAGAATTAAATTTCTTTTTATTTGAAATTAAAATTAAAACAAAAGTTGAATTTCAATTATAAGATTAAAAACTAAGATTGGATTTCAATTTAATTTAAAATCGTAAAGAATTGAATTTCATTTTTAATTAAAATTAAAAACAAAAATTGGATTTCAATTTAAATTGTATTGCAAAAATTGTATTTCAATTTAATTTAAAATCGTAAAGAATTGAATTTCATTTTTAATTAAAATTAAAAACAAAAATTGGATTTCAATTTAATTCAAAATCATAAAGAATTGAATTTCAATTTCAATTAAAATTAAAAACAAAAGACTGGATTTCAATTTAAATTGCATTGCAAAAATTGGCTTTAAATTTAAATTAAACAGTAAACAATTAAATTTTAATTTTAATTAAAATTGTGAAAAATCGAAATTTATTTTAAATTATGATTAGAACAAAAATTGAATTTAAATTTCAATTCAAATTAAAAACAAAGATTAGATTTAAATTTAAATTAAAATCATAAAGAATTAAATTTGATTTTAAATAAAATTATCAAAAAGTAATTTAATTTGAATGTTAAGTAAAATTCTGCAAAAAAATTGTAATTCATGTTAAAACAGTAAAAAATTAAATTTTTATTTTAATTAAAATTGCAATTAATTAAATTTTAATATGAATAAAAATTGGAAGGTTTATTAATTAAAAATTAAATTAAAATATTTCCATTAGTTAATTATTGTAAAATTGTCATTTAACAGGGGCCGCATTGCTCCTGTAAAACATATTCCCGCTCGACACGTTGCGCGCGCTTTTAGAATTTCAAACTTGGCGCCACTTGTTTCCATCAGTCATTATTTTGACTCGCCACTAACATCCGGTCTACGGTTTCCGGCTTCTATGTCTCTTTTTCTTTTCTCTTTTTCTCTGGACACAGAAACATGGCTGCACGCTCTATATCAAAGAAAAGGAAGGTTAGTTGAATTACCCTCAATTCATTTAAAATGCAAAAAAATACAAAGTTTCACATTTTCTGTGGTGTTCAATTTTTCTTATTTTCCCAAAATATGCCCAAAAAGTGAAGTTTAAAATTGCAGATGACAGGGATAATTTTACCTCTTAACCTACAAAAATTCTCACCGACTTTCGCATTCTTCTCAAATAAAGAAGTTTCTCAAGAAAAATAAACATACCAGTGATAAATTTTTAAAAACAGTGCAAAGTGTATCAAACGAGAATTACCAATTTTCATTTGTTGATATTGTTTTTACGAATAAAATGTCTTTCCACACTGTTGAAAATTACGGGATTTAAATGACATTTTGAGGTTATGTGCAAGCTAATAACAAACTGTAACATTGAATTAAAATTTCTTTATTTTATATATTTTTATTTAACTCCGGGATAAATTAAAAAAAAATACAAAATAGTGTTAATGTTGTTTTTCGATTTTTGAAAACAAACTGTAAAAAATTATTTTGTTAGCAAAATTCCGATTAAGAAACACCAGGGAAAAATAATTGTGTTAATAATAATAATAACTATTTAAACAAATTATAATTAATTTAAAAATAATTAGCAATAGATTATAATGGATTTTTTAATTTTCAGTTCGTTGGAGACGGAGTCTTCAAGGCTGAATTAAACGAGTTTTTAACTCGTGAACTCGCTGAAGATGGCTATTCAGGAGTCGAGGTGCGCGTTACTCCACAACGCACTGAAATTATTCTTATGGCCACACATACCCAAAGTGTCCTCGGTGAGAAGGGACGCAGAATCAGAGAATTGACTTCTGTCGTTCAAAAGAGATTTAACTTTAAGGATCACAGCGTAGAATTATACGCTGAAAAAGTCGCAACCCGTGGTCTTTGCGCCATCGCTCAAGCTGAATCCTTGAGATACAAATTAATCGGAGGTCTTGCTGTTCGAAGGTAAAAAGAATATTCTTAAATTTATTTTTCCAAAAAAATTAGAATAAATTTATATAAATAAATTTTCCTTAAAACAGTTTATTTGAATGGAAAATTTATATTCTAATAATTTATTTAATAACTAGCAAATTTTAATATAAATTCTATTATTTTAAACAATTTTGATGAAATTCTTTTTAAAAAATCATTATTTTCAAAATTTTTAAATAAAATTCCTTAAAAAAAACAATTATTTTCAAAAATTCAGATAAAATTCATCGAAACAATTCAATTATTTTTATAAAAAAAAAATAAGAAAATTCTTCGCAAGAATTAAAATATTTTTATATAAATAATAAAATCGTTCAAAGTAATTCAATTATTTTCATAATAATGAAATGTTTCGAAAGAATTTAATTACTTTCAATACAATTTTAATAACATTTCTCGAAATAATACAATTATTTTTAATAATATTATTTAAATTCAATTATTTTAAAGTGTTTTTAATAAAAATTCAATTATTTTCAACAATTCTGATAAAAAATTCTTCGAAACATTTCAATTATTTTTAAAAATTGTAAAATTCTTGGCAAGAATTCAATATTTTTTTTGTAAATAAAATTCTTCTGAGAAATTTAATTATTTTCAATGCTATTTTAATAAAATTTCTCTAACAGGTTGAATTATTTTAAAAAATTGTGATAAAATTGTTTAAAAGAATATAGTTTTCTATGAATAATTTTAATATAATTTAATGGGGAAATTGTTAATTATAATTAATAATAAACACGATTATTTTAAAAACTTGAAAGAAATTCTTCATAAAATTCAATTATTTTCAAAATTTTCAGTAAAAATTATTAAAAATAGGTTCATTATTTTAAAGAATTGTAATAAAAAATCTTGCCAAGAATTAAATTATTTTCAATACAATTTTAATTACATTTTCTCGAAAGAATTCAATTATTTGAAAAAATGTTAATAAAATTCTCGAAATGAATTAAATTATTCAATTATTTCTGAAAATAATTGAATTCTTAAATAGAATTTTATTAAAACTTTTTAAAATAATTGAATCCCTGCCAAAAAAATTTATTATTTCTGCATATAATTGATTTTTTGTAAAATTTAAAAAAGTAAGTGAATTTTTGAGAAGAATTTTATGAAAATTGTATTTAAAATACAAATTGAATTCCTGGGAAAAATGTACAATTTATTGATATAATTGAAATTTTCGAAGAAATAATTTGAAAATGGAATTGAAAATAAGTGAAATTCTAATAAGAATTTTATTATTTAAATAAATTAATTGATTTTTTTACGAAGATTTTTATTATTTATAAATTGACTTCATGCAAAGAATTTTATTACAATTATTGAAAATAATTGAATTATTCATAAAATTCAATTACTTTAAGAATTTTCAGTAAAAATTATTTTAAAAAACTCCACTATTTTCAATAGTATTGAAATAAATTCGTAAAAACAATTCAATTATTTTAAATAATTTTAATAAAAATCTTGCCAAGAATTAAATTATTTTCAATACAATTTTAATTAAAAATTACAATGTTGCAAAAAATTTATTTAATAATCTATTTACGATTATCAATAATTTTTTAGAGCTTGCTATGGAGTTCTCCGATTTATCATGGAATCGGGTGCAAAGGGATGTGAAGTGGTTGTTAGCGGTAAATTGCGAGGACAACGAGCAAAGTCCATGAAATTCGTCGACGGACTTATGATTCATTCCGGAGAACCAACGAATGATTATGTTAATACCGCCACCCGGCACGTACTCCTCAGACAAGGTAAATATTCATCTTTCAATTTATTTTAATTTTTAACAAATTTTATTTTCTAACTATGTTCTTCTAATTGTAATTTCATTTAAATTTCTAACATACTTAAAAAATATTAGATTTTTAAATATTAAAAATATTTCTGAGAAAGAATCTGACGGACAGCCAAAACAAAAATTAATCTAATTCCATTATTCCGAATTTTTAAATGTAGAAAAAAACAAAATTAAATTTTAAATTCGTTTTAGTCGAAGAATTTAATTTTTAACATTTTAAACAAAAATTGCATTTGAATAAACATTACAATTTTTTATCATTAAGAAATAATTGTTAAACTTTAGCTTTGTTTCCACCCAGAGTGTTTTTTATTGACAGAAAACTAATTTTTATTCAAAGGCGACTTTGAATTAATTAAAATCTTCACCCTTTCACTGAAGCAAATTTAAAATTGAATGTTTTTTTTTATTTTAAATTCGAAATAATGAAACTGAATTAACTTCTGTTCCGATTGTTTGTCAATTTTTTCCTCAAATTACTAAAATATTTAAAAAATCCTAATATTTTGTAAATTTAAAATTCGAAAATTTTTAATTTCCATGTGAATCATTTTAATATTAAATTAAAATTAATAAAAGTTCAGATTTATTTGAATACATGTTCAAAAAGTGTGAATCGAAATTATATAAATTAACCCTTTTTCAGGTGTCTTGGGAATTAAAGTAAAAATTATGCTCCCATGGGATCCAAATGGCAAAACAGGACCTAAAAATCCATTGCCTGACAATGTTTCGGTTGTGGAACCCAAGGACGAAGTTTTACACGCCCAGCCCTCATCTGAAATTAAACCAGCCAAGGATCTTCCTCCAGCACCACAAATCCCCGTTTAATTAAGTATGTTCAATCTTTGCATTGTTCATAATAAAATTTAAAAAAAAAACATCCACTTTCTTCATTTTTTCTAAACCAATTCTCTCCGATAAATTTTGAAAAATAAACAAACATCGTCACGTAGTGTTAAAAATTAAATAAACAGGATAAGGTTTTAAATAACTTGAAAACTTTTTCTTTCTTTTTTTTAATAATTTAATTATAAACTGTGTAAATTTATAAATAACCACAGTGAATAATGAACGGTCACAAACAATACATAGTGTAAAAAAGAAGGCCAGTGACAATTTATAAAAATCGACTCTTTAGAACAGACAGTTTTATTATTAATTTTCCGTCAATTATTCATATTTTATTATTGAACTATTTTTTTAGTTTTGATTTGAAATAAGTTATTAATATCAATAATTGTTTAATCAGATTATTATTAATCAAATTAATTCAAAAAATAATTGTTACTGCTCAGATTAATTAAAGAAATAATTATTATTACTCAGATTAATTAAAGAAATAATGATTATTAATCAAATTGATTAAAGAAATAATCACAGATCAAATTAGTTAATTTCTTATTTTAAATTATAAAAGTTAATTATGAACTACAAATTTATAAAATATTAAATTATTTTATAAATTTAGTTATTAACGATTAAACGGCAATTGAAAGGTACATTCACACTTGTTTGATCGCGAAAATAATAATTTTTTTTTTAAATTAATTACTCTGAGAAAAAATATATAAATACAATGCCACGTTCGTGAGAAATATAAGATATTTGTTACACACATTGCAAAATAATTGAGCAATAATAATTTAATCCTACATATAAGATTTAGTGAAAAAATTTATTATAATTTTATATTCTTTGCCGTTAAATTACAAACATTTAACGTAATGTTTGAATTTCTTGAACAAAAAAATATTATGCAAAATTCTTTCACACACTTTCGTCAATAACAATGAATTCATTATTACTAAATATACTAGTTTACAAAAGCTATCCAATATTAATTGCTCCTTGAAAAAAGAATACCAAACTGTCTGCTCTAATGTTTATTTATTACAATTAGCAACAGTAGGAAAGATCAGTTGGACAGACATTATTTTTTTTTATTTTTATGATTTTAATTTAAACAATTTTTTTTTAAATCTAGCGCAATAATTAGCTTTTAATAAATCACGTTTACTTAAACGCTTTCAAATAGTAAAATAATTATTAACAAAATGTAATTTAGAGGAAAAAATAAAATATTTTTATTAATATTTACTCTTCGTATAAATAGAAAAAATTATTATTTTGAAGAGTGAATGTTAATATGCGGGTTAGAAAATAAAAATCTGCATTTCCCCTCTTAAATGAATGATTTTAATTAATTTAATAACAAGCGAAAAAAGATAAAATTTTCCAACAAAATACTTTTGACAATTTTTATCTTTTTTTAGTGAAAAAATTTCTTTCTTCTCTTGAAATTTCTATCTAATCAAGGCTATTATTCAACGTGGGAGAAGTTCACAACGTTTATAATAAACAATTGGAAGAAAAATACTTTTTACCCAGAAAATAATATTTTTGATTTACAAATTTTTCTTTATTTAATTTGTTGATTAAAAAACGTAAAAAAAATTTTTGAATAAAAAGGTGAGTAGAAAAATACTTTTTCTTTCAAATCGTAGATTCTTAAACATTGGGAACTTTACTAACGTATTCACAAAATATTTCTCTAAATTATTGAACGCTCAAATGAAGGAAATATTTTTTAATTTATTAATTATGAAATTGAAATAAAAAATAATGTAAATTAAACATTTTCTTAGTTGAGAATTAATTTTTTTAAAAAGAATATTGCAAAAAGAATGTAATAAAATTCAAATAAAATAAACTTTTGTAATAAAAATCCACTCATTCGAACGTTCGATTTAAGAACATAAAATTATTTTAAAAAAAAATTAATTGTTGAAAAAATAAGAGAATAAAAATATTGGTAGCTTAATGCAAACAGCATTGATTTATATCAGTGTCTTGTTAATTGAAACGTGCAAGTATCACATCACGTGAAATGTCTATAACAATTTTTTTTGTGGCTTAAGTTTAAGACATCACGTATAAAAATCCTTGACATTTCTCACAGACATTATAATAATTATTTATATATATATAATATACCTAAAAACACGATCAAGGAACACTTTTAAAATTGTATTTGAGATTTTTTAATAATCGTTCCTCAAAAAATGAATTTACAAAAATTCTCTTCTCTTTTCTCTTTTTGTCGCATTATTGTTGTTGTTGACGCACGGGTTCCATCATTTGAAGGAAATGCAAGAAATAACTTAAAATACGCTTGATAATTGGAGGTACTGATGGTTTTGCAGCAAGAATACTAATTGAATTCTTAATTTCGTAAAAAACGTTGCGTGTGTAGGGATTTCGTCTCGAATTGAGACGTAATCTCAAAAAGTGATAGTAGATGAATGGCGTTAATAATCCGGCACGTCCTCTGAAAAAAGGAAAATTTAATTCATTTTTATTTTAAAAATTAGAAACTAAAATAGAAACTAAAATTTAATGAACAAATTTGTCAAAAATTAGACTTTTTGTTATGAAGGAAATTTAATAAAAATAAATAGAATACTTACGAGAAGACTAAAAAGATTGTGATTGGCATTAAAATAACTTCAGTCAGTGCAATGAATCGTAAAATGTTGCCTGATTGAAATTCCACCAGGGAGATCATCAATCGCGCTGCCCACATGCGATTTTGACCTATACACTGTAAAGTAAAATTACAATTAAAAACAATGACCAGAAATTGAATGTCTATGATTAATTTACGTAACGAAACAAGAATGTAATAATAAATACTGCGTGGAAGAACAAAAATTGCTATACTTACGTCGAGCAGTGTGAGAGAGTAACTCGAGAAGTGAAGTAAAGCGAATAAAAATATGGGAATGAGAACCACTAATCTTTAATTAAGGAAAATTTTTCAAAAAAGCCCACAAATTCAGGGAAGAAAAACGTTAGTTAAATTCATCTCCCTAAAGCTTCGAAAGTTCAAAATGGACGGACATCGTTCATTATAAACGTTCGAAATTTCTTTTCCCTTGAATTTTTAATTTTATTTACAAAATATTGATTTTCATAATTAAAAATCAATTTTAAACTATTGAATAATATTTTTTATTGCAGTCTAGTATTTTTTTTTAATTTTGAAAGTATTTCGTTCATTCGAACGTTCAAAAATTTTTGTAAAATTAAATTCAGTTTATAATCAACAATTTAAAGCAAAATTACTTTTATATTCAGAATTGTGTAAAATTTTTCACAATGTTGATCATCGATTCAAAAATGATTTCCTCGAATTCAAAAATTTATTTTATTTCTTTAATTTGAAATTAAATTGAATTTTTAATTTAATTTTAAATTTCTAAACAGAGAAATTTTATTTTCCTTTTGAACAACATAATTCTTTTTTAAATTGTTGATCATAATCGTCGTAAAAATTTCAACTCTTTTTCCTGAAATTGAAAAAAATCTCTTTTTATTCTTAAATTATGCGATAAGTTGAAAAGGATACACGCTATTGGTGAAGCGTAGAGGAATATTGACGCATAGAATAAATAATGGAATGAATCTTCTAAACACAGCTCTGCAAAAAATGCCGCTGAAAATTGAATAGGTGGCATTCGTTGATGCAGTCTCAATGCATTGATTGCTGAATTACTAATTAACGCCTTATAATATACATTGTACGGATTTCTGAAAAGAAAAAATGCACAATTAGAAAATATTCTTATTTTAAAAGAAAAGAATAAATAAATGAATGGAAACAAAAAATAAATAAATGAAAAAACTAACAATAAATAATTAGAAAGCAAAAATAAATCAGATTTTTTAAACTACAAAAAACTGAATAAAAATCAAGAAAATATTTTCCGAATTAAAAAAGTGACAAAATAATTCTCAGAAAGCAACAACTTTCTTTTGAGATAAAGTGTACTTTGAAGGTTAGAATACAAATAATTGGATGAGCCTTGATGTTGAAAATCAATAACACTTTTATTGATTTCATTCATTAAAAACTTTCCCATACAACAGGTGAATTTAAAAAGAAAAAAATTCAAAACTTACCCAAATATAGGAATGAAATACGCTATTGTGAAAAGTATAGCAAGTAGTCTCAATGCCCATAATCCAACTTCAATTTTGTGTTCAACCACATGTTGTTTTAAATTTGGCCATCCTCTCTCAGGTTGTGTTGTAGTTGTTGGTTCTGCCATTCTATGTGAATTAAACGAGAAAAATAATTTACAACTGCTTTTTTTTTATCATGTATCCTTTCACTATAATATGAGAGAATAAATCTAGAAGATGCACGCGAGCTAAAATGAGGACGTGTAAAAGAAAAATTCTCGAATCACGAGGTTTTTTCAATCAGTAAACACAGTGACAATGCAAATAAAAAAAAAGAAGAAGAAAAAACTGTCCCTGATTTTTAATTACATCATATAAACGATAAAATTGAATTTTATTTCTAAATTCACGTACCTATGACAATTTTATTATAAAAGAACGGTAAAAATTTTAGACTTTGAACAGGAAGGTTTTAAAATCACTTACCTTGGAAATGAGCAATTTTTAGGTTATAAATGTTTCACTTTTTGAAAAAGGCTCGTCAAATAATTATATACTTTTTGTGTTTTTAAAAAGTTTTTTCAACTTGTATCACATGAATTTCCCCACAGCATATGCACCATTAACTGCTATGAACTTTCCGCTTATTGCTTATTAATGGGAAAATATTTGATTCACCGCTTTCGCTTTTTCACTTATAAGTGTTTCACTTCAACTGCAGCTGATGACTACTGCTGAGTTTTATATTTTGAAAGTCAAGCATCTGACAACAGACCGATAGATGGATGTCCATCCAAAGATAGGTTAACTAGTGTTTTTAGTATAAATAAATAAATAAATGCCAAATTGATTAATAATTAATTCTAAACCATTTTATCCAGGAAAATAGAAAACAAAAACTGTTAAAATATTATAAAAATATTTAGTTATTTAATTTTTTCTACAAAAATAATTATTTTGTTAACAAAAATACTAAATAAAAAAAAATAGAAAATATCTAAAAACCTGTATTATTGACAATTAAGTAACACATTTTTTTCTTAGAAAAATAATAAGAAATTTCCGGTTTCGTAAATTTTTTTCTCCCCCCTTTTGTTGTCTAATTTGAATGATTGACAAATAATGATTTAATTGGGAGAAAATTAAAATTTCAAACTCAAAGTGAAAAAAAGAGGATGGTGTAAAATTTTGTAATTTATTATTGCTGACGTTTTCACGTGGAATACACACGCGTTATAATAAGCATCGACCGAAAACGAGTGAACGAACTATTGCGGTGATTCCTTTCTATAAACGGACATCACAACCGTTTTGACAATGATACTCATCGCAGGCACTGCTCTCGCTTTTCTCGCGGGTATTTTATTTTTTCATAAACCAAGAAATAAAATGTTATTTTACATAAATACCATTATTTACGAAATTAAATATAATACAATGGGAGTTCAAGAAGTTGTCAGGGAATTTGTCTTCGCGAAATACAACAAAACTGGTGAGAGAGAAAAATACACGTTGAATTATTATTTAATATTTCAAAATTAAAATAATAAAGTGTTCTACAATAAATGAGAAAAATTTTTTGTATCAGAAAATAATTACAGAAAGATTTCGTTTATAAATTTAATTTATAAATAAATACTAATAGGTTTTATGTCAGATTTCTTTAGAGAAATACTCCGTGACCTATTTTATAGTTTTCTTGTATTTTTTTTATCCAAAATCGAGAACTTTTGCTAAATTTTTCTTAATAATTAATTTTACCATCGGAATTTAAATTAATTCAAAAAAATTATTTTTAATAAACGAAATGCTGACAATGTAAAAAAGGATATAAATGTTCGAAAAGAGTAATTCGGTCACGGAGAAAAAGAAAGTTACGAAAGTTGTTGGGAAATAAGATTTCGATTTTTTTTTAAAGACTGTGAATACAATTTTAGTGTTAATTATTTATTTTCTAATGTGTGTCAATTTATTTACAAGTGACAAATTTAGTGTATTACCAATTTTCCAAATGAAAAATGAAGAAATTCTTCAAAAAATGTAATTTAAAAATTTGACGTGAGACAAATTTGAAAAAAATAAAAAAATGTGAGATAATTTTAATTAATTTTCTTATTTTTAATTTTTTTTTACCATAAAAAACAGATTTACCTCAACGAAAAGGAAAAGTGGCAATAGTGACAGGTGGTTCCCGAGGAATAGGATGTTTTATTGTAAAAATGCTACTTCAATGTGACATGGAAGTGATTGTTGGTAATACTTCTCAATTTTTGAAAATAAAATAACGTTCATTTTTAAAATAGGATATAAAGATTTTTTAAAATTATTAAATTAGCTTGTAGAAATATTAAAGCCGGCGAAGATGCAATTCGTAAAATTAGAGAATCAGGTGTGACATCGGGCACTGCGAAAGTTTATCACATGGATAATGCAAGTTTGGAGTCTGTTCGAAAGTTTTGTCGAGAAATCAAAAACGACTACAGAAGGATTGACACTTTAATAAATAACGGTAATCATCAATATTTCTTTTAGGAAAAAAATTTCAAAAACGAATTTTTTTTTCATTCAGAAAAATAAAAGGAATTTCTAATTTTGATAAACAAAAATAAAAAAATTTTTAATTTTTATTTACAAAAATGAATTTCTAATTTTTATTAACAAAAATACAAAAACGAATTGTTACAAAAGTAAAAAAACCAATTTTTCAATTTCGATTAATTTTTTATAATAATACAAAAACGAATTTCTAATTTTTATTAACAAAAATGCAAAAATGGATTCTTAATTTTGATTTTAAAAATAAAAAAACAAGTTTTTAAATTTGATTACAAAAATGAAAATAAATTTTTAATTTTGATTAACAAAAATAGAAAGGGAAGTTTAATTTTGATCGAGATTTTGATTAAAAAAAATGTACAAAAGAGAATTTTCGAGTTTAATTTTAGAAAAAAAAATTTCCTTCTTTTAGCTGGTATTATGTTCACACCGTATTTTAGAACCAAAGAGGGCTTCGAACAACAATGGGTGGTCAATTATTTATCACATTTTCTATTAACAGCATTATTATTGCCTCTTTTAAAAAATGCTGGAAGTCCTAATGAATCTGCAAGAGTAATTAATGTCACGTCCTGTGCTCATCTTGTCGGGACAATTGATTTTGATCACGTGGATGATGGGTAAACAATTTTTTTCTTTTACTATTATTTTTTAATATACTAACAAATCAAATTCTACAAGTTTACATAAAGTTTATATAATCAACGATTTAAAAGAAAAAAAAACAATTTAAATTATCTAAAAAAAATTATTTTTATTATTCTTTCTTGATTAGCAAACATGAAGGAACAATGTAAAAATATTAAAATTGAAATTCAGCTAATTTATAAATTAATTAATATTATAATTTAGTTTTTTAAATTTTATATAAAAACGAAAAATTTGTAAACAAAATATTTAATTATTTTCCTTATGGAAAATATTTCTTTTCTTTCAATATCGAATAATTTCAGAAAATAAAAAAATATTTTACAAAAAAAGTACAAAAACAATTACAGAAAATGTAAAAGATTGTGAAATAAAATTACAAGAAAAAGTAAAAAAACGACAAAATTTACAAAAAAAAATTAAGAATTTACAAAAAAAAGTAAGAAGCAGTGAACGGAAATTACCAAAAAATGCGTACTAATTACTATATAAATGAGAATTTTCCAATAAAAATTTATATATTTAAAAATAAATAAATTCTAATCCAATTGTTAACTTTATTTTAAAATTCTAAAGACTTAAAAATATTCCCTTTGCTTTGTAATTTAAGGTCATGAATATTTTATTTTTTTATTTCTGATATGGAAAATTGAAAATAAAAATGGAAAATTTACATTTATATCCATAAAAAATGCATTTTTCTCTCATTTTCCAGATAGGAAATTACCATTTATCAGCATATTGTTATATCAACTGCTTTCTCATACTTATTTATTTAAATTACTTACTAAACTAAAAAAATAAATAAAAGAATCAAAAAAAGAAAAAATTTCAAAAATATTTAAAAAAATAAAAAAACATTTCTTCAAAAAGTATATTTGGAGAAATTTTTTTTTATTTTGAAATCCTATATTTTTTAATTACAATATAAAAGAATGAAATTATTAATTTAATATTATTTTTTTTCCCAGGCAAGGATTTCTTAGAAAATTTGCCTACGCTCGAAGTAAACTTGCACAAGTTATGTTTACAAAGACAATTCAAGAACTTTTCTCCAAAAAAAAATTACCAGTTCAATCGTATGCCGTTCATCCGGGTCTCGTTAATACTGACATTTATCAGCACACAAGCATGAAGCACTTAAAAATTTTATTTAATATACTTTTTAAGGTAAATAATAAAAAAAATTTCTATCTGAAGTCAGCGTCGATTTTCAGCGTCAAAATAACTATTTTTAGAGACAAAAATATCACTAATTACATACCTATTTTATTTCCCTGCGGAGTTAAAAAATTTTCCACATTATACATTTTTATCTTAAAAACTTCGAAAAAATTAAAATATTGAATTTTTTTCGGTTTCGGAAAAAAAATTCTTTTCGACGCTCAGTGTCGACGCCAATTTCAGGGGAAAAAAAAGTTTAAAAGTAAAAAATGAATTAAATTATAATAAATTAAACGAAAAGTAATTTTTTAATTTTTCAATAGAAATTTTTTATAATGGCAAAATAGTTTGTAGTTAATAGTCGTTTTTTTAAATAATTAATTTAATTAAAGTAATTTTTAATGAAAATCTAATTTCAGACACCTCTGCAAGGAGCGACACCGGTCGTTTATGCTGCTGTGAATAAATCTATTGAAAACAAGGGTGGAATTTATATCACCAATTGTTTAGATAGTCCAGTAAATCCCGAAGCTCTCAATTCAACAATTCGTGATCGTCTATTTAAACTTTCCCTCGAGCAAGTTCAACTCAAAGACTTTTTCGAAACGTAATTAAAATTCATCGCGTATAGGTATTATATTTTTGTTGTTGTGTACAAATTATCCATTCCTTCCATGTTCCTTTAGAAGTCATACGTGCATTTATTATTATTATTACAGTATTAATTTTAATAAAATGGTAATTTCTAATTTCTAATAGTGTTAAATTTACGCTGACAGAATTTTTAAACCAAAATATATTTTTTTTAACTAAAATCAAATTTTACAGTATCTTCTAAAATAAAAATATAATAATACCGTTTTAATTTTAAAATAATAATAATAATAATAATAATAATTATTATTATTATTATTTATCACTATTATATTTAGAAATTGTTCAAAAATAATGTGAGAGAAGTTCACAACATTTATAATCAACAATTGGCGGAAAAAAATATTTTTTACGCAGAAAACAATGTTTTGTTTATAAATTTAAATTTTTTAAATTGTTGGTAATAAATAAATACTGCTCCAAAAAAATTTTCGTTAAAAATTTGAATAGAAAAATATTTTTTCTATTAAGTCGTTGACTATAAACGTTTTGTGAACTTCGCCAGTGTAAAAAATGCATTTACTTAGACAATAAATGTGAGAATAAAAAAATAATTTTTCAAAATTGGTATTTGTCGTTTTGAAAAATTTCCAAAGGGACCAATAAAAAATTGACAGTTATAATATAAGTTTTTAAATAATTTAATTATAAATGTATGCCTACATTTGTAGCAAGTGAGTGTTTCCTTACGCCGTCTAGCGTTAGCATATAAGTAGAATCAATGAATCTCTTAAAACATTCGTACAATATTCTATTTTGTTTTGTATATAAAAAACACTTTTATCCTCACAAATTTTTTTTTTCAACGTTCACGCCGCATATTTTATATTATAATATAAAAATCGTGAAACCAAAATTGTATTCAATTAAAAACAAAACAAAATGTGAATAATACCATTTTTTTATTACTATAGCGTTGTTTATTTATTATAATAATAAATGCGTAAAATTTCATCGAAATATTTTACAAATAAATCTCAATGCATTATAAGAGAGAGGCACTAAAATTGGTATTATTAATTCGTCAATGTTCTTCAATTTCCAAACGTTCAGAAATAAATTTCAATTTGATTGAATAATTTTCATTTTTGATATTATTTTAGTATTCTATTTTAATGCTTGTATAGGTACTAATATTAATATTACATATTAATATTATATATGAAATAATATTAATATTATATATTAATATTTTGCATTAAAATAATATTTAACAATAATTTAGTAATAAATATTAATAAAAAAATTTAATAAAATAAAAGAATTTGTCCATAAATATATTTTCGAAATAATACCTAAAAATTTTTGAACACAATAGTCTAGATAAAATTTTGTCCTTTGATTATAGGTCAAGAAAAAAAATTTCTATTTCTTCGCAGACTTAATTTTTTTTGTATCTTAGAAAGTCTTATATTTGCATATTTTATATATATTGACGATTCGAATTTAATTTTATTACATAATTATAGTGTAGTATGTAAATGGAAGATGCACATTAACGAATTGTCTGATAATTCTTATGCGCGCTGGCGGAGAATCTAAATTCGTGTTTCATGAATAAAACACTAAATAGATTTGACAATCGATTCAAATTAAATATATATCCATGAAATGTGAGATACATAAATTACACTCAGGTATTTGCTACACTAATAACAACGATTATCATTTCGACGAATAAGCAATTGTTTCTCTTTTTTTTTCCCTCTTACAAAAAAGTGGTGAGTATAATAATGCCCACGAAAAGCAGTTATAAATAATAAATTTATCGTTATTTTTTCTTTTTTTTTTTGAATTGATATGTCTTTTTTCGAGGAAAAAGAAACTATATCAGTATTCTATAAAATATTCCAAAAGAATTATTCGTCGTATTTTATAACATAATTAGCAACTCCAGAGAATAATTCGCAACATGAAACATAAACAATCGGCGATTTTTTACAACAAACTTCTTTTTTTCTTCAATCTTCAACAATTCAGGTGTAATTCTTTTTATGCAAACTAAAAAAAAAATTGCATTTTTAAATACAAAATTATTGTGAGGCACTGGAAAATATATTTATTAAAATTTACTGTAAAAATTTAGGAAGGAACAAATTTATAATAAAAATTTACTATAAAAATTTATAATCAAAATTTACTATAGAAATTCATAATCAAAATTTATACTTGCAAATTATTAAAAGACTTCTTGATGAATAAAAAAAATTATTAATATTATAAAAATTTAAATTATAAAAATGATAATTATTAAAACAATTCTCGATGAATTGGTAAAAAGAAAAATTATTTCTGAAATAATTTATAGAAAACTTTACAAAAAATTTGTTGAATAAACTGGAAGTGTATTGTAATTTTTCATTCTCTAAAAACACGATGAACATTATATAATCGAGAGAATGAATTTTTTTGATTCATTTTTTACTATTTTCTAATTTTTGAACTTTTACAATATTGGTCGTTGAAAATAGAAAAGTTTTTTGCCTATAACGCTACGTGCCTCATCTATTTGATAATTTAAAAAAATACAAACTGTGCAAAATGGAGTAAAAAAACACAAAATCTCAACAAAAAAAACTTTTAGCACCAATCAGCTCTACTTGTCTACTAATAAACAAAATTTCGTTTAAATTGTTACATGTTCTACTTTCATATATCGTTTTTTAAGTTTAGAAATTTATTATATACTCATACAGTAATTCCTAATAATGGAGTATATTCAATATAATATCTACTAATAGATTGACTAAAAGGTTCATTTTCGTTGTTACCATTGGTATTTTTTTTTCTTTTTCCAAGAGAGATCTCGCAATTATTCATCTTCGGTAACAATGTAACTGTTTTTTTTTCTGCGATGAATAAACAAATGTATATTTATGTATAACAATTGCGGTTTAATTGTATAAATTCCCCCAGATTTTTCTCTTATACGAATAATTTTCGTATAATTCTATAAAGTTGACTTCTTTTTTAATTCTTAAAAATGTGGAGAGACTAGAGCAATAACTTTAACAAAAATATAATTATATATTAATATATGTAATCAAAACTGCATAGAAGAAACTCCCAGAAGAAAACTAAATCACAGTCAAGAAAAATATAGTATATTCTCAATGAGTAGGAGTTCAGTCAATTTTTTTCCCTTTATTTATCAAAATATAGTCGTGAAAATATATTTTAATTAAAAATAAAATAAATTCATAAATAAAAAGAAAATAGAATTAAGTCTTGATTACTAGAAAGAGTAAACGTCGAAAATCGCTTACGATGACAATTTTTTATTATTTATCAATTATCAATTAATTTCTATTAATACTTGATTAAATTAATATTAGAACGAAATTACTAACTATTTTTTTCTTCCATTTGCTGATGATAAACGTGAAATTCACTCATATTTTAGTTTTATAATTTTTAATAATAATAATAATTTATTTTTAAACGAATTAATTCGTTTTGATTTAGAATTTAAATCGTAGAAGATTAACGACGTTATATCTTTTATCTTGTGCAAACATAACCATAAATATTAAAATAAATACCCTCTAAATTTCAATAAAAAAAAAGTCTTAAAATGCTTAAATGGTATTTTAAGCAATAAGCAAGTAGGCGGCAGGAAATTATTTTTCTACTAATTAGAAATTAATTCGATCGTTAATGAACCGAAATTATTCATATCAAGATTTTAGGAAGAATTGGAAAAAAAAATATTTAGAATAAAATTGACATTAAAGCAATAAAAGAAAAGAAAGAAAAATTGTAATTCCAAACGAATGGGGAAAATTCAAATTTATCGTTACATTAAATCGATAAATTTAAATTATATAAAATAAATAAAATTTTAAATTACTATTTCGTACCACCTAAATAAATTAAATACCCCAAAGGAATGATTGAAAATTTGATAAAAAATATAAAATTTTTAAAGTTCAATTCCTCTGAATAAAATATCTCCGAGTGAATTAGAGAAATTGCATAAGTGATGTATTGGTAGAAAATAGTTTGAGGTTGGTGTAGAGAATAAAGCACTTTGGTGAATTTCCACATTAATGGAATAAGCTTGTCAACTGAAAATCTGTCCCTTTTCTTAAAATAAGTCAAGCGTCTAAATTAATTATTAAATTAGGTAAAGCGACCGCATCTACAATTTGCATTATCTCCTATTGATGTTGTTTTCCCATTGATTGTTGTCACATTGGTTTCATATCGTGGTAACTCCTTGCAACGTGCTTGCTGATAAAAAAAAGAAATTATTAATATAAACAATAAAAATTGTTAATTAAATAAATTTTTATTTATTTAATAAATAATAAATAAAACAATAAATCTAGAGAATAATTTTCAAACATAATATTCACCTCCATAAGTTCGGCTGCAATTTCCATAAACAACCTTTCGACATTTTCCGCCTCCTTTGCCGAAGTTTCTAGAAAATACATACCATGACGTTGAGCGAAATCTTCGCCAACATGCGTCGGTATTTCTCTATCCTCCCGATCAATTTTATTTCCTGTAAATAATTTATGTTTTTAATGTACAATTTATTTTTATAGAAAGTAGAAAAAAAATGATTAAATACAGACCAACTAATATCCTCAGTACTTTATTACTCGCATACTCTTCAATTTCTCTAAGCCAGTCAGGTAGACAATCGAAAGTTGGTTGACAAGAAATATCGTACACTAAAATTAAAGCATGAGCCGATCTATAATAACTTTGCGTAATCGAACGAAATCTCTCCTGACCCGCTGTATCCCAAATTTGAAGCTGAAACAATTGAATAAAATTGGAAAATCAAAAAAAAAGTAAATAAAAACTGAAAGAATCAAAATTCGAAAATTCGAAAATTAAAAAATCAGAATTGAAAAATTAAAACTAAAAGAATGAAAATTGGTAATTAGAATTGAAAGAAAAAATTAAATATTAAATAATTTATTTTGTAGGTGAAAATTTGCGAATTATACCTTAACTTTCTCATTTTCCACTCCAACAGTTTTTATCATAAAATCAACACCAATCGTCGCTCCTTGTCCAGGTGGAAATAATCCCTGAAAGAAAATACCAAAAAACATTTTAATGACAACAATGAAAAAAAAACCTACAAATAAAAACATTTCTATTACTATCTTGAGAATATTCATTAATTAAGGCACGCAAGCAGGAAAGAAGAAACATTCTTTTTTATCTTGACACACTTCTCAAATTAGGCATCAAACATTGTATTATGACAGTTTATCTACCTTTCATTGATTTTTATTCAATGATAAAGGTGTGTAATCACATTAGCTACGTGAAAAAGAGACAAAAAAATGAAACAAAAAAAATACACTAAAAAAATAAATATTAAAAGAGAAATCGTATTATTTTTCACTGTGAAATTGAATAAATATGAAGCAATAAATACTCACTTGAGTGAATCTTCGCACTAAACATGTTTTTCCAACACCGGCATTACCAACAAGAACAACTTTAAATAAAAATTTATAATCTTCCATCATTTTTTCTATTAACAACTCCAAAAAGAAAAAATTCCAGAGAGATGAAAAAAATTATTGTTGCATTTACACACAAAACCAAACACAAATATATCCTTGAGAGATATATTTATCCTTGACAGTTAGATTGAAAAAAAACACTAACTTTCTCAATTCGTTAATCACTGACACTTTATTTTAGATTGTTAAAAATGATTGCATGATTCTTGGAGATTAGACACTATTTATTGTTAAAAATCACTGATAAGCAATCAACAACAGCGTGATACATTGCAAACATTGAAAAAGAAAACAATTTGACAAACGGTAAATATAGCAGAGTCTGCGATCTGTCATCAGCAGGTCATCACGTCAGAAAGAAGATAGGGAGTGAAGTCGGGTGTACGTTGAAATATCGACTCACCGAGATATTTCTCAACAATACCATTTTACCGCGAGTTTATTTGTGGGAGATTTAAAAATTTTTTTAGTGTAACAAAATAAAAAAAGTATCTAAATAGTGGCACATTTTTTTAAAAGATAGTAAAAATATAAATTATTTTTGTTTTATAATTGTCGATAAATTATAATTTCAATCAAAATCAACAATGAATCACACAGTGTCAGGTTTTGTTTTATAATGACCAATGTCTCCGGTCTATTAGCAAAAATATTTGCTAATTATTTTTTTCACGAAGTCAAAAGTCTTTCTTCCTTGATAGACATAAGAAGATAATTGTAATAATTTCTAAATTGTTTCTAATTTGCACTTTAATTTGTTCGAAATTGGTAAAATTTCAAGAAAAAAAGTTATATTTTATTTAAATATAAATTATGACACAACAAATATAAAAATTAATTTTCTTTTATAACAATTCTAAATTTCGTGAAACTAGGATGAAAATATATAAAATTTGCCTAAAGAATAATCTCTATTTTATTAAAATAAGTAAATTGAGGAAATTTAGAATATCAAATTTATGAATTAAAATACTCCGAAAGACTGAGAAAACATTAAATTTTCAAAATTCTAACTGAAAACGGTATATTCTTTAGTTATCGTAATTTATTTAAATATTAATTTTATTCACTTATTGAAATCGAAAAATTGGAATAAAATTGCTTTATTATGAATAACAAATTATAGAAAAATCAGACTCCACTGTGTGATTCCAAAACATGCAAAATAAACATTACAACCTGTCTCCAAAACGGTTCTTAAAAATATACATAATTGCTGGAGAACAGGAGGAACTTAAAAATTCACTCACCGGGTTGCCCAACATCGTCCGAAAACTGAAAAATAATTATATTTATTAATTTAATTTCCCATTTCACTCCTGTAATTATGATGACAATACAATTAATTTACTACTATTTATATCAATAAATTAGAGCTATTAAGTTGCACAACACAATTAATTTATAATTATTTATATTAAAAAATTAAGTTCTACAACAAAATTAACAATAAACTAATCCAATTTCCATACCTTTCGGGATGCTGAGATTAAAGATGGCGGCGAACGATGATTTTTCTGGCCGATCATTTTGGCGGTCGATTTTTCCCCACATTTGCAATAATCCACAAATCCACCCGCATCCTGCACATCCTTCTATGCATAATATTTCAATATCTTTAGAGAACTTGATGATAAAAATAGCGGATTTTCCGCAATATTTATCCATTTTGCGAACAATTTTCCCCACACACTTTGCGACAATCCTATATACACTCTCTCACATCTTACAAGTATTTTGTCAAAAAATACTTTTTGTCAATGTAATTTTCATTACGGCAATTTGAACAGAATTTAAGACACATTATTTTTAGGGAAACTGCAATAATTAAAACGCTAATTAACTACGACAGTGGGATAAAGAAACAAGTGGGTTTGCGCCAATTTGCCTAACCTAAAAGACAACATTGTCTTGATATGACAACAATGTCGAACTAACTAATCGCGTGGAATGTGATGCATTTATCGAAACTTGTTAATCAAATGTTAACGATCAATTTGAATGCATTAAATTATCTTGTTAACACTGTAAATAATGTTAAAATAACCGAAAATATTGCACAAACACAACCGTTACACTTTTTACAAGAATGAAATTTCTACTGTTTAAATTTCGATAGTATCGAGGAGTCGAACCTCTTCTGCGGGCAAGTTCAGAGCGTTCGGGTAAAATTCGATTATTTCCGCGGGAAAGTTCAAAACTGTTGCTAATTATAACAAAATATATTTTTGTTTAATTATTAATTATAGAAATTATTATTATTATTAATTAATATATTCAAATTAAATATAATATTTATTAATTATAGTCAAAAATTAATATTATAAAATAAATTTATAATTATATAAATAGAATTAGAAAATAAAATTCTATAAATAATAAATATTTAACGATGAACTACAATTATTGAAAGATGTAAATAATTAAAATTAATTATTAAATTGTACAAAAAAAAGATTTATAATTTAGAAATAATTTTCCAGGATTTTGTAAATTTTAAAACAAAAAGTTATATTTCCTAATAATAATAATAATACGAAAGTAAAATAAATAATTGTCTCTAAGGAAAGAAAATAAAAACACATTGAATAAATATTTATAAAAATAAATTAGTAAATTTGAATTAATGAATAAAAAGTTCGAATAAATCACTAGATTAACAATAAAAATTACTGTCTTCGTACAATCGGTTAACAATTTTAATTTAAACATTCACAGAAAAAGAAAAATTAAATTAAATTTTATAATAACTATGAATGATTAACTGATTTAAAAAATAATTGATGCTTTAATCAATGTAATATTTTTTTAATCTTTAATTTAATCTATTTAATTTTTATAATTTTTCTCTTTGAAATATTAACAAATTAATGTTTAAATTCAGTAAATATTATTTCGCAGAACAATATTTATTGCAATTAACTCTATGATGGTATGGAAGAAATATTTGTAAACGTAAATGTCGTTTTATCTTTTTATTATAATTAAAAAAGTAAAATACAAAAAATTATGTAAATTACTTTTTGCCGGATAATATGATACCATCATATTTCTGTTGGAACCATTTCATTGCGTCTTCCTTATTTAATCTGTGTGGAGCTCCAACTTTTCCAGTCTTTCTCCTCCTGTGAGCTACATTGAATCCTGAAAATAATTTAGATAAATTTTAGAAAAATATTTTAATCAATTTTCATGTAAATATATATTTTTAGTAAAATAAACTTTTTTTAAAAGAGAAAACAAATTAAAATTCTTGATACTGAAAAATATATATTAAAATTTATAGAAATCAGAAGAATTACGTCTTTGACATATTTTTCAATAGATTTTTTTTTTGTATTTTTTTACGTCTTTTTTAATGAGAATATTTTATTATTTACTGTATTTTTGTGTTTATTTTGTCGCCTCCATTAAGTAACACACCCAGTAGAAGAAGTGGGCATGGGTTGCAAATAAGAAGCTTTTACTCTTGCACATGTTTTAGAAAAAAACTATTAGATAAAGTCTAAAACGACAATATCTAAATACCAGAAATGTGCGGGGAAAAATTTACATTTTCTATGTGAAATAAATTTGATAAACGTACCAGGTCGCCCTAATACGACATAAAAGTCCAAGCCATAGATTCCAATACTTGGATCGTATTTAATTCCCAAGTCAATGTGTTCTTGGATTCCAAAACCGAAGTTTCCGGTGTCAGAGAAATTCTCCTTACGCAATTCGTATTCTCGTACCTATTTTAAACAAATAATAATAGTTTTACTTTTTATAAAACATTCGAAAACGAAAAAGGAATTCAAGAAAAAATTACTCAATAAAAATCGTCAATTAAAGCAAAGTAATAAAAAATTTAATAAAATTTGAATAATACTCACTTTTAAACCACGTTCAAGAATTTCCTCGGCCTTAGCTCCTCGAACTGTGCAGTGTACGGCAATTTTTTCATTCCTACGAATACCGAAAGAACGAACAGTGTATCGAGCCTTTGAAAAGACTGGTTGTTGACCTGTCAATTGCTCCAATACCTATACAAAAATAATTTCATTATTAATTAATAAAAAGAATGAATAAAAAAAATCAATAGTTCACAAATTTGAATTTTCTTTCACGATTAAATCACGAAGCCAAAAGGGCCAAAAGTCAACACTGTCAATTTAGAGGTTATGTTACGATAGAAACAAAAATTCAACTGAAATACCATTTTTTTAACAAACAAAAATAAACTTACTTTGGAGGCACGAGTTAATCTATCTCCAGATTCTCCGACACAAATATTTAAGCATAATTTACGGATACGGACTTCTCGCATAACATTTTTTGATGGATCCTTAGGCTCCTTTTTCGATTTCTCTTTCTTTGCACTCTGCTTGGGTGGAGCTTTTGCCGTGTCCTGTGAAAAAAGAAATCAATATTCAGAAATTCACATACTATCATTTTTAAAACAAAATTCTGGCAAAATAAACAAAAAAATATCAAGTTTTGTCAATAATTGAAGGTTAAGTAACAACAAGCGTGACACGTCGTTTGTTATTAAAAAAAGTTGTCAAATTGTCACCGAGAAAAAAACGATTACTAATTATATTGAATTACACATATTTTATACTGTTTTCACAAATTAATTAACCATTTTTGTTATTGATTCGCAAGATATTGAGAGATTTTTTAGAAAAAAAATTCACAGACTCCAAAGAAATATGTTTCACTCACCGCCATCTTGGAGAAAAAGAAATATTCTCACACTGCCCTCTAACGGCGGACGACGAAAAACATGGCGACTTCCGTTTCCGGAATATTGACAGTTTTTAAAGTTTAAACAACCAGTACTCGAAAAAATAAAGAAAAAAATCAATTTTTTTATCCTGGATAGCAATAAGGTAAAAATAGTAATTTACTACAAGAATAGTTATAATAGAACTTTAAATACAATGTTGAAAATATGAAAATTATCCGAAAAAAATAAACAATGCAAATTATTGCATATTTACTATTCTTGTATGAGATTTTATCGTTTTTAAATTTAAATAATTTATGAGAAGTGGTATGAAATATGTTTTCTGTTAACAAACATTTTTTTATTCATCTGTGAGTTTTTTTAATTAGCAGGAGATTGTATTTGAAAAAATATATGTATACACATATATGTTATATGAGTATCAAGATCTTGTTTTTTTTTAAAAAAATGTGTGTTTTAAATCACCTATGTATCAGATAAATTTAAAAAAATAGGTGGGGTCGAATTACAAAGGTATTAGTTACTCTTTGACCTTGACAACATCCTCTACTGTCAATCGAAACTCCAATTTTGGGAGACCATTTGGAATTTCTTGCATAATAGATTACAAATAAAAATCAAAAAACACAAAATTGACCGCATTCAATAAGTAATGAATAGATCTATTCAACTTTTCATCAAGTAAGTATTAATTTATGAAAAACAAATGTGACAGAGAGGTGCAATGCGTAAATAAAACCGTTTCTACCAGTTTCTACTCCCACTTTTTTAGTGGAAGGTCGGCTGCGCGCGAGGTTATGTTATTGTAATGTCATTCAGTATTTCAGTGTTTCGAGTCTTCCCATTATAAACGTGCGTGTTTTTTTGTTTGTTTTATATTTGCAAGCTTGTTTATTTATATTTTCTAACTCGTTATTTTTTTTTGATCACAGGAAACTAAAGGCCTAGACGATAAATAAAACAATCACCGAATGTGGAGTGGCAAAAAAGGATACAAATTTATTATAGACAAAAAAGGTATTTATAATTTTGGCTCTCACTCTCCCACTGATAAGCCGTGTGTATATTCGTTAATTCAATATCAGGTCAAGGTTTCAACATTTTTGATTAAATGATTCTATTCATTGAATTCCCTATGTTGTATTTTAATGACAGAAACGTTTTTGTCAAAAAATTTTTTTAAATATCGATTTTTTCTTTAAACTTTGTGTTATTTATTTAAAAGTTGGCACAAAAATTGTTTCCTATTTTTGTAACACGCAGAAAATGTTTTCATCTCATATAACAAAGTGGGATATTTTACAAATGCATAAAAATATTTATTCTATTTTTTTATTTTTTATTATTATCTTTCTTTTTTGTATTAGAAATCATTGTAGAATGTTTAATTTATAATTTTATTTATTTATGTTTCAACAGGTTTTAATAAAATCATTAAAGGATCTATTCGTATGGGTGTGCAAATGCAAGACGTGAATACACTTTTACTTTGTGAGTATATTTGTAAATTTTTAGATGGAATGATCGTTGCGTAACTTGAATTATAAGTAAATGTTTGTCTAATGTTTCTTCTTCCAAATATGAAATTGTTTTGAAATTATCTTCCTCTGTAAGAATACATGATCACTCAAGAGGAATTTAACTAGTCTACAAAATAAAATTTGACATTTTATGCAAAATATTAGAATATAATTAAAAATGTTTGAATAGAATTGAAAATATCAAATTAAGTTGCGAAGAATTTTATTATTTCTGATAATAATTATTGAATTTTTTCGAGAAATTTTATCAAAATTATATTAAAACTAATTGAATTCTCGCAAAAGAAATTTTATTACTTATAATTATAGTAATTGCCATTGTTATTAAAAATGAAAAAATATTTTGAAAATCATTAAATTCTTGCGAGGAATTAAATTAAACTTGCATTGAAAGTAATTGAATTCTTTCAAAGACTTTATTAAAAAATTTTCTAAATAATTAAATTCTTTTGAAAAATTTAATTCAGATTTTACTGAAATTAATTGAATTCTTCTGAAGAATATTATCGAAAATTTTTAAATAATTGAATTCTTTCAAGAAATTTTATAAAAATCTTTTAAAATAAATTGAATTCTATAAAGAAATGTAATTAAAATTGTATTGAGAATAATTCAATTCTTGCGATGAATTTTATTACAATTTTTTGAAAAAAGTGACTTGCTTTGGAAAATTAAATTATAATTTCCGAAAATAATTAAATTCTCTCAATCAATTTAATTAAAAATGCCTTAAAATTAATTAAATTCTAATGAATACATTTTTACACAGCATTTTCAAAAATAATTGAATTCTTATAAAGAATTGTATCAAAACATTTAAAATAATTGAAATTAGACTAACTTTTTTTTCAAATTTGTAAAAATTATGGAATTTTTTCGAGGAATTTCATTTAAATTGTACTGAAAATAATTAAATTCTTGTGATGAAAATAATTTAATTTTTGTGAGAAATTTTATTATTTATGAAAATAATTGAATTTTTGACATCGCACTTAAAATAATTGCATTCTTGAGAAGAATTTAAAAAAAAATCTTTTTAAAGAAATGATTTTTTTCAAAAAATTTGTGAAAAATGTGTTTTAAATAATTGAATTTCTTTGAAAATTGTATATTATTTTTGAAAATAATTGAATTCTTCCACAAAATTTTATTAAAATTATATTGAAAAGAATTTAATTATTAAAAAGCATTTCATTAAAATTTTTTTAAATAATTGAATTCTTTAAAAAAATTCTATTAAAATTTTTAAAAACAGTTGCATTTTTCGTGGAATTTATTTAAAATTGTATTAAAAATAATTGAATCCCTGCAATTAATTGTAATATTTATGAAAATAATTGAATTCTTGCAACGATTATATTAAAACTTTTAAAAATAATTGAATTCCTGAGAATAATTTTATTATTTATAAAAACAGTTCAATTCATACGAAGAATTTTATTACTATTTTAAAAAATAATTGAATGCGTACGAAAAATTTTATTAATTATGAAAATAATTGAATTTTTGTGAGGAATTTTATTATTTATGAAAAAAATTGAATTCTTGCAAAGAATAATTATATTTTAGTTTTTGAAAATAATTAAATTGTTTTAAAGAATTTTATTAATATTTTAGAAAATAATAAATAATAATTAATTAGTTAATAAGTGAATCTTTTTTCAATTTTGAATCTGAAATCATTCAAAGATTAAAATTGATATTTGAAAATGAAATTTGAAATTTGCATAATAATAATAATGAAGATATAATAATAATAATGACTTATCAAATATTTGCTAGTTAAATAATAAACGTTTTCAATTATTATAATTTTTTAATGCTTTCTTTTTTTTTCTCAAAAAATAGAATATTGTTATGAGTGGAGCATTATCCATGTACGATGGTTTGGAACAAGGGACTACTTCAAACAATGGTCCCTTGGAAACAGGTGAAGGAGCTCCTAAAAAATTATCCAGAGGCATTTCCCGTGCGACGGAAAATGATGCTCTCGTGAACAAGACACGTTCTCAGCTTGCTGCGGATGGATTGGAAGCACCAGAATTTACCTTCTCATTACCCGATTTATCAGTCTATCCAGGTAATTTTATTCCAATAATAATACTCCCTTTTTGTCTTCATAAAATATATTTTTAATAAAAATCATGAAAAGTAAAATATTAAATTTTTGAAATTATGTACAGATCCATTTCGTCAATTTTTGGAGAAGGATTTATTCGAGGCGGGTTGTTTATCATCATTAGAGTCTGCCGGACGACTAAATTGGTGGTGTGGAGGAAAAAATGATGGATCAAGAGCACTTTGGCCCCTAGCAACAATTGGCGACGGAAATTGTCTTCTACACGCAGCCAGCCTTGGAATATGGGGTTTTCAAGATCGAAATCTCACAATGCGTGAACATTTACATAATATGCTCGCTGAGGGAAAATATCGTGACGCAATTTTCAGGTATAATTGAAGTCAAAAAAAGAATAGAAAAAAGTAGAGAAAAAAAAATATAAAGAGAAAATATATTTCTTTTTTATATCTTAATAATAAACGTAATAAAAGTACAATAGAAAAGTAAACAAAAGATATTAGAGGTAATCAAAATTAGTCATTTGTAAATTATTAATATCAGATTACTTAAAAAAGAATGACTAGTTAGTCATTTTTTTTAATGACTATTTTATCGGAATCATTATCACTTAATGAGTGATAATATTTTTCTTTATTAATTTATCGATTAATCAATATTTTCTTACGACGATTAAAATTAAAAAAAAAGAATTTTTGTTTTTCAGGCGATGGAAGTGGAGACAGACGACTTTAAACGCAACGGCGGGTTTAGCTTACACGGAAGCGGAATGGCAACAAGAGTGGCAAAGTGTTGTAGACATGGCCTCGATTAACCCTCGAAATCAAACTATAACATCTTATCAAAGTCTAGAGGAGGTTGTTTTAACATTTTACAAAATATTTTCATTCTGATTCTTTGAATATGTAATTTGGAAATTTCTATTTTTAAAATTTATTTATACAAATTTTATAATTTCGAATTATTATTTTAAATTGATTTTTTAGTTAATTGAAAGTTTTGTTTGTTTTAATTTTTTATGTATTCTAATTTTGAAATTTGCTTTTCAGGTTCACGTATTGGCGTTAGCGCATGTTCTTCGACGTCCAATTATAATTATAGCGGAGACAATGTTACGGGATTCTGAGGGCGTTGCTTTGGCGCCTATTAATTTTGGTGGAATTTATCTGCCACTTGAAGTTCAAACTTTCGAATGTTATCGAACACCTTTATTATTAGCCTATCATTCGGCCCATTTTTCGCCACTAGTCTCAGTTGCTAAAGGACAAAATGTCGAGGAAAGGATTTATGTACCTTTGGTTGATCCCGAGAGTGGACAACTTTTACCTGTACCATTTGCTGTTGATCCTGGACCCGAATGGGATTGGTCGGCATCACAAGATTTACTGTCATGCTCACAAGACACGGTATAATTTATTTTTTTACAAATATAAAATTCTTCTTTTATATTTACAAAAATAAAATCTATTTATAGAATAGACGATTTTTTAATTGAAAATTTTTAAAAATAGATTAATTCATATTTCAACTTTCATATTTTTCAGATGGAAATTTTAGTGCGGAAATATTTAGACTGTGAATATCAATTGCTCGCCGTAGATGACATAGAGCGTTTTTGTGACACTGACGGAGTGACTGTAAATAGACATAAAACTGCAAAGCCGCTTTTAGATGTAGCAAAACAATTCGAATCATTTGGAAAATCGATTAAAATGAAATTGGGATTGATTCATTCTCACAAGAGAACAAATAGTCCACCTTCGTCCTCGTCATCGTATCTAACTAGCTCCGTTGGTGAGGGTGTTCTCAGCGTTAAAGTCAAAATCACAAGGAACGGCTACATGAACCAAATGATACAAAATTATCTCGACTGCGCACAGGAAAGGTAATTTCCATTTTGATAATTAATTAAAAAAAAGATTCACATATCTAATTAATTATTAGATATTATTTATTATTTTCAAAAGATTTTAATAAAATTCTAATCAATTTAAACATTTTTTTAAATTTTAATAAAATTTTGCTCAAGAATTCAATTATTTTCATAAATACTAAAATTCATTACAAGAAGATCTATTATTTTAAAAAATTTTAATAAATTTCTGCGCAAGAATTTAATTACTTTCATAAATAATAAAATTCATTACAAGAAGTTCATTATTTAAAAAAATTTTAATAAAATTCTTGGCAGAATTTCAATTATTTTCAAAACAACTTTAATAAACTTCTAAAAAATTCTGTCATTTTAAAAGAATTTGACAAATAAATAAAATTTTTCCCAAGAATTCAATTATTTAAAAAACTTTTAATAGAATTCTTCGCAAGATTTCAATTATTTTCAAGACAATTTTAATAAAGTTCTTCTAAAAAATTCTATTATTTTAAAAAATTTTAATTTCCTAAATAACAAAATTTTCATAAAGGATTAAATTTTCGTCAGTAATAAAATTTTCGGAAAAAATTAAATTTTTTTAACACAATTTGAATAAAATGTCTCGAAGGAATTAAATTAAAAAAAAATTTTTTTAATAAAATCTTCACAAGACTTCAATTATTTTCACATATAATAAAATTCTCCGCAAGAATTCAATTATTTTCAAAAGAATTTTAATTATATTTCTTAATAAAATTTAATTTTCTTTACTTTTAATAAATTTTCTTGAAAGAATTCAATTATTTAAGAACATTTTGATAATATTATTTACAAGAATTCAATTAATTTCATAAAAAATAGTTTTAGCATTTTATGTTTTAAAATGTTAAATTAAATTTACAAATTAAATTATACTTAATTTTTTCCACCAAATTGTAAAATACTTTAACAAAATATGTATAATAATATATAATTATAATATATTTTCTCTTCGTGCAAAGGATTTAAAATTTTTGAAAATCTTAATTCCTTTTAAAAAGTATTAATAATGATGATTAAATATTTATTTTTAAAAAAATTCTTATTTTTTAAGGTAAGGGAAAAAGTTATAATTCCTTCTGAAAAACTTAAAAGTCAGAGAGAAAAAAATTAAATTCTTTTTGCAAACCTGATAAATATAAAAATATAGTAAATTTGATATTCACTAAAAAATTAATTCTTAATATTTAGGTTTCTGCAAGATCATCATTCGGATATGACTGGTACAGTGATGAATTACGGAGCAGGAAAATCGAAATTTTACACAGCCAGCGACAGTGGCAGCCATGCGAGTGTAAACAAATTGATACCGAGTACAAATTCAAATACTCCAGACGCTCTATATTTGGCCAAGTGAGTTAAAAATTTTCTTCTCTTTTTTTTTCCTCTTAACTTAAGATTTCAATTCTCAGGGTATTTGAAAACTGTTTGATTTACAGTTCAACTTTCTTCGTAAAATCATCAGAGGAGGCTGACACGCCGAATTCTGAACAATGGCATAATAAAAATATTGTGCAAAAATGTCGTAATGAGAAATGCACATTTTATGGAACTCCTGAACATCAAAACTACTGTTCGCAATGCTGGGCAAACAAACGACAACGTTAATACGCCTAAACTTTCTTTTTATCTCTCCATGACAATAATCATCGTCTGAATAATCTAATCAATAGTAATATAACGATATAATTATCTTTCTAATCGTATAAAATCGTTGCCTGACTGAAAATAGGTATTTTTCATTTTTTAAATGTAATGTTTGAATAATAGTTTGCTTTATTTATTAACTATTACAAATTTGACAAAAATAGCGTTTAATGAAACGTTGCATAATTTTAATTACGAAACGATACATATCTGATTAATCAATTAAGAATCTCAGTTTACGGTATTCGATTTTAGTATCTTCTTTTTATAACTGCTATTTAGCATCAATTATTTCTTTCTTTCGTAGAATTTAATTGTTCGGAAAAAATTATAATCGTTAGGATTGATTGAAAGCTTGATTGTTTTAGAATAATTCGATTAGAAAAATTAGATCGTTTCAAAACAATTTGCTTCGAAATTTCAATGGAAACATTATTCTTAGTGGTAATTACTTTTAATACCAGACAGCTATTAAAAATAGCTTTAATTTATTCGATTTCTTCACAATTGTTTGAAACGATTGTTTAAAATGGAAATTTTTCATTATTTACAATACAATTGTTTTAGGGAAAAATTTACTGTTTTTTATTTTAAATTTGAGTACAATTTTTAGTTGATAGCTTTATTATTAGAATTTCGTTATAAAAAAAAAATAATTTATTGGAAAATCATTAAAAAGAGAAACAAATTTTTGTTAGAAATTAGCCTTCTAGTGTTATAGTCATTAGGATTAAAAAAATGAAAAATTTAAATATATATAAAAAGAAATTTTATCGAATATATAATTATATTTCAATGAAGAATCGTAAAGTACAAAATTATTATTGATTTCTTCTCTACATTGTCATCTTTTTCGTTCTCTCTCAAAAAGAAGCTAAAGATTTATCAAACATTTTATCATAAATCGTGCCTTGTCTCGTAAATTCGCTTTTAATTCTACTTCATACATTAATTCTCGCTTTATATATCGTACATATATATATGCTATATAATAAGAATATTGCATACTAATTTCAAAGATTAGCGCTACATAGTTTTTAAATCATCATATCATATAACAAAAAAGTGATATTTACAAAAAATCACTGCGACATTTCACGCACTCTTATATTATATCAAACATATTTGACACGTGCCTTGTCAAGTTTCAAAGAAATACTCCATACTAATATTGAGCTGTGATTTTTCTTTCTTTTCGTTACTCTAAATATGTATTCTACATCATATAGAAAACAAAAATGAAAACTCTGTAATTCATTTTTATCGTTAGAATTTCAATTAATTTTCGTTTATTAAAACTTGACTGGTTTTGTATTTATATTTACAAGTTAATAATGTGAAAAAAGAAATCCACTAATTGCTAAATATTTCGAGAAAAAAATCTCTACGTAGTAAATTCAATATTCGTCACAATAATATTGTAATTGTTATGTATTTCAATTCAGTCGTTTACGAAAGTATATAAATTACAGTAGTGGAAAATATTCAAAAGGAAAAACAAGAATCAGTAGTTTCAATTTGACAAAAAAAAAAAAAAAATGACTGTAAAACTGTGTGAAAAATAAAAAATATTTTTATACAGTGCTTGAATAATTCTCTCTAAATTAGTTTTTTCTAACGAGAGTGATTTTTTAAAAATAAAGAATAAGAATAATTTAATTATTTTTTAATTTATAATTTATCATTTTTCGTTACAAATTAAAGGATTATTTTCTATTTTGATTTTAGTATTTTAGGTTCTAATTTATATGGTGTTGGAAAAAATAAATATTTTATATTGAATTTCAAATAATATAGGAGCTGGGATCAAGGGGATATAATGGAAGAGGATATTATAATTTATGAACTGAAAAGATACCGAGTGCTTCAAAAGACTTTTTTTCTTGCAGATCCTTCCAATTTCCTTCTTGTAGCACGAAATCTCGTTCTTGCAGGTTCATCAAATATTTACAACGAGCTTCATTATGTTTTTAAGAATGGTAAACTTCTATCTGCGGAATAGTCATTAATTTTCCGCAAATTAACCGCACTGGAATCGAGGTATGTATTATTCTCTCAGCAGGAAATTTTCTTCTATTTGATTTGGTTAATTTTATTTTATAATAAAATTAATTGACTTTTTGTATTTAAATTAAAAGAAACAAATATATTTTTCCTCGTATTTAATTTCACAAGAACAATATATATTTTCGTATTTAATTTCAAGGGAACAATAAATTAAATTCTTTTTTTGTTATTTCTCTAGGTGTGCAATTAAAATTATCAGTTTCATTGGTTCGTGGATCTTTGGGAACGCGTCTGGAAAGGAAAGCACGAACAGGACAGGTGTATATCTATATAGCTGAAGGATAATTCACGACTCGAGGCATCATGTATTCGCTGAGCAGGTCGGGGGTGTAATTTGCGGGTTGTAATACCAAGCGCATCGTTTGTAACCCGCTCGCGACAGGAAGCCAGGTACACGAATGGAAAGGGGTGTGAGAAACATCCCAGAGAACTATGTAACCACATCGTCTTATCGGCCGTATGGCTCCCACTGGTAACTGTCCTCTCGATTTGGCATCGTCTTCTGCCAAAATTTACTATTCAAATATTCTCAAAAAAATGCAAAAATTACAAATTCTACACTTTATCATGAAAATCTCTTGGAAATTTGATTTTCTATAAATTTAAAATCTCATTTTTTATTTTATATTTTTCTTATATATAATTTGATTTTAAATTCTTGATAATTTTAGCATTTTAATAATATTCATTTATTTAAACTATGAATTTCGAAAATTTTGCTTTTTAGAAATTTAAAATTTTATCTCATTTTTTATTTTATAATTTTCGTATATATAATTTGATTTTAAATTCTTAATAATTTTATCATTTTTTTTTTACTTTTTCTGTTATAATAACTTATACTTAAGTATAAATCCTATTTCAAATAAATTAATGTTGAATTTACGTTCAAATTCAATGTTTTATTAAAAAATTTAAAATCAAACTTGTGAAGATTGTAAAATAAAAGTGAAATAAGATTTTAAATGATTAGAAAGTAAAATTTTCGAAATTCATACTTAAAATAAATTATTTTAGTAGAAAAAAATGATAAACTTATCAAGAATTTAAAATTGCAAAGATTGTGAAAGAAAAAGGAAAAAAATTTATAATTTCTAGAAAGTAAAATTTTGAAAATTAAAAGATGATTATATAATAAAAAAATAAGAATGGTAGAACTATCAAAAATTTAAAATCAAATATATAAAAATTGTTAAATTAAAATGATATAGAATTTTTTAATTTATAGAAAGTAAAATTTTCCTAATCCATTCTTTAAACAAATAATTATAATAAAAAAATTATTAAGAATTCAAATGTAAATTCATTAATTAGTAATAAAAAACTTTTTAGTGAATTTAGATTTAAAATTTTGATAATTTTGTAATTTTTTTGTTATAATATTATTTGTTTTAAAAATAAATTAAGAATATTTTATTTTACAAAAATTAAAAGCTTTATATTATTTATTTTTACAGTCTTTACAAGTTCCGGGTTCCTACAGAATCTGGAAATCAGGGAAATCATGGAAAAAGGCCTGGAATTTTTAAAAGTTTCTAAATTTTTCCTGTTTTCCATTTTTTCTCTTGAATAGAAATTTTAAGACATAATATATATTATCGGAAGTATAATCGGTTTTTCGAATTTTTGATAATTTTTAATAATTTAAAATTTTTATCCAAAGGGTGGAGACTATTAAATAAGTAAAGTATTTTCCAAAAGCACAAAAATAATTATGCTAAATGCCATAAAAGAGAAGAAAAAATGTTGAATTTCAAAAAAATCGGTTTTTCGAATTTTTGATAATTTTTGATAATTTTAGATTTTTTACCAAAGGTTGGAGATTATTAAATAAGTAAAGTATTTTCCAAAAGCACAAAAATAATGAAGCTAAATGCCATAAAAGAGAAGAAAAAATGTTGAATTTCAAAAAAATCGATTTTTCGAATTTTTGATAATTTTTGATAATTTTAGATTTTTTACCAAAGGTGGAGATTATTAAATAAGTAAAGTATTTTCTAAAAGCACAAAAATAATTAAGCTAAATGCCATAAAAGAGGAGAAAAAATGTTGAATTTTAAGAAATTCGGATTTTTGAATTTTTGGTAATTTTCGATAATTTTAGATTTTTTACCAAAGAGTCGAGACTATTAAATAAGTAAAGTATTTTCCAAAAGCACAAAAATAATTAAGCTAAATGCCATAAAAGAGAAGAAAAAATGTTGAATTTCAAAAAAATCGGTTATTCGAATTTTTGATAATTTTTGATAATTTTAGATTTTTTACCAAAGGGTGGAGATTATTAAATAAGTAAAGTATTTTTCAAAAGCACAAAAATAATGAAGCTAAATGCCATAAAAGAGAAGAAAAAATGTTGAATTTCCAAAAAATCGATTTTTCGAATTTTTGATAATTTTTGATAATTTTAGATTTTTTACCAAAGGTGGAGATTATTAAATAAGTCAAGTATTTTCTAAAAGCACAAAAATAATTAAGCTAAATGCCATAAAAGAGAAGAAAAAATGTTGAATTTCAAAAAAATGGGTTATTCGAATTTTTGATAATTTTAGATAATTTTAGATTTTTTACTAAAGGGTGGAGATTATTAAATAAGTAAAGTATTTTCCAAAAGCACAAAAATAATGAAGCTAAATGCCATAAAAGAGAAGAAAAAATGTTGAATTTCAAAAAAATCGGTTTTTCGAATTTTTGTTAATTTTAGATTTTTTACCAAAGGGTGGAGATTATTAAATAAGTAAAGTGTTTTTGAAGAGCCCAAAAATAATGAAGCTAAATGCCATAAATGAGAAGAACAAATGTAATTTGATTTTAAATTTTTGATAGTTTGATCATTTAAAATTTTTATTATAACAATTTTTTTTAAACACAAATTTTCAAAAATTTTACTTTTTAGAAATTAAAAAATTTACTTCTTTTTTATTTCACAATCATTGCAAATTTGATTTTTTATTCTTAAAATTTTTTTGTTTTTTTATAATAATTTGTTTCCATTAAATTTATTTCTTTTAAACATAAATCAAGTAAATTTTGTCATTTACAATAAAAATAGCTGTTGAACTTTCAAATTGATAATTCTTTGGTTTTTTCAGGGCACGAAGTAAAAAAGATTTCCAACAAGAAGCAGAAGAAAAAGGGGATGAGGAGAAAGAAAATTCCAATACTTGAATGAAGATTTATCCAAGGACGCAAGGAAACAAGTAACTTTTTCCAAATGTTTCCTATTTCTTGAATAATGAATTTTGAAATATTTCCAAAATGAGAGGAAATAAAGGAGGCGTTTAATAATGCAGGAATCTTCTAAAAAGAGAGAAGAAGAATGAGAAACTTTTATCGGAGAAAATCGGCTTGGCCGACATTTATGAAGTTCGCGGGCGTCTTTTCTTTCCAGACAGGTACCGCTCACTATTCTCTGGGGACGAGTCGCATGAAGCGTCAAAAAAAATGTAGCATTCGTATATATGTATATGGTATCCAAAAAGTTGAAACTACCTTCTTGTACGGATGGTTTTGCACGGATATTCACATAGTGAAAAGTTTGTGAGTGTCGAGGAGAGAGAGAGAGAGAGAGAGAAAGAAGGGAAAAAAAGAAAGAAGGAAGAAGTGGTGAGAGTAGGCGATTCCGAGGCCATGGAATAGGGGGTTAACTCGTCCCCAAAGTGCAGTAACCTCAGCGAAGAGACTCACCTTCTCGCAGCACTACTCAAGCCGCCAGAGGACCTTATGACCCGTGCAAAATGTATACCCTGTCCTCATCCTCATGCTCTCGACCCGGATAAATCGAGCTCAGAATTTCATTTCGTATCACACTTTCTTCATCCTCCGCTTTTCAACGAATATTATCAATGATCTCACCGGAACAATTTTTCCAATATTACCTCTTTTTTCCGTAGAGAAAAAAAATATATATTAATAAATTAAGAGTACGAAATGTTCTCGAATTTTCTCTTTCTCATTTAAAATTACTTTCATTTTTCTATTTCTCAAAAAATAGCAAAAGACTCTAATATAAAATATTTTCAATATTAATATTTTTCCTATATATATTTTTTCTATTCTGAAGTACTTTCTTTTGAAAGAATGAGCTGAATTTCGAATATCTGAATAGAATTTAGGTCGTTTAAAGTCCACTTTTAGAATTTCATCAAAATTGAAGGAAATAAATTTGTATGAAATGGCAAAAAGTGTCCGGTTATCGGAACAGTGACTGAAGGACAGGTGGGGAAGGGGGGGGGATTAGCTATTTCCGCAGGGGAGCAGTTGGAGGGAGTATAAATGGGCGAAGTGCGGAAGAATCGGATTTAGGGACAATTGCAAAAAAAGAAAAACGCTTCTTTATGAAAGTATCTTTCCCTCTTTGCGCACCACCTTTTCTCTATTTCGCATTGCAAACCCCTTCCCACAATTCCTCTTGGATGAAACTTCACTTTATACAATTTTTTTTTCTTTCTTTTTGGAAATCGCTTAAGAAGTGAAGTAAAAAAAAGGAAGGAAAAGAGAATTTCTCTTCCAATGTATCTTTCTTGGGAAGACAGAAAAATGGAACAATTGAAATCAGTGTTAAATCGAGAAAATGATTTATTAACTGGGAATTTTTAAACTCATTTTTTTTAAAATAAATTTTATTGAATTTCCAAAAAAAATTTGTAGGCCTAATTTTAGACTTTTTGAAATTTAAATAATATTTAGATATTTCTTTTTATATTATTTATTATTTCAATTATTCTAATATTTATAGCAAATTTTCAATTTTGCTATTAATTAAATAATATAGAAATTTACTTTTTTATTTGATTTTTATTTTTATTCGATGCATTATTAAACGCCTCCGGATATTGAAAATTTATTAGCATTATTTTTAAAATTATATTACGCTCATTTTTCTTAGGATTTTTATTTTCGTTTTCTACATCACACGCCTATAATTATTTTTAACTTAATTTATTTTTATATTCATGGAAAAATTTTTTATCCTACTTTTTATTATTATTTTTGAATTATTATTATCTTTCAGCACATTTTTCACAGAGAGGTCTAAGTTTTAGAACTTTTTCTTTAACTTCAATATATTTTCATTTTATTTATATTTATCTACATATGAAAAATTAATTATATTTCTATATTTCGATGACAAAATATTTTATTCAATTCTTTTTTACAAAAAAAAAGAGAATTGATAAATGATTGAATAAAATATGTGGTAATTCAAATTTGAATTTATTTCGCGGTAAATTTCCAACCTTGTGCGCATGCGCATAACGGTGATGTAGAATTGTAGATCGCATATTCAGCTATATTCACTTACATCGATGGAGGTGCGTGGATGATGGCGTCCTTTCCTTCTGAGCTTTATTTTAACAGGTTTATATAAAATCATTATTATTTATTCATTCAAAGCATTGATAATCGTAATCAGTACACATTTTTCTAACAGCATTTGATAAATTTGGGGCCAAATATCGTAAATTAATGGCGTATTTATAACATTTTTCACAGAGTTGCTTTGTGAGGTTAGGTTAGACAATTTACAATATTTTCAATTGATGACTCAATATTTAAAGTCGTGAATACTTTTAAAGCTTTACTTGCTTTACTTTTAGTCGAATTCTATCTTTTGTCGCATTTTTGACAAAATTTTCTTAATAAAATAGATAAAATAAATGTTTCATATGTAACGTGTGCGCATGCGCGAAGCAGTGATGAAAAGTTGGGCGTATTCTGCGACCATATTCACTCTGGATGTGAAGACGGAAACAACTTTATTAATTCTGAGCTTTATTATAGCAGGTTTATATAAAATTTCTACTATTTATTCATTCAAAGCATAGATTCTTGTAATTAGTGCACATTTTTTTAATAGCATTTATAAATTTTGTACCGAATATCGTAAATTAATAGCGTTTTTATAACATTCTTCACAAAGTTCCTTTTTGAGGTTAGGTTACACAGGTTTTGATAGTTTTAATTGTCGGCTCAATATTTAATGCGCCGTGATTATTTTAAAAGTTTTATTCGGAATCGAATTCTATCCTCATAATCACATTTTTGACAAAATTTACTGTAAAATTTATAGTTGGAACGGTTGGAACAAATTTTTAAATGTTTAACATCTGCGCATGAGCGGAACAATGATAAATTACGTCACTGATTTGATTAGTTTTTTCTTCGATGGTAAACAACGTGTGTAAACAATAATAAGTAATTTTTGTCATTTTGCAACATCGTCAACTTTATTTTTTTAATCTTAAATGAAATCTGTAAAGTTATCTTCCGAATGGTTAATTATTTGAATTAGTGCATATTTATTTCATAGAATTGAAGAAAATTTCTACGAGAAATCGTAATTTGCCTGCATACAAGCAAATTGGCATAAATGTTATACTTTTTAGGTTAGTTTCAACAATTTTCTAAATTCTTATAACATTTTTATTTTGTGATTTATTATTTATCATTATGTATGACTTTTTTTATACTTAGAATTTTCTCAATATTCTTAAAATTTTTCCTTTGAAAACAAAAATCACGTTAGTAATTGTCGTAATTGTTTTTATAGAGCAAAAATTAAAATTTATATAGCAAAAAGATTCAAACTGTCAAAAGTTTCATTATAAAATGAAAAATTTAATTTTTTTAAAGTAATAATGAACAATTATAAGAAAATTTTATTTGTTGCACACAAATAATACTTTGTGCTGTGTTAAAATATTTTCTTGTTACTTTGAGTATTTTTTTCCATTTTCACTATAAATCTGAAAATAACTTGAAATTTTATTTTTCTCCTCATTCATTAAAAAATGTCTAAAATTCATCAACTTTATTACAATTTGTCCTTTATCCATTTAATCTCCCTTTATTCGCCATTAATTGTCAAGCCATCGACATTCGATTAGCTTCAATATTGATGATTTAAAATCAAATAATCCAATTCTAAAATTGCATTATCTGATAATTCGTAGGCATTTGCAAATGGATTAATCATACTATGATATTCGGACTAAAATCAGTCATTCTATTTCTAAAAATATTTATTTTTGGATAATAATAATAATTTGTCCCTGTACCAATTATATTTTTGGACAAATTCAAAGAATTGAAAATGTTTATTTTAGTATATTTTTTATTATTTATTAATAATTAATAATTATTATAATTCCCTTATAAAATTTATTGTGATAAAAAAAAAAGTTTTATCAATAGAACTGTATTTTTCAACAGATTAATATATAATAATTGAGTTGTGTGAATTTGTTTAATGTAATTTGTAAATTTGAATAATGATGAGCTTCTTCTTTCATTTTTAGAGCACAAGTCTGGAGCAATTCAAGAAAGAAGAAATCGCAAGGGGATTGAAATTAAAATTAACGTCCCTGTGGGTCAGGATGAAAAGTTAGTTTTTTGCGATTAAAGCTTTTTCCTCTTCAAGTTGGCGACCACCTTACCCTGACGATTCTTGGTTTCTTTTCTTCTTTCTGGTAACATTTGGTTGCTAAACTGCTGGATCTCGCCTCTCGATAGTGCTTTGCCGTCTGCCAAATGAAATTTTAATTTTTGATAAGGCGCCAGACGCCGTGACGTCCTTTCCTTTTTTTTCTAACCCCTCTTCCATTCTTTCTCAAATACTCTTTTACACTCTTCACTACCAACAGCGTCTTGTTCCACTTTCTGTTCACTTTGTCCTTATCGTTTTTCTCACAATGAAGTTAAAGTTTACGTTAAAAAAAAAAAAAAACAAAAAAACAAACAAAAACACTCGAAAGTCAACTTTATACTTGTTTTCACTTGAAAAAAAGTCCAATAAACAAAAATTTCATTTTTGTCAGACGTAAAGGCAATATCGAATTATTCTATGCAATAAACTACTTATTAGAATAAAAATTACATTTTTTCTATTTATTATTTTACTTTACTACTATTTAGTAGTTTTGAATTTTTATTTTCATGTGAAATTAATTTTTATGAAAAGATTCAAGTATATTTTGCATCAATAAGGAGTTGAGCATTATTATTTCATTATTGGAGAATAATTTATGGACTAATTTGATTTCAGGGCTAATTAATCTTGTGTGGTGGAATCGTTTTTGGAAATTTTCAATCAGAGGCACCATCGACTGTCGGAGGTGGGTTGATATGCTTGTGGTTTGATGAAACGAAGAGAGAGAGAGCGAGAGGGAAGCAGAGAGGAAAATCGAGGAGAAAATGAAAAAGAGAGGAGAGAGAGAGAGAGAGAGAGAGGGATGACTTCCATAGGATCGAACGAAAACCAAGTGCGGGGGGAATTACGTCATGTGTGAAATTACAATCACCCTCAACCCTCCTTTCTCGCTAATGTGTTCACTCGTCTCGCTGCAATATATTCGTATACCCTCTTGTTATATACCTGTACATATAGCAATATTCTACCCTCATATTCGGATATTTTCTCTGAACATAAAAGGTATGTATAGTGAAAAGCATCTAAGAGGTTCCGATAAAAGAATAATCATTCTTTTTTATTTTGTTCTTGTATTATATTCAGATTCATTTTTCATTTTTACATATATTTTACCATTAGGGTTGCCACAGGTGAGGGAAATTAGGGAAAACTTATAGGAAATTGGTTAGAGATATAAAGGAATTCTCAAGGAATTTTATTAAAATTATACTGGAAAAGTAACAAATTCTTAGAATTTACTATACAAAACTTTTGGATTTTTGTGACTAAAAGTATTTTTGAAAAAATTTAAAAAACTTAAATTCTCTTTTAATTTTTTTCACCTTAAAAAATGTTAACATTAAAATGAATTTAAATGAATTTAAAATTAATTTTATTCAAATAAAATAAATAAA